GGAACATTGTAATGTTTTTGGAGATACGGTCTCAGAGTCGTTACAACTAGGCTATTATACAAAAAATATACAAAATAGCAAATTACAAATTTGCCTCGAAATTTGCCTTTACAGTCTGATATAGACTGTGTACTATATGCCTATGTTAACATCCGAAGGGCCGCCCAATGCAATGCAGTTCAGTTTACCACCGCTAAAGACTAGAACCGCTTTTATCCAAAGCGACTTTCAATAAGTGCATTTCAACCATAAGGATACGTGTATGTATAATATACATAATGTTACATTAATATCTGTCAGACAATATCACTGATCTGAACAGTGTGTGTGTTAAGATAAAATGTTTGTGCCATCCAGTATTTTCCCGATTTATTCAGTGAGGTGTGTGTGGGTGCGCAGTGCATTTTCTGACATTGTCCAGTAAACGTCAATGTTTGCATCGTCGTTCAAATCAACTTGCAAACGTTGAAAGCAGCTGATGAGTGTGCAAAGGGAAGCTTCGTCAGGACGGGAAAAAAAATTCTTGGTTCCACTGGGGCTCGAACCCAGGACCTTCTGCGTGTAAAGCAGACGTGATAACCGCTACACTATGGAACCAGATATGAGAGGAGCGCTCTAGCAGCCTATTTGAGGTCGTCAGCAACGGTAACAATTTGATGACATTGATTGCACCTTCGTGTGATTTTAAGCTTTAGCTCGTGTGCCCCCCTCGCTCTCCCGCGCTCTCTCTCTCTCTCGCTCTCTCCCCCGCGCTCTCTCCCGCTCTCTCTCTCTCTCTCTCTCTCGCTCTCTCCCCTCTGCGGGGTAAATAAATGACATGAGGCGTCCGCTTTGGACTGCGCAGTCGGTCGGCTCGCTTCTCTCCCGAAACAGCGCGAGCTACTACGGGTGATTTCGCTTCCGCTGCGGGTCGAGTCGCCTCGGGACGTTTCCCTCTCTCTCCCCTCCGGCCGATCACAAGGTAACGTCGGCTAACATCCGGCCATGAAGCGGCTCACGCGGCGTCCGAGCCTCCAGCCGGCGTACACGCCGGAGCTGACACGACAAGTAGGCTGCGTTTATTAAGAGGGCTTATCCAGCCAGCAAGGGACCAAGTGTACAAGTACAACACGCGCATAAGGACAATAGCACGTTTCCCACGATGCGGGACGCTGCGGTGCATCTTACGAGCGGCGGTCACCTTTAGTCGGAGAGAAAGAGCTGTCACGAAACTTGACTGGAGGACAGAATTGTATAGGCTCAGATGACACTTTACCATGTGGAAACACAATAAAAAAAAGCCCAAAGTCACTAACTCCACCGCTGTGACCAGCGTATTTTGTTTAGATATGATATTTCATAGCTGATGGAACGATTGGCATAAGGATACAAACCAGGAAGAACAACAAGAAAATGCGATTTCATCAAATAAGCCGATTTACAACTTACAAGCTATAGATAAGAGCCGTTGTTTGTTTAGTGTTTTTATACAAAGCCATAATAGACTACGATGTCATTTGTGATACATATTAATACAGTTTATCAACAGGTGCCGGCTCCATTGTTAGATGCCCGTTAAAATAGTTTTCCGGCCTACATTTAGGACGCCATGCCGCTTGTCACCTTTTTTCAATGCAATGTCGTTGCTCCAGCTCAGAATGAATGATGTAAACAGGAAAATAAGTGTAGTGGATCCATTTATTGATCTGCACCTTGGACGACTCTCACACAGGTTTTTGTTTCCAAACTGCAGAACTAATTTCTCAGAGACGGAGTAATTCTATCAAGGTGCACTGGCGAGTGTTTTCTGCTGGAGTGTGTGCATCAAATGGATTCGTCACAGTCGTCGCGCTCATTCCTGCGCTGATATTCAGGCTGCATGTTGTCAAAGTCTCTTAAAAAGTCTGTCTTGCCTTAGTTTATTGGTGTGGGGTCCGACATCAGGGATGGCGAAATCAGTCTTACATCTTTACACAGAAGAGTTCCATCTCCTTTGTCTCTTAAAATTGTCCTCCTTTGGCATCGTCCTTCCATTTTTAGCCTGTTTCAGGCTCTCCCAGCTTCGAATGGGGTCAAAATTCAATCTAGCTATTGTAATCCAAATAAACATAAATAGAGCAAGTTTCCTCGCTTAATCAAGGGATCATAGTCTAGAATATGTCACAAAATTGTGAATTCTTAAAGTACTGTGCTGACTTTGTCGGCTCCTTTCTAAGTTTGTTGGCACATTGCGTTCATAGAAGGGGATGTCAAAGGTTCTCCTTGACCTCTAGTGCCGTCAATCACACTCCGATCAATACGATTGAAAAAAAAAAACATGGCTCGCTATTGGAATATATTGCTCCATGGTGCTGCTGGTGGTGGACATTTTTCCCGGGATGCCTTTAACACCGCGCAGTTAGACCGATGCAGCGCTGTGATTTAAAGAGAGGGGTCAATCTGTGCGGGTCGACCCACGTCGGCCTCCTTGGACACAAGCTGATGCGTTACAACTGTGAGTGCACTTGCGAAAACACCCAGAATGAGTGTGCAACGTGTTCCCCCTGTTAAAATGGATTCACCGTTTGGCTGTGGCTGTTTTTGAAGGCCCTCTTCTTGCGATTCGTGATACTTGTGATTCCAATAACGCTGCAGACCCTGCAGGGAGGCTCGACCTGCAGGCCCCACCTCAGTCGTCAAAGAAAAGTGCATGCCGTCTCTTTCAGCAGCATCTGCGGCCTCCACTCCTGACCTTCTGCTATTAACGGTCTGTGTGCTCTTCCTAAGAAGCTACTTAAGAACCATCACCCGCCTTGTTTCACCAGGATTACACAAAGGCATTTTCTCAATCGACCCGGGGGATATCTTGCCATGCAGGTCATTCTCCATTTTTTTTTTTTAAATACCAAGCTCCGAAATGTCTGAACCCAACTTTCAATAGAACAGCGGTGAATACAGTTTTGTTTGTGCTTCTGAAAGAGTTTGAAAGTGATTTTTAAAACTCAGCTGTCCAAGATGCTCAAGGTACTCCGAAGACCTCACAGTCAACAGCTTCTACATTGTCTGCTTCTTCAGTTGACCGTGTTTCCAATGAATCTTGCTCACAGGTCAGATTACCCACAGCAACAGGCACGTTACTTTCTCATGATGAATTTCCATAAAGTAAACGTGCTTCCTTGGCAGAAGGCAATACCTCTCAAAAGCTGGGAACATCAAATCCAAACAATCCTCACGAGGGTGGACGCATGTGCGTCCGTGAAGGTGTTATACCGGCTATAACGGTTACATGACGACTTGTACGGGTCAACCTGTCAATCCAGCGCTGCACTCTCCGCAGTGGGTGGTGTCGTTTAACCACTTTAATGAAAGAATTGTCCATTTAGGGCAAAGGCAGCCGTCCTACGATGTATCTGGTTGTCTGCAGGCGCCTTGGGTTTGCTGTGGTGCCTCTGACCGTGCGGCTTAGTCAGAGCGTTAGAGGAACATCTCCGGTGCTTCTCCAGGGTCTCAGAGGCTCAACGAGCGGGACTCAGCCTTAACTGTGCAGAAGAACTGCAAAAAGGCAAAGAAGAGACAATTCATTGTGTCTTTAACTTGACAAGGGACGCAGAAAGCTCCAACCGTTGCCTGCGTCCTTTGTGGTTCTCACATACCGTCGGTGAAGTCTTGAACTTTTCACTGGGCTTTGACTCACTAACAGCAGTTGTTCGCTGACGGATTATCTGCACGTATCTCCGTCGGAGATGTCCGTCTGTGTGTAATTATCGCAAACGTTTTAGAGAGTCCGCCAGCGTTATCACCATGTAATCAGATGATTATTTTGCTTTTTTTGTGTTGCAGTGTTTTATTCTGCAGTCCATATTTGTCGCCTTCTTTTGGGACAATTCAGGTTGTGTCTGTCCTGGATGTGTCTAAAATCCGTTCTATGAATCGAACACGAAATAACTACATTTCATGGACTGACAATTCTTCCTAACCGCTTAGACCCCCCCACACACACCAGACAAAACTGCTTGCACTTTACAGGAAATGAAGAGAGAGGCTGTGTAACACATGTCCAGCTTCCTGCCGCAGCAAATCCCCACCGGCAGCCTCCCGCAAAAATATCATACTAAATACTACACTGCAAAATGTGTGAATGAGCTCTAGATTAGATCTGAATAAGCAGGTGGGCCCTTGTTTGGTAGCCTCTGGAATCAGTGTATCACTGGGTGTGTGGATGTTGACATGCAGTGTTATGATAAGAAAGGTTATATGTCCATTTAACAAATGATGCAGCCTATACAGTTTTTTTTTCCAGGCACCGGCCTTTGTCATTCCCGTACTTTAAATTATCGGCCGATAGACACCCAACTGAAGAGAGTAGATCAGCAGATATGGACCATTGATACCACACATATGTAAATTGCTTGACCAGACAAAGGTGGAGTGTTGTCTATTTGTGGTGGAAAGGCACAATGGGGAACCCGTAACAAAAAGCCCATCCAGACGCGAGTTTGCTCTTAAACTTTCCAAACAAGAAAATGTTGATAACAGTCACTTCACACAGACACTCTGCCTTTGTTGACCCCCCCTGACGCGTTGGCCCCCATGAACCCGTGCCGGGCAGCCCCAGTGTCTCCAGACATAAACTCTGCATTTAACTGCTAAGTTTGGGTATTTACCATGGGTGTAGCTTGATTTTAAACAATTATATTATCTTTTTTTTTCAAGCGTGGCCCCATTTTAAATTAAATTACAAACCAATGCTTTGTTGAAACCAGACCGTCGATATATATCTTTTTAAAGTAATGCATCATCCTTGCAAATGGACTTGACGACATCCATCTGTGGTTTAAAATCCTCCGAGCAGAACGTCTTCATCTTCCTCGAATCTTTTGGGGGGGGGGGGGGGTACAAACTCTGCCCCGGGCGGACTATTGATCAGACTCCAGCGAAGAACCCCGCAATTCTAGATGCCGACCCTCCCGAGCAGCAGCCTGTTTGTTATTCACCTGTAGGGCTTTGCCCGGCGCTAGGACCCAGGGTGCGCGATTTCCATCTCCAGCTGCTGCAGACCGAATACTGGCAATAAGGGAAGATCGCGAGGACAAACCAAAATTGCATTCTGTATTCATTCTACTTTCAAAAATCACGTCCCCCGGTCGCCACACGGGAGCCCCCCGCGGAGACCACGGGAGCTTGTTGCGCCGTGTGCGGGCGTCGTGGCTGCAGACCGCTCGGAGCGCAAGGTAAGACGGTGCGATACCACGCGAATTACTAATAACAAAAGCGTTTACGGGCGAGCAGGGGGCATTTAAAGGGGGCATTTGCACAACGCCGCGGAGGGGCGAGTGAAACTCTGCCCAACTTTGACCCTGGATTTGTGCATTTGTATGTTGTTTTGGTAAGTGTCGGCGTCCTGGGTGAGAGCCGCGGTAGTTGCGGCGGCGTCTCGTCGTTGTCCCCGCGAGCATTATGTGGGATCGCGTCACATGCAGCCCACGGACGGCCAAGTTGTGTGTCGAGATGACACACTTCGAGCCCGCCGTGCGGAGCTGCGCCGCGCGGTCGGCTGTCCAGACGCCGACGCGGTGACCGAAAAAAAAAAAAACAGAGATAGAAAGAGAGGTCTTAGACGAAGTGATGCGTTTTTCCGACGGAGATCTAAAAACATCCACCCGGACGGATCGCGTCGGGCCATCCGCGAAACCTGGCGAAACAAGAGCGACCAACCCCCGCGCCGCTGTTTTCTGTGTTCGGCTGCCGTGCTCCACTCGGTTACTGTAGAATAATTCATCACTTGTGCCAAGATGGAAGAATAACCCGCTTGATGTTTGTGTACCCCCCCCCCCCCCTTCCCCCAGCCTCGACATTCGGTATTGACCAGGTGAACCACCGCGAACTTCGACGGGACATCCTCGTCGCTGTAAACCATGGCGGCCTAAATAGGGTCGATAATCTCCAATATGACTCACGGAAATATATGAGTGTGTGTGTGTGTGTGTGTGTCCCCTTTGGAAGACGACATTCTTAAAAAAAAAAAAAATCAGGCCCTCGAAACAAACAACGTGCCTCCATCTGCGCTATGGCAGTGGTCACAGTGCAATGTGCGGAACACCACCTCCCCGCTCGATGGGCTTTTTTTTAATTGCACGCATAACAAGTTTTCTATTGGTTTGTTTGTGTGAGACACACACGGCGTCGGACACTCGCTGCGGTGCACCACGTGAACCCAACTCGTCTATAATTGGCGAAGCCCCCGAGCAGCCGGTCAGTCACTACCGGGTAAAGCGTGCGCGGTCTCCGGGTGGGTTACCCCCCCCCCACACACACACACCCCTCCACCACCACCACCCCGACTCCCGCACAACGCGATGTGTCAGCTGCCCACTTTAGAAATGCTCGCGCTCCTCGCAGGCACACGGTTCCCCCCGGCGCGTTCTCATTTTTTTTTTTAATTTTTTTTTTACCGATCGGCAGATTTTTCCCGGTTGGGGGGTCGGGGGGGGGGGGGGCGCATCTGTCAAGCAGCCATTACTGAGCGAAAGGCGGAGGGCAACGTGAGCAGCCCCTCACACGCCGATCCGGTCCGACGATACGGAGGAGTTTGAGCTCTCAGCCCTTCTGCTCTATAGGACGGGATCGCGGTGCTCCGGGACGATCACTGGTCGTGCACGGTAGTAAACAAACTCCGTGGGTCAGCGCCGCTGTGCCGTGCGTGTGCTTCTGTGTGTGTGTCTGCACGGTGATTTCCTCACAAGTGTTGGGGGAAAGTGTGCAATGTGTCGGCCCGGGGGAGTGGATACCCGCGTGAGCAGCAGGCCCGCGCTGCTCCCGGGATCCAGGTAAGACGAGCGGCCTCGTTACGGCAGAGGGAACCTGCAGGCTTGTGCCCACAAATGGGATTATTGGCATTCAGGAGATCTGAATAAGTATTTGGCTGTTGTGTTTGTGGGAGAATCTGATGCAGATCCTAAACAGACTGATTTGAAACTAAATGTTCACCTGTGGGGGACTGGAAGTGGAAGGTGCGTTGTCATGACTGCAGATGGGAGCTTGGTCAAATCCTGGTATTTGTATAGAAACAGTTTTGGGTATAAATAGATTTTATTGCATTACAAATTGTGTAATGGTTTTCAATATAATATTACAGAGAGAGGTTTCATCTTCCTCGCTTGGCGATTTTGTCCTCTGCTGTCCTAAAAAGCACGTTTGGGTTATTTCAGCTGGCATTTTGTGTTGAAAGGCTGTTGTCTTTATGAGCAGGCAACGCATGTCTTAAATTTGTGTTAAGTCTGAGTCTGGTGGAGAATTAAGGACTCAAATTGAAATGTAAGCCTTATCCAAAGCTCAAGCCCACTTCTCTGTAGCAAACCGTGTGTGCATGAATCCAGTTGAAGCCTGACCCGGTGAGAACAGGAAATGTGATTTCGAAACACTGCACTGCAAGACGTGAGTGACAGTGAACTGATGGTGCACCACAGAGTGAGTGGCACTCCCTTTGTCCGTATTCATGATCAGTGATTATCAGTGGTCCCCCTCAGAAAATGCCTTTTACAATGTAAAACCTGGGCCGAGACACGCCAGGGGGAAAAAGCCCACATTGTTGTCAATCATAATGAACATTCGATACGAATGTCACTGCAAAAGTTGTATTTTTAATTGGAGGCAAATAAGCGACTAATTGGCTCCACAGATTGCTAATAGCAATGGTCACATGGCTCATATCATATACAAGTGGATACTATATTAACAGCTGGTCGTCAGGTGCAGATCCATGACATCAACACCTAAGAGCTAAACTTAATGAAACAAGTCTCACATGGTTATGTTTAAAAAATATATATATTCCTTTTGGAAATCAGTAGAAGAGGCATTAGCGTCCCCGCATCTTCTCCAGGCTGCATCAGTCTGCAGCTTACAGCGTGCAACTGGAGAGCCTCCAGCAACTGGAGTCTTGCTTCCTCGTGTTAATTCCACTGCAACACACCCAAACCTCTCCCACTCGTTTTTGCGTCTCTCTCTCTCTCTTAACTGTGTGTGTGCGTGTGTGTATTTTTGGCAATTCCGTTTAGCAACCATCACCCGCTGCTGTGACTCTCATTGATTGAGCCGAATGCCGCTGAAACGCGCGCACACCCGGTCGGGCGGTACCCGGAGCCTCCGCGGGTCACACCAGACACAGTTTATTACTTCGTTACCCCGATCCGCCTCTTCGGTTTAGCGCACCGATACACTCTTTGGTCGCGACCCCCCCCTCACCCTCCACCACTACCCGATTCCCCTTGAGCGGCATGGAGCTCGCGTTGCATGTCGGTACCTGCAGTCTTTCCCCTCCCGCATCTTTTCTAGGTTTATGTTCGGGGGTGGGAAAGCGGACATATATATTTCCCAGGGGTACCCGGCGCTTTTTTTCCCCCAACTCTTTCTTCTTCAAAGGGGAAATCGGAAAGGGACTGTCTGGAGGACCCCCCCCCCCCTCCCCTTTTCCTTCCCCCACCCCCCCCCCCCCCCATCTCGGACTTTTAGAACCGAAAACCGTCGACATTAGTGAGCAGCCGCGGACGGCGGCGGCGCGAGGCTTTGGACCCGGCCGTACCCGAGTCGCGCGTGCGCGCCCGTTCACGTGCCATCTGGACGAGCGGGTTCGTAACTGTTTCGTGTGTCACTAGACATCTTTTTCCTCTTCGCCCGGGCGATTAGCTCGGGAATTATTCAATATTTCGGCGTACGGAGGGAGAGAGAGAGAGAGATAAGGGGGGGTGGGGGGGACTCGGTGAATGTCCTTTCAGCGGCGAAGTGGTTCAGTCTGTCCACCCGCAAGAAGAGAAAAGACTACACACAAAAAGAGTGGGGGGGGGGGGGGGGGAGGTGGCCGATAGGAGACCGGAGCCCGGATCAGGTCGGCCGGGGGATCGATAACAGCAGCGCGACGGCTTCGCGGAGACTCCGCTGCGCAGGGACCCCCCCCCCGCCAAACCGAAGCTTCCCGTGGTGGTCCGTGGACTTAGATATATTACTCCCCCCTCTCTCTCCCTTCTTCCCTTTTTTCTTTTTTGGTGGCCACTCCAGCGCCACAGTGGTGTGTAATAAGTTGTGTCACCCTCCCTCCGTCTGTCCAGCGGGCTACTTTGTTTCCCCCCCCGCGCGGTTCCGCGAGTCACTCCGCGGGGTTTCTGTGTGTCAGCGCGCAACGTTGATTATTTGTACGTAAAAAAAGAGAAAAGAAACAGAAAAGCCGTCCCGTCGCGGACGGGGTCACTCTGCCGGAGCCCGTGAGCAGTGCGCTTTGTTGGGCTCCCTTGTGTGGCCTCCGTGTGGCTCTGCGTGGATGTTGACTTACCTTATCGTGCGGAGATAGGACACAGTGTGTGTGTGTGTGTGTGTGTGTGTGTGTGTGTGTGTGTGTGTGTGTGTGTGTGTGTGTGTGTGTGTGTGTGTGTGTGGGTGGAGGGGGGCGGAAGGGGTCCTGTAACTCAACGTGCCCCCTTGATAGACCGGTCAGTCCGCTCCGTCCACGTTATTCTGGGGGAGCCGGGGCACCTCGTGCAGCCGGTGAGCGCGTGTCCGCTGCGCAGATGGAGCGATCACCTGAGAGGGGAGCTCCATTCTGCCACCGGGGAGACTCGTCTCCGTCTCCGGCGGCAGCGAGCGAGCGCTGAGCCCGCCGCGGTTTGTTTTCCTCTCGCTCGCGCTCTCTCTCCGTGCCGACAGTGACAACAGGGGGAAACAAATGGGTTTTCAGAGGCTCCCATGTGCCAGTGCACGTGCATTGTGCACTTTTTTTTTGCCCACACATGACTTGTCTCTATTGTACCGATGGGGCCGAACGGTAAACTGAAGTGTACTAAAAATAAAACGACAACAACAGCAGCAGCCGCCTGCTTTCGCCGTGGCTGTTATTCTCGAACGTAACGTCGGGCTTGACTTTGTGTTCTCGTCTGAGCGCGGTGCCCTCGGCGTGTGCGCCGGACCGCTGCGTGCATTCTAGTGGCCTACATCGGAGCTGATGAATGCAAATGTTGTGTCGGAGGAGGAAGAGGAGGAGGAGGAGGAGAGCGGCGTATGATCGCCGCACAAAGAGAAACTAGCTGTAAGCAACTGTTGTGCGGGTAATGGACGCAGACTTGAGCGCCGGATCCCCTTGGGTCCGTCCTGGCAGATTCCCACAGACATCGCGTGTGTCAGTCATCATCATCACCGTCGTTCTGTTTCACTGGGTCCGTTGGGGGATTTTCCATTCCTCCATCCCCAAAAAGCTTGGACAAAGATTTGTGTTGTTTTTAGTTTTTTCTTTGACTTTACTCACCTCTGCGGGGGGGATTCAAATGTGTGCTTTTTTTAGGTGATTATGAGAGTAGATTAATTGTTTAGTTATTATTTATTCTAACCCTCCTAGTGTGTAAATGCTTAGCATTGTTTTGTGAGAGAAGGCATGAGTTGTGTTGTGAAAATGTCCTTTTGTTCAGTCAGTTTTTAATGGATGAGCCCTGGGTGTGATTGCATGTCTAATTTTGGATCACATAGCAGGAACCCCACGTTAGTTGAAAGCTTTCAACTGAGGTTGGCTGCTTTTGTTGTAATCACTAGCCGCCCTGTGATATTTAAGAAACCAAACTTTTGCTCTTTTCCAGACTTTGATATTTTCTGCAGTGTTTGTGCCTCCATCAGCACGCAACACTTTGAGGCAGCTGCCCACTAATAAAACACTGTTTGAGCCTTTGCAGCTGATTACCTCATGGATGGATTAATGAGTGGGCCTACCAAGGGGCCCCAGGGGTCAAAGGGCGTAAGCCTCACTCACTGTTATAAGCATTTTTCATTTAAAGTCATAGGACTCAGTCAAACCTGGTGACGTTAACTTCTTTCTTTCCTGATTCTTTAATCATGAGTATTTGCTGATGCAGACCCTCTCTTGTACTTGTTACCAGCCCCAGTGACAGCGACGTCGGTATTGTTTTCCCCATGCAAGTCTGTCTGTGTGTGTGTGTGTGTGTGTCATCACTGCGAAATGTGGTACTGGAGAAGCCAACTGTAGCGGGAGCTACCACAGAAGCGGTTCTGAGGGATTTGCCAAGTGTTTATAGTTCTGTCAGTCTGTGACAGATTTTGTCTCAGCGATGGCATTCTAACCTCGCAGGGTGCAGTTATGTAACGGTGTATAGGTGTGCAGTTGTGATCCAAACGGATGCAATTTGGAGTCTTAACACAGTTGTACAGTAAAAAATGAAGGCAGATTTTGAAGATGCGTGTGGTCAGAGGGAGCAAGGCGTTAGGGAGTAGGAAGTGAGGTCCTCTCTCTCCTCCATCTCCAGTGCCAACAAAATAGTTTCCACCAACAACAGAACTTTAGAGTATAGTAGCAAGATAGAGAAGGTTGGCAGCGGCGTCTGGTATAGGTGGCGTCTGGTATAGGTGGCGTCTGGGATAGGTGGCGTCTGGGATAGGTGGCGTCTGGGATAGGTGGCGTCTTGGTTAGGTGGCGTTTGGGATAGATGGCGTTTGGGATAGGTGGCGTCTGGTATAGGTGGCGTCTGGTATAGGTGGCGTCTGGGATAGGTGGCGTCTGGGATAGGTGGCGTCTGGGATAGGTGGCGTCTGGGATAGGTGGCGTCTTGGGTTTCATATTGTGTCACTCCTGTGACGCAAATCATTCGGCCCTCGTTATTTCCTTCACAGAACATGTAACCAAGCAAATAAAATCCACAGGAATCACACAACAAAGGGATTCTTCTGGTCCCCACACTTCTCTCAGCGAGCCTAAATTGTTTTTCTGCTTTGAGAAAAATTGTAACATTTGTGACCTCAAAGCCTCAGTCTCAAAGAAAGGACCTTTTCAATTTCCAAATGTTGGTAACTCGAAATAGTTTACAGTTGTATAGAGTATGTCTTATTCCTTTTATGAAGAATTGAGGTATTCATTGTGATTGAAAGAAGAACAGCACTCATGTTCCCTTTCTTGTGTGTTCTGCAGCGTCTCCCCATATTTCAAGGAAACCGCTCACCCGACTGACTCGGCTACCCCTGAGGCATGTTGTGTTAAAGAAACACCTATGCAGGTAATTGTTTTTCTTTCCATTACAGTTGCATCTCTAGATTAGAGCATCCTTTTCATTTTATCCAATTAACACCGGCCTCCTGCTCTTCTGTTATTACTCAGGTGGATCTTACACTAATGAATGTAGGGGATGGAGGCACGGTGAGCAGACAGATCAGTGCTCCAATTAAAGCGTCTGCTAGTATGGTGGGAAATCCCCCCCAGACGCTACCCTCTGAGTTCAGAGGAGATGTTACCCTCAGTCAGCAAAACAAGAGCACACCAACAACAGACTGTAAGACCGCGAAAGCCTGCCTGGACACTAGCAATTACAACCACAGCCCCGAGCTGTCTCCACCTCTGCAGCCCAACAATGCACCGACGTCCGGCTCAGAGAAGAGAGCGGACAAAAGGGCCGAGGCCCCTAAACCCAAGTCGGACGGCGCCGCCGTCCTCCCCGCCGTCCTCTCCGCTCCCCAGTGGTCGAGTGGAGAGGACTTGCTCAGCCTCGGTCGCGGCGCGCCGACAGCCAGCAAGAAATCACACCCGCCGACGCAATCTGCGCAAAGTGCACCGCCCGGGTTTCAGTGCTCCACCAAGTTCAAACCAGCCCAGCCGGTTGCCTTCCTTCCGTCCACAAATTTCCCCTCTCCGCTCTGTAAAATCACTCTTCCACCAGCATTGAGTCAGATTTCAGCATTTAGAGACGCCACAGCGGGTCAGTTCCAGAAAGAGATTCCTCCCCAGAGCTCATGTGTCGGAGGGACACCTCTCGTGCGGACGTATCCCTACCCCTTCTCGGTGGGCAGGACTCCGGCTGCGGAGAAAAGAGCCGGCGCGTCGAAGCTCAAATCCAACCATTCGTCTAATAAGCATTCTAAATCCGTGGGCGAGCATAAATCTTTAGCGTCAGTGGTGGCCTCACCGGCTGTTGCCCTACCGTTGCAGCAGCCTTCATTAACTCCCGCAGCACCCTCCCGCTACACGCTGTCTCCCACCGCTGCCATTTGCTGTGGCTCCGCACTCGCCGGCGTCACCTCTCAGAGCAGGCTGCTGAACCACGCGGAGAAAAGCAGCAGCCTAGACAAGACCACCGTGGGCTCTCCTAAAACGACCCCCGCCTCTGCTTCAGACGACACTGCGGCGTGTCCCGTCGAGCCGAGAGACGTGCCTCTCGATTTATCTGCTAAATCCAAACGTCCGAAGTGCATCGACGACCCTCTAGTTGCAACGATCGAGCCTCATAATAGTGAGCCGAATCAGAAAGATTTTCTGAACGCAAAGCGGGCTCATTCCACGACGTATAGCCCGGCTGCACAATACCCCGTCCTACCGAACACCCACAGAAATGGATCCCATCAAAAGCAGTCAAATCGGCCTCAGAAATCACCAGGTCCAAGAGCCCAAACCAGCGTGGGGTAAGGGAGCTTCTCAAGACTCCATAAAAAACATCCCTGGAACATATGTTGGCGTGGCCAGCCCAATACTGGCTTCTACTCTGCGGGGCAAGGACGGAAAAGGGACTTTTGTAGATGAATATCAGAGTTTCGCCAAGCAGGAGTTTATATCTATAATCGACCAAGGGGAGCACCTGGCATCCGGAGGAAAGAAGCCATCCTGTATGACGAAGGGCCACCAACACGCTCACAGTGTCAAGCATGTAAAAAACACCAGCGTAGCCATAACTAAGGACTGTCCCGCTAAAGGAGCCCTGACTACCGCCCTGTCGAGCTCTGCCAGGGCTCAGGCCCATCAGAAATCCGGCGCTGGCAAAACGGCAGTGCCGTACTCTCCCGCTGTCGTCGGTGCAGCCTGGCAGCAGCCTCCGAGTGTGCTGCACCCGGCCTCGCCCCCTCAGAGGAAGATCCCACAAGGATCTCCGCAGGCGAAGGGTGCCTCCGCCACGGAAAGATGTAAGGCCCGAAGTCCCCACCGCCGCCCGTCCAGCCCCGAGGAAGATAAGCGGGAGAGGATGAAGTGTCCCCTGTCCAACCTCGCGTCCATCGTAAAGCAGCAAGCGCTCGACGGGACGGCGGGCGAGGGCGAGACCCGGGCGGCGCCCGTTGCCTCGAGAAAGGCCGATTTTCCGAACCCGCTCTCTCCGAGCCAAGACGTACGAGCCAAACAAACTTCAGCTCTCGAGTACCCGGCCTACTGGTCTTTGGAAAAATGGGCTGCTTTGCCTTCTCAAGCGGATTCAACTCCAGCTAAGAAGAAGCACGAGAAGGCGAGCGAGCCCGCGGAGAGCAACGCAGAGCTGAACTCCGGCCGGGGGGAAATGGTGGGAGTACCGGCGAAGCTGGGCTTCCCAAAGCCCGCTGGCCGTCTCTTTGGCAAAGCACCCACGAATGGCAACAGGCTGGAGAGCAAACTAGCCCAGGTGTTGGAGGGGGAGGTGTTGAAGCGGGAAGTCTGGCCGCCCGACGGGCCTCCGTGCGACAAGCCTGACGGCGCGGTCGCGTCCATCCTGACCGGCCCGTGCGCGGCGGGAGGCGACAAGTTTGAGCAGAAAACCAACGGAACCAAAGAGGAGTTGCCAACCAAAACCGCTGGCGTCAGACATAAGAAGAGCAGTCCGAAGAAGCCGGCGAAGGAGAAGTCGCCACTCGGACTGGTCCAAGAAGGCTGCGGGAAAGAAAAAGCAAGACATAGAAAAAACTCCACCAAAGGGTCTTGTCAAAAGAAGGTAGATTACCTCTTTTGCTATTTGTTGTATGTTTGTTATTTTAGGGAAATCATTTAGGCAGCATTCCACTCAATTTAATCAAGACAGTTGACTTGACGATACGGAGCTCCTTTTTCATAGTAGGGATGTGCAACGTATGATTTTAACTTCCTTTCATGCTCATCTGTCACCATGAAAGCGCTGTGATCAATGGCATCGAACTCGCCGTGCTTACTCTGTCCCCCGTGTATTCTAGCAGAAGAAACAATGTGCACCGGTTCAGGAGCAGAGTCCATCATCGGGGAATCTTTCTCCACCGGGCAAAGGGCCGACGGCGAGGGACAAGCCCAGTCCCAACAAGGTGGAGCAAGCAGCCCGCGACAGATCTGGTAACGTCTTTTTGTTTCTTCCAACTCTGTGATACTCACAGCCCTGAGAAGTTCTCCCAGCATTGACACATTTCTGCTATTGGAATTTAACGAGGCTTTCAGCTGAGTCGGACATATCGTTTTTTTTTTTTTTTATCGAGCTCGTAGCTTTAGTTTTGGAGATATAAAGTCTCTGTGGTTTATGTGTGGAGCTGACCGAGAATGTCACACGTCTTTTACGTCTCAGGGATTCCGTTTGTGTGAATCCTAACAATCGAATGTGATCTAATCAGTCCCAGATAGCGGCGGCGGCGCTCCGGATGCTCCCAGGCCCCTCGGCGGCTCCGCTGTGCTCGCCAAAGAGGCCGACGCCACGGGGAGCTTCACCCCGAGACTGAGGCGAGGGCGGCGGCGCGCCGACGAGGCCCGGCTCGACCTGTGGGGCTTCGCGACGCCCTCCCCTCCGCCACCGCAAATGCCGCCTCCCCCGGTGTCCCCGTCACCCTCCGCGGTTCCCGCCCAACCCGCCCGCCGGCCGAGGGGGAGGCCCCGCTCGACCCCTCTGCCGGAGCGAGCGGCTCAGGGGAAGGGCAAGGCGGCCGGCGCAGAGGGCGAAGCGCCCGCTCCTAAGAAACGCCGGCGGTGCCGTAGCAAAAAGTACCAGACGGGGGATTACGTCACCGAGAAAGACAAGCTGGAAGACGCAGAGCGCCGCGGAGAGGTCGGCTCCCTGAGACGGGACAGCGGAGTCCCAGCAGGTACGCGGCTTCTCTCTGGGGATCCGGAGTTTTCTAATTAACCGTTTTCCAGCCCTATTTAATCAAAAGTGCGGCTGTTAGTTACAGATATGATATAAACTGATCATCTGTTTTATGTTCACCTCACGTAAAGTGAGTATTTTGGGTTTTTGCACTTTAAAGTGAAAGATGATAGTTTTTTATAAAAATGTTTAGACTAGGGCTGGGTGTTACGTTACCGGTGTCTAACGCCTGTTGAGATGTTGTCATTAGAACTTTATTATATAACTTTGTAACAACAATTAATAATCCACAACAAACGCTCTTTAACAGGGTTGAAACACTTGTGTGTCAATGAGACAATTTGTAATTGTACATTTATAAAAATGCCCCCGCCGAACTGCATGCTGGGTGTAGCTCACAACGAGAAGTAACGTTAACTCTGTTGCTACATAAAAACACGGATAAGAGCACAACAAGAGACCAGAGATACTGAGGAGCTGTGTCAGTTTGGAGGGTTATAAGTTACCTTTGATCAGAAAACGATTTATTGCAGAGTTGGTTGAGCCGCTGGTATTTTCTCTGGTGGCCACAACAAGCTAACGCGCTAACTAGCTAACTGGCCGGCCGTCTATACTGGCATATACTGAGATACCGTCAGAATCTTTCTATATACCGTGATATACCCCAACATAGACTATTGATTGTGGTTCAACAATAAAGTGTTCAGGAAAAAATATCTGGTAAGGGAATAAAGCAATTCTGAATTAATCAAAAGAAACATTTTTGGCAGTGTCTTTTATAGTTTATAGTATGTTTATAGTATTATAATAGACATTCACTTCAATAAAAAATTCTAAAAAGTACATAGGAGATTATTAATAGGATACTGTTCAGTATATGATGACTGACACATAGTGAGATGAACATCTGACAAAGATGATGAGGACAATTTTCCTTTTACATCCCTGAGGTCCCGACTTTGTCATGTCCACATCAACAGAAAGCCCCCGTCACGGACCTGTTGATGTGGACACACCGCAGCTTCTGCCGATTTAAAAAAACCTCAAGATTGTTCGTGTAGTTTCCGCTGTGTCCATCAGTTTGTTTCCACTCCGCACAACCCTCGATCCTCTTCATCGCCGCAGATCCACAGGCGCGTCAGTGTTCGAGTCCCACTGCCTGCAGTCCAGAGCCGCCTGCCCGGAGACCCTCGTTCACTCGCTCCGGGTCGCTCCGCTACCAGGAGAGCGAGGTGTCCCCGGAGAGCAATGACAAGCCTTCGGGGAAAAGGAAGTTCAAAAGCAAGCACTTAAGTGACAGCGAGGAGCAGAAGGTGAGACGCCTGCCGAGGCCGCTCTTTGTTTCATAGAACGTTTCAAAGCACACGGACAGGAGTAAGTCCCATGAATATATTAGCTTACAGTGCCCCCCTGTGGCTAGATGAATACTCTGTGTGTCGCTTCTACCATGACAGCAGGTCTGATACCACGCAGGTCCTCACAGAGAAGAACCCGCTGCCTTTACTTGGCGACGTGTTACAATAGATTGCTCTTCACACGCGGCTCTAATCCCCCCAAAAAATCTTTGATTTAGACGAAGACCAAACGCAGCGGCTTGGGCAAGCGAGGTGCCTCCCTCGCCCTGGATAACGAGGGGGCTGATGTAAAAAGGACAGAGAGCCTCCCGCCCGCTCCAAAAGGCTCGCCATCATCTCCACCCAGCAAGAAAGCCTCAACGGGGAGAACTGGCGGCCCGGAGTCTCCCGCCAAAAGGCCCGTTCCTCCGGAGGTCCGGCGGCTGATCGTCAACAAAAATGCCGGGGAGACCCTGCTGCAGCGCGCGGCGCGCCTGGGCTATCAGGTGAAATGCGACGCTTTGACGGTGCGCCGTTGCTAACGCCTCAGCGCGGCCCTCGGGATGGTAACGTGACCCCTGTCCGTCCGTTTGTGCAGGACGTCGTCCAGTACTGTCTGGAAAAGGACGTCGGCGAGGTCAACCGGCGCGATAACGCCGGCTACACGGCGCTGCACGAGGCGTCCTCCCGAGGCTGGACTCAGATCGTCCAGATGCTGCTGAAGCACGCCGCCGACGTCAACTGCAGCGCCCAAGATGGGACACGGTGAGGCTGGGGGGGTCTAGTCATATTGAAAGAATTATATATAATTTAAGTGTTATATTGGGTGTAAGCTTTGTGACATATAGCCGAAGGTTATGGTTGACCTTTACAAACAAATACATATATATATATATATCAATTACCCACAGTTTAACGTAACTGGTGACACACTCGCTTTTTGGAACCGTCCCCCTCGTCTCACAGTCTTTGTTGAGTTTGCTAAAAAGTGGTTGAATATGAGTGTTTAATGTATATTTTGCGGCTAAATAGCTGAAAAAGATTAAAATCATTTCATTATTGTTACATTCACTCACTACGCTCTCTACGGGGGTTGCGAGGAGCAATGAGAATTGTTCACTTTATATCACATTCCATTACTTTTTACACGATAATAACTCGTGTCGGCTGTTTCAGTAGTCAAAGGAGTTTCTCCCACAAAAGCATCTGGAAATACACAAACCAATGAACCGTTATTTGTTTGAATGAAGTGCACTGTGATGAGACCGTGGCGCTTGGCTCTTTCCTCAGGCCCCTTCACGACGCGGTGGCGAGCGATAACCTGCCGATCGTCTGGTTGCTCCTGAACCACGGCGCCGACCCGACGCTGGCCACCTACTCCGGGCACACTCCGGTCAAGCTGGCGCACAGCCCGAGCATGAAGGCCTTCCTCACAGGTAGTCCCACCTTCTTCTATTGGCTCGGTTTTTTCAACGGTGACTTTTGAGCCGCCGGGTTTGGATTTCCATACAATCGAGACGCTGTGGAGTGGTTTTAAGTAACGCACGAGCAGCACACTTAAGGGCCCGATGACGTCTTTGGAGACTCGAGTTCACACAAACTGATGCAAGCACTCGTCACCTGCAGCTATTCCTCCCGCCAGTTCACTGTGATTTCTGCACCCCCACCCCCTCATCCCCCTTCTAACACAGATTTAGCTCATATTAGTGAATAGAGTTCAGGGGGCCGCTGTGGTGAAAAACCAGCCCAGTTTAGATGAAACCTTTAATTGAACCAAAACCTGCGTTTGGTGTTATAAAGGCTTCCATTGATTTCCCAATCGCATGCTTGAAACGTCCGTCCCTGTGATCAATCTCATTCCGTTGCTGAGCCAGGCAGAGTGATCGATTACGCGCCGGGCTTCCGAGGGGAAAACTTCCGCCGTGCATGACTTCCTCATTCTTGTCAATTTGAAGCCCGACGGAAATCCTCCGGCCGGCTTGTTTGCAGAAACTCTGCCTTTTTAGCTCAGTTATTTCTTTGCCTTCACATCGCTGTTGTCGGTGTTTTAAAGGCTCTTCTGCGGAGAGCGAGGAACCACTCGCGGTATCGGTGTTTAGTGCAGCGTGTGGGTCTCAGGTAAACAACAGACATCAGAACACGCAGCTCCGAAGACCCAGACGAGCACCGAAAAGAGCGGCGGCGTTTCCTACAGTCTAGGGTCATTTGTTGATTCAGGGTTCAACTGTTTGTTTGTGTGTTTTTTACTTGCCCGGTCGAATAAGTGGGATCAGAAATCCGTCTCTTGATCAATTCTTAATTGCCCCTTTTACAAATTGTGTTATTGATTTGCCGTTGTTGTGCGGACAACCGTGCAACGCGTTTCCCGCCACCCGGCTGACCTCCTGATTCCGGGATAATGCATATTTCACTTTGTTTGCTGCAATTTCTTTTCTCACTTCTGTGCGCGTTCAAGGAAGCGAGATGGCTGCAGTTTCAAGTAAAGTTCATTCACATTGAACGTTTAAAGAAACAACAGTTGAGTGCTGCACAGTTGTAAAAGGCTCTTTCTTTAGCTGCTGAAAAACAAAAACAACTTAATAAATCCTTCTACTTTGCACAGATGTTTGTATTGCCAACCATCACGGCTATTAATCACACCTAAACTATTAACTGTAAATTCAAAATGGAATACTGTATATCATATTATTGGGTTTCTCTTCCCAGAATATTTCACAGACCTGGAAGCCCGCAAAGAACAAGATCTGGGCTCCCCCTGGGATTTCTACGGTAGCTCCCTCTTTGGTAAGACACCTTGGAAAAGTCTGCTCTGTGTATCTGTCCGCCAACCCGTCACTGATCAATCAGTCCGTGCGCCGTGATGGAGACGGCAGGCGGCTGCAGGGACGTCATCCTGGTTTGTGGCCGTCGGGACGCAAAAGGTTTTCCGCTGAAGGAACAACAGGATGAGAGTTGCATGGAACTGAGGGCTTTGCAGCGATGTCTGCTTACAGTGATCAGAGGATAATTTATTTGGCTTTTGATGCTTTTGTGACATTCATTATCGTAGGGTCGTAGCAAGATAATCACACAAAACATACAGCTTTATTTTCTGTGCTTTATTGCTATACACACGTGTCGCTGCCATCGGGATGTTTGAGATCCTTCAGCAGGTCAAAGCTTCCAGCCGTGGAGCCGTTATACTTGTATTGTGAATAGACTGGCCACTAGGGGGCGTCCACACGTCACATCCAGAATGTCCGCTGCTCTTCATCTCACCTCGGTGGGCTTCTCCCTCACAGAGACGGACCAGGAGCCGTGCTGGGACTTCCTGCTGTCGGAGCAGAACCAGGAGCTGCAGGAGGATGCAACGGGAAAGACCGAGCCGGACTCGGACAAAGATTGTCTCCTGTTCGAGTTCTCCTCGGAGCCTCTCTTACCCTGCTATCATGTTCAGGTGTCGTTAACCCAGGGGTGAGTTCACAGAGGCATTATGTGTATAAATATGTTTTAGTCAAGACGTTTTTAGCTTTGATCCAAAAAAAGTGACACGCGTGACTCCTGAGTCTTCGCTTTATATCAACGTCAACCATAAGCGTAGCGCTAGTAAATTCCACATGCGTACCCAAGTCATTTAGCGAGGTACTTTATTTATTTATTTAAAGTTGGGAGACCTTTAATGAGGTCCGCAGCCAGGTGTGGGTCAAGCTGGATTCTGTAATCCTCACAATGTAGCCCCGGTATTGTCGTAGTCGGATCCGCCCCCCCGTCGGATACGCTGTCACGTTCCTCACAGGGCCGGATTACTAATGCGGATGCAGGCTCTGCTAGTAGCTTTACGTACCATATTAGCATCAACCAAATCAGTCTAAAAGCTAAAAACACGACCATTTAAAATTCTTCATGTGCTAAAACCTTTAATTCTTTTACGTGATTTGATCCCATGTTGAGAATACTTTTAAGATGGTCGGCTAATATCAGGCGCGTTTTCTCTCTCTCGCAGCTTTTGCAACTGGTTCCTCCTGACGGACGTCCTTAAGCGCCTGAAGATGTCGGCGCGGATCTTCCGTGCGCGTTACCCACACTTGGAGGTGGTGAGTCTGTCGCGCGTTGAGCTCTCGAGGCAGGCGTCAATCAGCCAGGTGAGCTCCACGTTGGCATCCCTGTACAAAGATCAAAATAAGGAGGAGGAGGAGGAAGAGGAAGAAGAAGAGGAGGAGGAGGCGGCAGGAATTGTGGAACTGGTGCGATGTGTACCGGAGCTCCAGAGACTACTGGGATCCTCCATTGACATCCTGCAAGATGATGATGATGAGGAGGAGGAGGAGGAGGCGGAGGAGGAGACACTGGCGAGGGCGGGGAAGCCGCGCGGCCGGTAGCCTCTCCGTCGCCATGCAAACTGTTGTCAACCCAAGTCCTTCCCTGCAAGCAGCAGCTCAAAGGAAACCTCTCCGTCCAAGGAAACGAGGCTCCGTGGGTTTTAACTGCAATATAACCTTTGACCTCAGACAGAAGGTGATTAAGTGATCACAAGGACCTGCACACGGTTTGGTGCTGTAAAGCAGCTTTCAGGTTCCTACCTATAGGTATATTTGAATACATGAGAACTATTGAGCAAACCTTTTGTATTGATTATGTATGTACATGGTAGTGTAAATGTGTATATCTTGCCATCAGGGTTTAAAAAGAAAACATTTGGTTATATGAAAGTATTCTTGTGGCAAAAGGACACAAGATGTCTAGGAATTCTTGTTTGAGTTTGTTCCCGAGAGAGAGAGAGAGAGAGAGAGCGGTATTTTTTTGACGGGAGATCAAGACTTTTCTATCTTGGGGAACTCTCGTACAAGTCAGGGAGGCCACTGGGCCGGATGGTTCCGGTCTGTGGACCCGGGAGACCTGGAGACCCGCCACCCATAATATTCACATGTAACCAGAGCTTCATTTAAAACTAAATCCGTTACCTTGTGGACCTAGCAGCTCACCGCGTTTCCCTTTCACCCCGCCGCATTTCACAGAGTGGGCGGGGGGGCGGCGCAAAATATGAAAACGCCATCATTTTTGGACCTGGAGGTTGAGAGTTTGTTTACAGAGCCGGACAGATGTTCTCCAGTCCCGCGGGTTGCACTCCTCCTGAACTGAAACAGAATCCTGTGGATCTCTCGCTCTCGCTCTCTCTCTCTCGCTCTCGGAGGAGGAGGAGGAGGAAGAGGAAAAGTAGTCCCACCTCTGGAGGCCCGAGGAGGCGAGACGCCCTCGTAACTGCAGCCACGTCCCTATATGAGATCCCAGAGTGCTTTGTGTTGCAGTGTTTTTATTTACACTGTTTGTTGTGCTTAATTTAATAGTCATTAATATATTTGACCTCTTTGTGTATCTGACAAGCCTATCTATGAAAAAAAAAATTGCTTTGTATGGTTGGTGCTTCATTTTGAAATGTACTTATTAGGATCCCTTTCTTCTGACATTTTCCTCCTTCATTCAAAAACAGTATTTCAAAAAAGAAAGGAAAAAAAAAAGCTAAAGTACAGTTTTATTGTACCGGTGCTAAGACAGATTTTGTGTTGACAATCAATGATGTTTTTGTTTGAAGTCACGAACTAATAAAATATGTTTAAGATGAAGAGACTTCAGGTGTAAAGAAAAGTATAGTTTAGTAAAAAAGAAAACTGGAAACAGCACGACTGAGGAGTGAGAAGAGCCTTTTATTTAAGAATAAAGCATGATTGTGAATTATAGCTATATCCTCTTTGTTATGTCAGTTGGGTTTTTATAATATCAGCTGAATATTCAGGAAAAAACTACTGGATAAACGTCTTTTAATCAGAGATAATTTGGCCCTGAGAGGAAATGCTAGGAAGAACCATGACGTTGGTGCTGTACCCGAGAGGAACCGTTTCACATTCAAATCCAAATATACTTTGTGATCCAGCACTACGATGGTTAATAAATACCATGACCGGACATTTGTCTCTACTGTCGAGCTCTTGAATAAAGGTGATTGGGGTTTAGTGACAACCAGTTTTGTTAATAATATCCCCCTGGGATCAGCCCACACGGTTTGTAACGTTTTTGCTGTTTGTTTGTGCCTGAAGAAGAACATTTAGAAAGTCTATTTATTCGCTTGTTGTGGAGCTCTCGTTTATCTCGCGCAGTCTTTATCACCAGCAGAGTGGCTGATGCTATCTGGCTCTACGTTGATTGCGAGCTCCAAAGTTTAAAACGTGGCACTTTGGAAAGGGAGAAATGAGACAATATCCATCTCATAAATGAAAGGCTTGGTTATTCAAAAAAACAAACACGCTCTTGCAAACACACAATATGGTTTTGCTGCTGCAGCCAATGAGGAGCAGCGTTGGCTAAACTCTTACATAAATATTGCTGAGTAACTTGGCGTTACTGCGTCAGTGCGCCGTCATAGAAGGATTTAGTATTTATAGTCCCGCTTTAAGCCATCGTGGATGAGACGTGCTCCACGTCAGCTGCGCTCATCTCCATCAGCGGATGAAGATCCAGGAGGAACCTCGGGTACGAGGTTGAACAGCGTGTGGACACTTTTGTACAGGGTGACTTCTCAGGACTACGTGTTAGTCGCTGACTTTTACATCTGATTTGATCCACTAGAGGGAACCAGTGACGGTGACTCTGCCCATGTGGAAAGTAGAAAAGGGCAATTCGCTGCCTGATTCAGATCTCCGCTCCTAGTCTGATGTCCTTTAATCACTCGTCAGAATACCGGTCCTGTCCATCCCCAGAGTGAAACAGATATGCGTACATCCTTATGGACATCCGTCTGGTTCTGGTTCTGGTTCTGTTGGGCCTTTGCAGTTAGCTGCTTATACTTTTCTGGCTGGCAGGTCGGTCTCACTCTCAACGAATCATTTAAACCTAGAAGTCCTGCAGACGAAATAGGAAAGCCGGTGCTTCTCAATGACCCTTTATTTTCTTCACAAAAATTAGGCATATTCCTCCAAATGATGCCACTTAATATCTGAGCCCCCCTCCATGATATACTGCTGTAGAATATATTTGTTCTGGATCCTCTGGGCCTCTGGAGTTTGAAGTCTCAGTGCGAATGTGACGGGTTATTGTACTGGGACGCGACATGCCAGTCGTTCCCCTCGCAGGCCCCCGCGGGGCCGATGGTCCCACCCTTAGTGCGGGGTGACCACAGTTCAGTGGCTTCATATCAGCGCAGTGACTGCGTGTGGCTACGGCCAAATCCGAGGCTGCTTCAAGTACATTGTTCATGAAATAATCCCAATTGCATACGACGATTTACAAAAAAGTTTGGCACTTCAAACTTTTCATTTTCAGTTTTTTTTCTTTTTCGAGGGGGATGTTTTCGTGCTAAACTTTATCCGGATTCCAGCTTCTCCCAGCGACGAGATCCCACGTTGGTGCAGTTTTACGATTCTCCGGAAAATCTTGACTCTCCTGTGAGTGAATCGAGCCTCATTGCGTCACACGAGGGGGATCAGCTCCCTTCACCAAGCCCCCGCCATACCCCGCCGCTCATTGGCCACCTGTTGTGTGGCGAGAGCACCCGATTGGATGAAAAGGAGGGCAAGTCTGCACAAGACCTACTGACAGACTGACATGAAAAGAGGAAGGGCCCCCAGCCTTACATGGAGACAATGGGAGCATGTACAGCAGCCCATTATTCATATGCACTACATCAAGTGTGTGAGTGTGTGTCTGTGTGTGTAAGCGGGGGGGATGTGTGCTTGTTATCTATCCTGTGACTTAAACGCACCATATGTTATAATAAACTGTATTGGGGGTTTTTTAGTTCTTTTTTTTTCTACCAAATCTTTCAATGAAATGATAACCTTTAAAATTCACCCGTCATCTGCTCGTCGGGCTGTCGGTGGCCGTTCTGCCCGTGTCTGTGTGTCAGTCGGGGGTCACCGAGTGCTCCGGCGTGGCGGTTACATAACAGGCCTCTGTGAACACAACACACAGAAAGGGGAAGTCCCGCTCACTTCATCCTCAGCCTCTGTGCATCCCCCTTTTCCTCTCGGTGCCCGTCGACAACTGGCTCATTAGAATCTTAAACTCACCAGAAAAAAAAAATAGGTGGTAATCTGTGTGATTTGTCCTTTGGTGGCTTTTAGTGCCTGAGAGCGATCACATTAGCTTTCATCCCGTGAGACTGCACAGGGCCCTTTTGTTAATATCAGCAGGGTTTAGATCAATGCGCTGTCTCTCTCTCTCGCTCTCTTCCCACAGCCAGTTACGTCTGCGCGAGTCTGTTGAATGTCGTCTACAACGCATTCCTAAATCATACAGGGCTGCAGCACTGCTTTGAAATAACCCTCTCATAGGATCTTAAACGTCCTTTGTTCGCGTTTGTTCCAAGAGATCTAATGGCGCTTAATCCGTTCTATCTCCGGCTGAATGGTTTCACCCCGTCGGCTCTAAATATATAACGCGGGCGGGAAGGAATGACACCGTCATGTTTGGGGCCCTCGCTGTGTGGTAAGAGGCTCGACCTCGGCAAGTTTTGGTACTCGTCCAAACAAACCCAGACACCCAGACAAAGTAACGAAATAATTTGCACTTTGCGTTGACAACCACACGAAGGTTGAACAAACCAGAAGAGGACGACATATTGTTTATTGTTTGAATGTGAAAGGAACCGGGGGTTGAAGCCCTGAAATGAGCCGAGGGGTCAGCTGAAATGTCAAGAGATGAAAGCGCGTGAAACCTCAGGCGAATGGAAGCATTTTAGTCGTCGGTTGCATTAACGTGATTGTGTGGCAGTTGCAGTTTAGGTTGAGGTTCTTACAGGAGTTGTTCTTCTGAAATCAGCGTCAGATGAGAAGAACGGAAGTCGCGAACCTGCGGGAGGCGTGGCCGCCTTTCGAAGAAAAATTGCATGGGCGAATAATATGTTAAAAAGCCCTGAACACCGTTGGCGTCAATGGAAATGTTAAAGTGACAGGAGTTGAAATCAGCGGCGCCATCGATGAAGCCATGTTTAATCCATGTTTCCATCCAAAGAGCCAGAGGAAGTAGATTCACCAGTTTGCATTCAAGCACTAAGAGACTTGTTGAAATGTAAAGCGTCTGGTCATGGCTGACAGCAGAAAGGACCTTTTATTTGACATTTAACACTGACGGCAGTCAAATCGCCCCTTGAAATGTAAAAGTAGGTGTTGCCTTTGTACGCCAACCAACATTTCCCACAGCCCGTGCATGCCTTTCAAACGCGTCCCGACATGAAATGTGGGTGAAATTGAGAAACTCTTCACTTTGCATTTCTGGCTAGGTGAGTAAATTAGTCAAATCAACAGGAGGCCACTTCTCAGCTCTTTGTCTCTCAGAACATGTGTCTCACAGACACATGTCACAGACAGAGTTTCAGCCGTAAAACAAACACTGATGTTGGAAATTTGATCACTGTCATTTCTGTGGATTCAAGCGATTTCCAATCGCTCTGCTTTGCAAAACAAACAGGGCTGCTTTGTTATCAAAGTCACTCACGGCCATTGTCTCGCCTCTGCTGTTGAAGGTTGGACTCACTGACCAGAGATGGACGCTGGCACTGACCTGCAGAGACCTGTGTGTCTTTGCCTGTTTGTGCTGCTGCACACGACCGCAAGATTTCATCTGCAAGGGAGGACCCCGATGCTTATCACCTACCGGATAATTAGACCAGAGGAACAGAATGACGTCGCTGTGTAGACAGAAGAGCGCCTGTGGTGGAAAGTGGTTTGAGATTCTGTTCTGCTTTACACTGCGTTGTGGTCATTTTAAAGAATAAAAAGCTCTCCTCTCACTCCTGCAAACGCCTGCACACAAAGAAATGCACATTCGCATGCAAAGCTCTGGCCGGACTCCCCATGCGTGCATGCGTTGTGTGCACAACAGGAGGTTGCATTGACCTACTATCTGCAGCACGAAGTGTGTGCGAGCAAGCAGACGAGGCGAGGGATTGTTTCGGAGACGCTCTGTGTCAGGCTGTAAGCTGCTCCAGCTGGACTCCACTCCCACTCGCCATTTAAATAACCTCACCCTGCGTGCTACACCAGCGCTGCGGCGGTGTTCCCCGGGAGACGGCAGAGTGTCGTGTTCTCCGAGGTTTGCAAGTGTGATGATGTGTGTGTGGATGGGTCTTCTCCCGGGAGAGAAACCAGGGTGCTTCAGGGGAATTCTGTATTTGACCAGGTTGCACCAGGGTGCAAGCCCTTTGCAACCCAAACAGCACGAGGAGTTTTTATTTATCCCAAACCAGAGGACAGAGAGCTATCAGTCGAGGCCAGGACTTGGTGTTGTTCAGAGAACGTGGTGTTCCTGGCTTCACCTCTTTGTCTCCGTGTTGACGATGGAGCAGAGGCTGATCTGAAGCTGAAAGACCAGAAAGACGCTCTGGACTCCATCTGCAATCTGTTGTTCCAGAATCAGTGTTTGATACAGGGTGCCGGGGTTCAGGGACAAAGTGTGAAAGTAGGAATAGTCACCAAAAACATTTTGGCTGTGTAGAACATGAGATGGTCTGCTGGACGTGTGGTGGAGGAAGTATTCAGAGCCTTTACTTAAGTAAAAGTACTAATACCAGAATGAAAGGCTCAAAAGAAAAGCGGGGCCTTAAAAATCCAACGTAAGTCACAGTATTAAGTGCTAAATGTACTGAAAGTGCCGATTGGCTTCTTCTTCAAAGGGACAATCGAGATAAAACTACCAAATCACAAAATGTTGTGTGTGTCTTTCACCAGCTGTTCACTGACAATGTTTCTTATTACTGTATATAAAGGAGAAGTAGAGGGGATTTCTTGGAACATAATATTTACAGCGATGTTGTCGGTGTCGGTGTGTATTCCCCTGAATCAGAGTTGTGTTTTTGTTAACTAACAAGGAGCCGCTTGTATTTACTCTTCCTGTTTCTATGGTAGCACATACAAAACACCGGCACGAGAGAGGTTTTCACTTCCTTGTATGCGGTCTACCCGTATGTAGCTATAAGCAACATACTTGCATCTGTATTCTTTTCACAATATTGCTCTCGTACTATCAGGCACAAGCCTGAGGAGAGACTCGCTTCTCTCACCGGAGGATTTCTGCTGCTCTCAGTGAGACGTCGAACACACATAAACGTTAATGAAATGAGTGAGCGTGCTGGTTACCATTAGTTCTTCAGCACAACGAGGCAGCGTCTTGTAAATCATCTTTCACATGGGACAATTTTACGCCATGGCAACGGGGAATCCACTGAATGCAGGCACCACGCAGTTCTGACATTGCACAATAACAAACCGCTTTAAGGTAACAGTTACCAAGTTGCAACACCTGCAGCAGCTGATTTACCCAGAGCTGAACTTGAGAACAATTTTGAGATACTAGTATTTCCGTGTGATGTCCGTTCTGCTTGTTCTATGCTGGGAAGTGCGGTGGTTTGGCGCTGAGCTGCACCACGGAGCTTTTTTTTATCTATGTGTCTCGTGTACAATCACCTGGTATAGATTAGCTCCACTGCAACCAGAATATGATCCAGTGTCACCTCAACTGAACGGAATCTCGCAGCTGATATGTTTGTGCTTGGGTGAAATGCTGAATACGGAATGTCAGGGATTAAGGGCACCTGATACCACTAGTTATTAACCCTGCTGCGGAATGCCTTATTTTGTTCAATGCGACTCTTCTCCCAGGTTCAGGCAAACAGCTGCAGGTTTGTCTCTTTTGTTAGATTTCACAGTTACTCAAAGGTTTGCTGAAACGTCACCGGGTATCAAGGCAAACAACACGGTGAATGCACCCGGGTGTTGACTCAGGGAGCAGGGCTGTTACCGCAGGAAAGTGCAGAATAAGGCCGACCTGTGCAAACAGGATTTAGGTGGGGCTGCCAGGTTTATACTGGTGCTGTAGAAGCAACGCTGGAAAGGCATAAACCCGAAGTTATGAACGCGTTATTGACCCTTAGACGGCCACCTGTAAGATGTGAATTTGACCTGGCTTACAGAGTAATGATCTCTGCTGTGTCTGGTTGTCTGGATCTGTATCTCTTTCAGGTAGGAGCTTTACAGCAGTTGGGTAATAAACAGCGCTGCTGAAATGAAGAAGTAGACGCTGCGACTCGTCTGCCAGGTCTGTGATCACGCAGCCTCCTGCTGACGGGCAAGGTGGGCCAAGCACCCGAAGCCTACACAGGCATTTCGACACCAAAAGTCTCCAATTTCCCAAGATCAGTCGGTCACATTGAACTGAGCCTGAACCCCCCCTTGCGACACGCCAGCAGTGACGCTGAAAATATCAGACATCCACATTTATTGTAGTTGTTTAGGTTCTGATCAGTAAAGGGAAATGCTCCACTTTAGAATACGGACTTTGGAGCTGTATTTTAAAACAGCTGCTGTAAACATTGATGAAACAGCACAATTTACACTCAACTCTGGAGACATTTCAAATCTGCAATGTACCAAGTGGTTGCAACGATCTGCTCTCACGTTTCCCAAGACATTGACGTGACGTGAGAGACTTGTGCATGCGGGCAGTCGGGGGGGCTGTATTACAGAATATTAATGTCAAGGTTCAAGCTCTGTGCGATTTGTCTGGTTGGCGAGTGCAATGGGGAAAATACCATTTTAAAGCATGTCTTTGGAAAATCTCGCTAATTTTACTCAACAAATAATTTGTCAAATGTATTTTTATATTTACAGTTGGTAGTCTAATATTAAAGTCATATAACAAAACAAAATATCGCCGTTGCTGTTTAGAAAGTACAGCTGGTTAGCTTAGCTTGGCATAAAACTGGAATAGTGGGGGGGGGGGGGGGTGCATGCTTTGTGCGTTAATAGGAATAAATAAACGACTGTACATTTGACTGCCGCGCTTTTAAATCCCTTTAAAAGGATGTTAACGGAAAACCCAGTTTCTATTCACATTCACCGTCGGGCCAGCTGTCACATTGCTTGACCCCGTTTACCCAAGTAGGCTGAGGCCCACTCACCAGCACAGCCATTTTGATTTGCAGCCAAAGGGCTGCACACCCCCCTGCCCCCCCTGCCCGGCAGCCCGTCCCGTGCACGCTCAAACCCCCGGCGTGATCGCTGCTGCTGGTCAGAGGAGCACCGGTTTGTTTGAGCATGTGAGCCACAGACTCTTTTCCCCTGGATTACCTTCATCGCGCCAGAATCTCTTCATCGCTGTGTCTTGGGAAAAAAAAAAAAAAAAAAACGGCAAAGCAAAGCATTGCGAGCGGATTGGCTGCTTGTGGTGGAGCTGTTGCTAAGGGGAGGGCTTCGCTCGGTGATGGATGGATGTGGCAGCTGGGGAGGTCCAGTTTGGAGAACATGCACACGCCACAGCGTCGTGGCCGCTGTGACAAAGCTGAAGAAATGTGATCGATATCGTCTAAATTTAATCCTGCAGAGGTTTTGAATATCACGTTCTCCGTGGAGTCTGTTTATGTTCCTGCCCGAATAAAGTCTTATCACGCCTGGTGGGGGTCAATGAACTTTAGCTTAAAACCTTTCCAGTTGGCACAATTTGACATTAGCGACTGTAAATGTCAAAGGATTAGATTAAGATAATAGTCCGGTTGCGTGCAGAGGGTGGCAACACATGTACGACTGCAAATTTCATGTAGTTTAATGTGGGAGGATCTGCAATGTGACCATTTAAAAAAGGTCAATTTGTAGTTATTTTCTGAACAAGATTAAAGTCAAGTTGCAACATCAATAGTTCCGAGTATTTTAGTGCTAATTGCATGTACATTACAGGCCAAACCGCCCCATATTTCTCTTTACTGCATCCCGAAGGTCAAAAAAGCTGCAGGAGTCATTCAGTTCAGCATTAAACCCAAGTGGATCGCAAACACGTTCTGCTTTAAAGCCGCGACGTCTTTAAATAGTCTCCTTTAAGTACATCCTGCGTAAAGCACTTTAAATCCTGTAACATATAAGCTGCTGAAAGTGTCCCACATAGAGTAACGTCACTAGTTTGTGTCAAAATGAATCATTGCACATTTCTGGCTGCAACATCCTTCCTGTTCACAGGGACAAACAAAGAAAATGAGTTTCAAATATTTATTTCAGCTTTACCGTTTCAATTCAACATTTGAAAAATCAAAAGGACAAACAACTTAATATCATAAATCATTTAAGCAGTCATACAATGGTAAGTGAACGGGGCATGTGTGTATACAACAAAAAATATTTAGTCAAGTCAAGGCACACCATGTTACAGTAATACCAAGTGGAAAGATTTAGCAACCTCAACAGGTTTAAGAGCCCTTCAGCTCAGCGTTAAATTATATGTTTTAAAAAAGGAGGGACAGAATAACCAGCATTCAATTCTCCTACAGTCAGAAACTTTATTTTATTCACAAACTGGTGACCATTTCATGTTTAAACTTGAAATGAAAAAGACAAAAAAAAAAAAAGGGCCAGATTTCTCCATGAACAAGTGCTGCGCTTCATGTGGACTTGGGGAACAAATTCAATAAACCTCTGCCACACAGAGTCCGTTCTGCAGAGGCAGAGGGACGCGTGCAGGCGTCACTGGTTCCAGCTAAGTGTTGGCAAAGTAAGTTGGGAGTGAGACGTCTTCCCCCCCATGGTCGGTTCACAGACCATTAAGATCAGGAAGAGATTGAGACCTCTTCAGTACATCCCATAGTGCAGGTCAAGCAGTCCATGGGGTGGGAGGAAGAAAAAAAAAAAAGAAAAAAAATGAAATTTAGTGACTTCTATCTCATGAAGTTTCCACCGCCAATTTCCCTCTTGTACCGGTTGGTGAGGTGGTCGGCCTGCAACGTGAGCTTGGACAGAACTCCAAACAGTCCCCTGAGGTGATAGTGAAACTGGTTCTCCAGGTCCGTGTTCTCGACGGCGTGTTGCTGCTGCTGCTCCTCCTGCTGCTTCACCGCCATCTCCAGGAAGCTGGCGCCGCTGCTCATCTCCCTCTTCAGCAGGCCCCACTCCATGTCGTTCTTTATGGACTTGAGGAGCAGGTAGTGCTCGTACATGTCCCTCTGCTTGTTGGTGCACGTCGGCTCGGGATTTTGGTCATCGTTGTTGTTGTTGTTTACGTTGGGGTCCAACTCGCCGGCGGCCCGCTCCTCTAGCGGCACGTCCCGCAGCAGGCTCGGCACCATGATGGTCTCGTCCATGTTGTTGGCAGCCGCGATGAAGCGGTGCATGACGTTGATGAGGGAGTGCTTGTTGTTGGCGGGGTCCACGCTGATCTGCATCATCTTGAAGGCTTTTGGTTGGCTTGGTTACAGTGCGAGAGGTGGCAGGTGGCGGCGTTAAGGCAGCGCTGCGTGGTGCTTTGGGAGGTGGCTGATCTGCAGGAAAGAGGAAACATTAGGATGGAGGCACATTTTCTTTTGAAGCACAAATTATATTTTGCGTAGAAGTTACATTTATATTTCTAGGCCTGAAATCTACATTTTACACATTCAACATGGACGCAAAATACACACACACACACACAAACAGTGCAGCTAGACAGGAAACATGATGAAACAGTGGAAACTTGTTTCTCAACCGCAGTGGCTCAAGCTAGTTACATCCGTATTCTCCTTCAAATGTGATGTATTGTAACACCCGATGGGAAGCATTACGACCCCGACTTCCTGATATTAAAGCGTATTCATACAGGAAACAGCTCGCGTCGGAGGCCTCGGATAATAAAAAATAAAAAGCCGTTAGTCGCGTCAGAGGCCTTTTGATATGAAACATGACGCAGACTGACCTGAACCACGAGGAGACCTGAGGAGAGATGTTCTTGGCGTGCTGGTTGAATAGACCAAGTCTTCTCAGGGTCTTCACACCACCCGCCGGGAAGGAAAATAAAAGAATTTCCTCAACAGACTGCCGGTTGAGAGCGAGACTTTATAGCAGACAAGCCGGGTTGGGAGGGGGCGGGGCGATAAACAACGCACTCCGCCCAGACTAGTTTACTGCGGAGCCCATTGGGCAGCAGGAACGAGGGGCGGAGTCATAATAGCATCTGATCCTAAACGGACCAATTAGACGTCGGACAGAGCTGCCAATCAATTACGTTTGTAACGGCAGCCTTAAGGCAATGCGGCCTCAAATTTACAAGGAGAGCCACGGTAGCCGTCAGGTGGGCTTGTTTTTGTATTGTAAAACAGGTTTAATGCCAAGTACCCCGTTTAGTAGGTTTCACCTTTTCCTTACGTCACAACGGGCTCTACAGTTGTCTTTATTTAGATTGTGTTACACAGCACTTCCACCTGGCGGTTGGACTCCGTTAAGCCTTCCGACACTTACACTATTACCGTATTACCCTTCCCAGTTGCACACAGAACAGATACACTTGTAATGGGAAATTACTCATTTACCAATTTGTTGTGGGAAATTAGGGGAAAAGCATTCCATTGCAAGGTTTAGGTATTACCTGGTAGTTCAAGCTTAAAAATGTCCCAGGATGTCCCCCTCCAACATGTGATCGTGACTGTTCCTCCACACTGAGCTGTCAATCCGTCATGTTTATCTGCATGTGCATGCCAGCAGGGCACAGGTGCGTTTCATTAAGTTAATTGTGAGTGTCAGAGCATCGTTGAGGTTATTAGTTACACCTGCCGTGTGACGAGTCTAAACTCTGGAACCTGCAAAAATATTCAGCTCAATAATATTCTCTCCGTTGGAATCACGTCTAGTCAGAAATCAATGTGTTCATTTATTTAGTGGATCCATGCAAGTCAATTTGTCTTCTAAGATTTATTTGGTCATATTACTGGAGTACTGAGATATATTTGGCGTTATTAAAGGGAAAGATAACAATGAGTACACAGATTCTATGTTTCTAATCAAATTACTGATTTGAAAGGATTCTTGAAATCAAAGGCTAATATTGTGACATAAATAACAAATGTAATTTGTCAAAAATGACTTTGGGCTTCTTGCTCATTTCAGTCCCGTTTCTCAAGCTATAGCATCTGGTGTATGTGTGATTATATATATAAAAAATATTTATATATATTAAAAAGAATAATACTCATGAGTATGTGAAATCTGCTTGACATCTCTGGATAATAATATATTTTAAAAGTCTGCATTATCAAAAATGACTTAGAATTGAGTGAATTAAACAGGGAATACATTTTCACATTTTCAGTATTAAAACAATTATAATGAAATAATACTAACATTGACAAACTGCACAGATGCATCACAACCAGCCATCAATGTCATACCCTTAAATGTTGAAGTCACGTTAAAAAAAGAACTTTAGTGGCAGACTTCCGTGGGACGCTTCCCGAGCACCGAGCACACACAACGTTAAAGATGCTAAATTTAATCTTTATTTGTTTTTTTCTAAAGTATTCCACATGCATCCACAAAAGAATAAACAATTTTAACACTGCAGAATGGGATATGAAGTCGGCTGGCAAACGTAGCCGACACACAGGACTGGGCTACGTAGGCAGCACGGCTCATTCACAGGTCGGGGACCTCTTTGTCCACCTCTCAGGCTTATTTTGGCTTCACACGTATACGCACAAGTTCACTTAGTGTTGCAGAGACGTTTAACATTATGGTCTACGGACTTTCCTTCTTTTAAAAGCAGAATTACAAAATAAGGCAGCTGCATGATACAAAGATACAACAAATGAAATAATGGACGATTAACGGAAATTAAGTAACTAATAGAAATCCATATTTAAATCTCAGGAGTAACAAATGATGACCAAAATGTCCAGGTCCCTTAATTTCAAACTACACTGCGGATAGCATGCCGTTGCGGGCTTCCTTTCAACCCCCCCCCCGTCTGCTCATTTGGCATTGGCGAATAAAAGAAAAAGCTGTGAGTGTTTTTCCCTTTCTAAAATAACACCAACTAACACACAGACACACAATAGTAAAATAACAGGAGATTCTTTCAACTCGATTTGCACGAGGAGCTGCCCATCGGAGACCTGCGAAGACAACGAAAACACGTCAGACGGGTTGTTGGACGCCGGCACGTCATTTGTATTTGAACATCGGGTCCTTCAATAAAAAGATGACAAATTGTGATTCGACGCGATTTAGCCTCCTGAATTGGAACCGTTCGCTCCCTCAATATTTAACAGCTTTGCCGATAACAAGTCTCACCTGCGGAAGGCCCACGTTAGACCATCTCATACTGGTTGTTGGTTATGTATCGAGACAGACAGCAGGACAGGAATATCCCAATGAGCTGAGAGGAAACACATTACACAAAATACACAAGAATCAAAACACCATTTCTGAGCACCACAAACTGATTTGAAGGGAGACTACAAACAAACAAACAAAACGCACTGAACTGCAGCGTCCTGCGGACACAGCGGTGTATGTATGACACACACACATATATATAGCGCCACTGCATTAGTGCGTAGACAGGCTATGAATAAGCGTACACAAGACTATGTCGCTTAAACCATTTCTCAAAAGCAAAGGTTGTAAACTTCCCCCTAAGACCAGAATTCATTAAAAAGTGTGTCTGATTTCCTGACTGCTTTGTTATTCTATTTACTTATTGGTTTATTTAACAGAGACGGTGCACGTGCATAAACATTACCGTCCCTGCATAATGTGGCAGGCAAAAGGTCAACAGACGTTGCAGAGTTATCCGCCCGGATGTTTTGCCCGACGAGACTCAGACTTTCTGACGGTGTCACAGTTATTTTGAGGCCGAGCATCTGCAAGAACGCGTGATGTACCTGGAAGAACGCAATGCCAAAAGAGATGCCCGCGATGATTCCCAGGTTGGACTCCATCACGCGTGTCACCCGAGCGAAGCAGCCCTACAGCAGGAATACACAATTATACAGCGTAAAAGCAACTAACACCATATCGGCAGATGTATTTGGTCGTTGCTGCGGGGGGGAAGGCAGTGCACTCACCACTGTGTACACCTCCGTCGCAGCCTTTTCGACGTCTTTCAGGGTCTCCGGTGAGCAGTTGGAGCTGGATTTACAGCAGCTGACAGGGATGCCGTTGTCTATGAAGTATTTTGTGCCGCTCCAGTCAGTGTAATTGTTCACCCCGCAGCACAGCAACTACATGGAAATAAATACAACGATTAAAGTATTGCAAATAAATCTCTCTGAGCGGTACAGCAAAATGGGTCAAAAATGTTTTTGAATCACATTGGTTCTTATATAAACAGCACAGTCGGATAAGAGCAGCACGCTTACGGTTCTCTGGATGCTGTCCACTGCGGCGCTGCTGCCGCCGGCCTCGGTGCCGTTGTAGTTGGACACAGCGTTCTCGTAGGCGAAGCCTAACTTGGCCTTGATCTGGAAAAACAAAGATTATACGTTTTATAGAGCTGATGTCATCCTTGCAGAAAGGGATGATAATAAGTGTAAATAATACGGTTTATTGACCTCATGTCTGAAGATAAAGCCTGAGACACCGGCCACGAGCTCCGCCAGGAACACCAGGGTCAGAAACATGGCATACTGGAGGAGCAACGCACACGGAAACAATCAGCCAAAAACAAGGTCACGTCTAAAAAAAGGGGAACATTTTCTTTGGGGGGGGGGCGGGCTGCAGCTCCGCTGACCAGTTTGAACATCCAGGGGCTGCCGCGGCACGTGGCGAAACACCCGAACAGTCCGAAAATAACGATGATGGCTCCGGTGCCGATGAGGACGTACGGCGCGTTGGTGCTCTCCTCGGAGGCCAGAGAGAAGTAGGCCTCCAGGCTCACCTTCCCCCACACGCCGACGGCCAGCAGGATCACTCCCGTGAACTGGAGGCGACAAGAGGGAGGGGGGGGGGGCAGGTGGTAAAAAATTAGGTCCTCCTGGCTCCCTTGTTGTATATGAGAATAAATCTTATATCTTTGGGTTTTGGTCAGGAAAAATAGTAATAAAAAAAAACACGTATTTGGGGGTTCTGGGAACTTCTAGTTGTCCTTCTCACAGTATTCAGACATTTTACACACAAAACAATCAGATAAAAAATAAATCCACAAACTATTTGTCAGATTGAAATTGAAACCTAATCCTCTCACTACCTTAAAAAGGTGTAGGGGGGGGGGGGGGGCAAATACAACCTCTGATATATTGGATAACCCAGCGTTGTATCTGGACTCCGATGAGGCAGATTATGCATTTACATAATTTGACCCGACCACACACACCCGGGTCACGCAACTGGCATCTGGGCTTTTATCTTTATCATCTCAGCGCCTCGGACTGCACACGCGGGTCATTAGCTAAAGGGGGAGGCATCAGCTCCACCAGCCAGGAGCCATAAAGTGCCAGATAAAAGCCCCGAGCTGAATATACATGTCAGCAGCAGCAGCCAGAGATTTGTCCTGAGCTGTTTACTCAGGACAAAGATGAAGGGAGGGAGGGAGGGAGAGGGGGGACGTGTCTGTTCTTTTTCCTTACGTGTAATTACATCATGAGAAATTATTCCGACGGTTATTGTCCAGCTCAATTATTTGGTTTATAAAGAATAACAAAATGATTCGATGAACTGAAGTGACAAAAACACCAAAACTTTTTCTTGGCTTCTCCAGTATGACGATGGACGCGTTTTCTTTGTTTTTTATGACAATGAGCCTGAACACATTTGGGATTTAGATTGTTGGTTGTCATTTGAAGTTAGTGCCCATTACTGCAGCTGGTATCAGTTGTGTATGAAAACTTCCAAAATAAACTCACATTGACCTACAGGCAGGAAACAGTTAACATCAACAATAAAAATAAAAAAGTTTTTCCTAGATGAACGCATACAATTAAACAGACGGAGAATAATTAAACGCATCAACGCCAATGATACAAACCCAAACCATCAGTAAATGAAGCTTTAAATTTGAACATTGGTTGCACATTTACACACACTGTTTATGGACTGAAACGATTAAATACCAGCTAATTGCGACAATACGTGTTTGTTTCCACCCGATCATTAACTCCTCACAGGAAGCGATTTAGCCGGAAAATAAAGTGCACGATCAGCCGCCCTCGTATTCCACGGCGATCGATTAATCGAGCCGTCGTTAGCTCATTGTTGCTGCTTTAGCTCGTTGTGCCCCCACGGAGGCTCCGCGACACGCAAGCTCACCCAGAAAATGAGGCTGTAGGAGATGAGGAAAGTCTTCAGGCAGGTGATCACCGGCTTCGTCTGAAGCCGTCGGGACGGCGGCGACATGTTTGGGTTTTGTTTTTTTTTACTTTAAAGTCGAAAAAATAAAGAGAGAGAAAAGTTGAGTTTACGCCGCCCTGGAAGGAGGAGAGAAGAAAAAAAACTTCGGGATCAAATCCGGGAAGAGAGAGGGGGAAGTGTCGTCACCAACCCAGATTCACTTTCATCAAAAAAACAAAAAACAGCTTCTGACGATCCAGTCAAGTCAGCTGGGACATTTATGTTACCGGCCGGCATCAAGGGCAACTTTCAGAATAAAACGGCAACGTATCCCCTTAAAAAATAAATAAATAGATCAAAATGCTTCCATTATTGTAAACACACAATATGTTTAAGGATTCATATTTAGTGAGATTTTCTTTGTAAAACTGGCTTATTTAATGCTCATTTACAGCTTGACTGGACGTAAACATGCTGAATCAAAATGATGACAATGCTACATTGAAATTAGCATCTCATTCTTTTTTTTATTAAAAAGGGTGAAATATTCAGACTCACGATCTTGTCAATTCAGCTTAATACATCAATTATTTTGGTTTAAAATTATGATTTTATGAGATAAAGAACTTGCTCTATAGTACCACTTCTTAATTTTTCGATAATTTGATTTTCTCTCACAATTTTGACATCAAGCGCAAGTATTAGGCATTCTAGTGGTATTCATTTCACGGTTCACAATTTCTGGTAGATTAAAAGTATCGTACATTCTTTTTCGGAGTCACTGTTACTACCTAAGTTTTTCAAACTCAATTCTGCATAAATGGCTTTATTGTGAAGGGAGTCGCGTTACTTCCTGTCTGGCTTCATCACATAATTCCACATTATTCCTGTGGGACGTGACACGTCGAATCCGCTAAATTAAATCAACAAGTTAGGTAAATAACATTAACATAACACGGCCCTCATAACATTTCCTTTTATTTATATTTTGGCCAACAATTTTAGAACACATTAGACCTTGAAACTTCTATTTCAAATATTGTATACGGACATTATATCTATTACATATTACATCATATTTGCGAGATCTATTATGTAATTTGTCGGAATATTTGTATGTCTCTAAAGCCCTTTAAATATACTTTTTTTAAACTACTACTAAAACGAAAAGTATTTTCGTGCAACGATTCTTCGGAATATCAACTTATATCTATATCCCCCCCGTTTCCTTGAACAAACCTTCACTTTCTGCGACGTGGGAGGGGCAAGGTTCAATGACGAGCCTCAAATATCGTATTTAACGCAACATAAAGAGGAAAAACATCAACACAGAAGATCCAACAGCGCCACCAAGTGGTGTTTGACTTTGACGGTGAACCAGAAGGATCCTTTTCAAAGACTGCGGAGACTCTGGTACGAGTGGAGCGCACATTGTCCTCAGCGGGATGATTCAAACTTTTTCTCTTTTTACGTTCTTTTGTCAACCAACTGCAAACTTTCTGTGCGTTATAACTTCGTACTTTTCGGATTGACTTTGCAATCTGAACGAAGCCGCGCCAAAAGCTTTTTTTCCCCCCACAGAAGTTTCAACATGATTGTCAACGTCTTCGTGGCTCTGTTCGTTTTATACTTCACAGGTAAGTGCAAACACACGCACATAAACTGTCTTGAGTCAAAGTATAATTTTATTATTTATTACTCTTAAAAATAAAAAAATCTCATCACGCCTGCTGCATAAGGTCACTCCAACATAAAAAGCTCTGCAGTAGGGGAATGCTTTCTTCTCAACAGTAATAACAACTGTATTAAATGCAGATGTGCTGGATTTTGAAGGCCAGTGGGTGAATGCATCCTTCAAGAATGAGCACGATCCAGTTAAAACAAACTTTTATTAATTTATTGAGCTCGTAGTTGATCTACATGCTTCTGCTTTGCTGACCAAGCCGTTTAATTACAGCTCGGCATCAACCACCACCGCTTAATTACTGAGGAGTCCTCCCTCTGGGCCGAGTGTGCAGAAGCCTCTATTTAATCCTGCAGAGGTAATAGCATGACCTGAGATCCACCCAGATGCTCAGGTGGTAATGCAGAGAGATTGAAAGGATGCTGGTCTCCTTTGTCATTAGAGATAAATGACGCCTTTGTATCTCAAACAGGTGACATTTGTCAAACTGCACAGCTTATCTGTGGTGTGACTCATTCCTGCCTCGTGCACTCACTCTGCTTTCAGCATGCACGCCCGTGTGAAGTCGGTACTGTGAGAAGTGCATGACCTAAATACTCATGCATCAGTACCAGAACTCACTTTAAGTGAAACATTTGAAACATTGGCTTCGTGGGGCTGCTATTTTTGACCTTTTTGAGATTACAGTTAAATGTGCCTATTAGCTTTTAGCACCGCAGTAGTTCTGCCTGAATGTAACTTAATATACTGACTTTTAACTGCCATGCATGCTAGTGCACGTTCCCTTTAGTAATGCCTCTCTACATTTGAGCCTCGCAATGAGCCTCACTTGTTATTTCCTCTGCGACTCCCTCTCTGTGAGGGGGATTCGGGAAACATTAGTTCGGGGAAGTGTTACCGAGTGGAACATCGGGCTCATGAGAAAAAACGCTGACGAAAGGTTTTAATCACCACATCGCTTGAATATTCTGAAGCGGCTTCCAAAGCACCGACGGGGGGGGGAAGCTTATGTGATGCGTCATTATTATTAAAATCTGTGTTGAAAGCAAACCATGTTGGTTCCGAGGGCCAGAAAAAAAAGCAGACGAGTGGAGCAGCAGCAAGGGAGGCAGCTGACTCGAGATGGGGGTGGAGGTTGACTGCCTGGAAAGTTTGGCACTCAGCTCCAAACATGGAGTCCTTTGAGCCCGAACCACAACTCCTAACGGAGGAGGATAGCAGTGAAAAGGCTTAGAAAGAAACCACAGCAACCAGCTGGCATCTCTGAGCCTTCTGCTCATTACATGAGAAGAGATGAGTAAGAGGGAAAATCTCCAAGTGAGTAATGAGGACATTTGGTGCCTTCGAACTTGCGGTGAACGTTCTTGTCCATCTAAAAGGCCAGAAAACACTAGAAGACGCAGTCGGAAATGATTTCACATCCTCGAGTTGATTCCTGTGGGAAACATAAACTTTACGCTAGAGGATTCTGACCCGACTCCAGGGTTCCTGTTATAACATCGCTGCAAGCTGTCAATGGACTGGAATGTCAGGGAGCTTCTGTAAATAAGTTATGGGAGAGCGATTGTGCGGGGTGAGACGTGGTCGTGTGAGATGTGTCAGTTGTTTGTCTGGTGATTTATTTATTTTTTTCAGCCGGCTCTGGGACCACAGAGTACGACCAATACGATGACTTTGTAGAAGAAGACTACGGCCCTCAGCTGGACTACCAACGTGCGTATGGAAAAAACAAAGAATATACGGCAATGCATAACACCGGATGAACAGTTCTGCTGTCTAGTATCAGATGTCCGAGTATACGGGACACACATGTTCAGGTGTTACTCTTCAAACGCAGACCCAAACTGGTGCCATTCTCCGGGTCTGACCAATGGAGAGGTGACCTGCCGCTCCCCCCGAGGCCCGGCCTTCAGGAGCACGCTGGGCACCCGCTGCGAGATGAGCTGCGACCGAGGGTACCGGCTGCTGGGGAGGACCTCAATCCAGTGCCTCGCCAACAGGCGCTGGTCCGGCACCGCTTACTGCCGCAGTATGTGGAAGCTGAGGCTTTAATATTCTTTGCACCATGTGGCGATAATAATCTTTTCCCGCGTTTAAAACGCACCGTTGCACGAAATCTAAACAGTGCAAATATGTGCATTAATGAAGCAGTGACAAACGACAAGACACTATTAAATGGTTTACTAAGAACATTTGGTAACATCTACAATGCATTCATTCAATTCGTGACCTTTTTTAAAGATCTAGAGACTATAAAATCTGACACACAAACTAAAACATTGCTGGTTTTGGTCTTTCACCAACCTCATCATTTAAGATAAACTGCATCTGGATGATATGTCAGTTTTCGACCTTTTCCCTCAACACACTCCCTGTGTTTGTGGCGATGTCATTACAGAGGTGCGTTGCCATCTGCTGCAACTCATTCCACACGGCAGGTACACCTGCACCCAAGGCTTCGTGGTGGACTCCAGGTGCGACTTCACCTGTGACCCCGGCTATCGCATCGCGGGGCAACACTCACGCACCTGCCAGCGCAGCGGCTCCTGGAGCGACGCACAGCCGGAGTGTGAAGGTACGGATCAAAAGTCCAAGCAGCTGTTTGAACTCCAAAGCCTCCGCTGGTCTCTCAACTAGCGGGTACGTCTTGGAGTCAAGCAGCTGTATCGCTGTCTAGTTTTTAATTTCCTGCTCCTCTGGTTTTTGGTCCTTCGGTTTTCACATTCTGCTCCGCACGAGTGCGACGGTAAGACGACATCCTGCCTGCAAAATCTTTTGCTTATTTCAGATACCGATCCGCCAAAGATCAAGTGTCCTCCGTCCCGACTTAAGGCCGCTGAGCCTGGAAAACTCACTGCTACGGTGACCTGGAATCCGCCCACTGCTACAGACACCGCGGATAAATCACTCAAGTATTTAGCTCCTTCTCCTTCGTTTCCCCTTTTCCTTGTAACGCAATTGAGCAACCAGCCTCTTCCGCATTCTTTCCTAACAGTGTGATATTGGTGGGCCAGGAGCCAGGCACCGACTTTGAAGAGGGAGCGAGCATCATACAATACAAAGTGTACGATCAAGCCAGGAACAGAGCGGCCTGCAAGTTTATCGTACGCGTCGAGGGTGAGTTGACCTATGACCCCGACCTGCTTTGAATGCACATCGACACTCCAGCTGTAAAACGTGGAACCACGCGCTGGATTGCGGATTTGCATCGTGTCCTCCTTCCAGTGAGAAGGTGCCCGGTGCTGGCCGCGCCTCAGCGCGGCTTCCTCACCTGCTCCTCTGACGGGAATAACTACGGCGCCACATGCGAACACCACTGCGAAAGGGGATATGAGCGGAGGGGCCCGTCCAGTCGCGTCTGCCAGTTCGACCGCAGCTGGGAAGGAAGCCTCGTCGAGTGTGTTCGTGAGTCTGCACGAAAAATCTCAATGATGCACGAGAATGCAACATTGTACACGCGTGAGGTGTTGATACAAAGGTGCACCTGCGGCTTTTGTGCGTTTGTAGCAATGGAGATTAAATCAGACGTGAGGACGCTTTCCGATCTCCTGAATCAGTTCTATGAAAAGAGGAGGCTGCTGATCGTGTCTGCGCCCAACATATCTGACCCGGACTATCAGCTGCAGAACACCATGATTCAAGTGAGGAGAGGTGTTTTGCCGCTGGGGACTTCACATCAAACGTCCTCTCAGACATGATAAGAATAAACAAGGACGTCAAAATCTGTTCATTTCTTTCCCCCCCTTCCCCCAAACCAGAAATCCGACTGCGGATTAGATCTGCGACGTGTCACCGTCATCGAGCTCTGGGGCTCCCCACCCGGAGAGACGGGACGCATTAAAGAAGGTCTGCTCAGCTCTGAAGCCATCCAAGGGCTGAGGTAAGAGTTACACATCTCACCTTGTTATTCAGTTTGATGGTTCATCCTGTGTGTGTGTGTGTGTGTGTGTGTGTGTGTGTGTGTGTGTGTGTGTGTGTGTGTGTGTTTTCTTATGTAAGTCGCATCCTGTTTAAGAGTGAGGGGCTGTTTCCCCTCCCAAAAAGGGATCCTGTGTGGAAGAAATCCACCTGAAGAATTCCAGGGTAGCAGTAATGGGATTTTGATGAGACTGACAGAACATCAGGAGTAAACACCTGGCTTCGGTTCTCATGATTCTTTTAAAGTCCACATTTGGACAAACTCAAGCGTGTAGGGACTAGTTTAGGAGATGTGTAATCGGACGCTGGGACGCTGCTCGCGCTTTCCAGACTGGAAAATCTTTGCAGTCTTTCCTCTGCCACACAAATCCCACGGCTGTGGTGTATTTAGGTACTCTGGGAAATTAGACATCACCGAGGTAAAACTAGTTTACCACTCACCATTTCTGGATGTCACCATAAATGTAAACGAGAGAGCACTTCAGAGTGCGATCATGTTGCTTCTTCGAGCTCCGTTATGGTCTCCACCAACTCCTGAGGGAAGTGTATATCGCCGTGGCTGCAAAATGCTGATGTCACTACGAGCATCCGAGAGCACGTGAATATAGCAGAAGTACGAGAGGAGTGTTTAATATTCATCGTAACGTGTACCTCTCTGCAGACAAGTGTTCAAGATCTCCAGATTCCACTTCAGCATGTTGCTGCTGGACGAGCTCGGGCTGGACCGAGAGCGCTTCATCACCCCGCAGGCGTCCCATGAGCTGTTCTACTACATCGATAGCTTCCTGCTGGACGAAGAGGAGCGAGGGAGACTCGAGCTCCAGAGGGACTTCTGCGGCTGATTTAATAAACTTCTCCGGTTGCCACGGCGATAAACTCATCAGGTTCACTGAACACAAGAGGAGGGGAGGAGGACAAACAACCCCGACACCAGGTCCGGGGGGACATTAGGAGGGAAAACAGGACTAGAAGGCAGTTCCTCGTGTTTAAATGTAATCACTTAACACTGACGTTTTAGCACCGTTTTCTCTCAATACAGAAAACGGAGATCGCAGAAAGTAAAATGCAAAAAAATGAATATATGTTTAACCAAAGACCAAAATGAGGTTGGATACATGGCGTATTAGTAGATCTGATATTCAATGACAACAACAGACTGTGGAAGTTCTTGAGTGTTTTTAAATCCAGCTGGTTTGGACAATCAAGCAAGTTATTGACTTTAGTACAATTTTTATTGGGTGAACATTAATGGAAACCTACAGGCGACCGATCACACATAAGAGTTAAAAATCTACATAGAAATCAGCAAAGACACAATTAATCATTTAAAATAAGTATTTTCTTGTAATATAAATAAAATGCTTACAGAATGGTGTTTCTTGTTGAATAGAATAGCAGGAGTATCACACACACACACACACGTTTAGAATCACTTGTTTTTCTGTGCATGTATTAACTGCATTAATACAAACAGTCGGAATTTTTCAAAAAACCTCCAATGACTGTTTAAGTGCTCCCAAAATCCATCCAAAGTTTAGCTGGGATGTTTTTTGCCGTATTTATCCAACAGTTACACCATTCCGCAGTAACGGGGGGAGGGGGGCTGCTAAAGGCAAACCCCATACAGGGAGGCAGATGTTCAGCAGGCCAGTGAGCAGCGTCTCTGCTTACAAACCCGTATGCGGGTCCACTCCAGCAGACAAGCTGCTGGTCTGATGAAACGGCGAAATAACAACAACAGGCGCAGGCCTCTGGTGCGCATCCTCATTTGCCCTTCAACATAGTGGAGCGCAGAGGCAGAGAGCCCTCTGCCCACGAGTCCGGGTACTGCATCATCTTCTCCCACATGCTGACTTCCTCTCCAACGGAGTCCATTTGCACTTCCACTTTCCCTGCGTTCACAGCGCCTGCAGGATGGACGATCGCATGAGTACGAAATTAAGTGCAGAGTCGTGTTTTTACTATTAATGATGGCGAATTCCTTTTGCTCGCCGAAACAGAAGCATCAAAAAGGTGCTTAAACTGTAATGTCAAAATAGGTGTTAACGCTGCGGCAATTTAACCACTTAAAAAATATGAGGGTAGGTAGAGTATTGATTTCCCTTTCATCAAGGCTACTTAAAATGCATTACGATAATTTGTTTGATTTATTGATCTTTTACCTTTTTTGGAGCCGAGACGAACTCCGCCCAAAAATTCGTTGCTTGACATGGCCTCTCTGTCCCACACGGTCAGCTCCAGACACATCCTCTCCAGCTGCTCCGGAGACAGATCCTTGTACACAAACGTGTGGCCGTAGTGGGGGTTCAGGTTCTTCTTCACCACGGGAGTCTTCCTCTTTGTGGTCTTGGCCTTCGTCGGGAACAAGTAGCTGATGAGCGCAGACAGGTTCAGTCTTGAAAAGGGAACTGCCGCACAAGATTTTAAGACCGCAGACTTGGTCACTCACCCTTTCACAAAGCTGTCCGAGGTGCCTCCTGGTTTCATTGCAATCAGATTCTTTGCCTCTTTAATAAGGACATGAAGTTCTCCACCTCCCTCCATCGCCGCCTTTTTGCCTGTGGAGGAGGTGGACACTCTTACAAAGTAGTCAAAGTGTTTAAAACAGTTTTTTTTTTTTTGTCATAGTCTTACCTTTGACCTTCTCTGTTTTGGCCGTTTTAGGTGTGACATACTTCAAGGAGATCACCAATTCCCCTTTGTACAGAGCGAACGCCGACGATGGCCCAGCAGAGGGAGCCTGTGTCCCAAGCGCAAATTGGATTTAGGGACACAAACCCAAACGACAACATAACAGAGGCCGCTATGCTCGCCTAAAATCTACCTTCCCCATGAGGATCACGCGGTCCGTGTGCGGCGAGTCGAGGTCGCGGGTGTCCAGGGCGACCTCCACCTCCCCGAGGAAGGCGTTGCGGCTGAAGCGGCCGTGATGCCACACCGAGATCAGGACGGAGCGAGTGAACAGCTGAGTGCGGCCGATGGAGTACTGCCAGTGGGGGGATGAGTTGTATCAGAAGTAGCATTAACCATCTTAAAAATCGAGAAAACTACAGTAATTCAGCCAAAGTGGTTTCCTGCGGCATCGTTCGTTAACGTCTATTTGACAGCAGCTTTTCTAATCTTTCATGTGAGCACCACGCTCATCTGTAGGCGTGGTCATTATTTGCAGCAGTCACTAATCAGGGAGTGTCATTAAGTCAACAGGACAAAGGTCAACAGCAGCCTTCAGTTGCAGAAGAGCACGTTATAAAACACCTTCAGGGTTTCTTCGTAGACGGGGTTCACCGTGTTTCTCTTGATGCTGGTCTTCCGCTTGCTTTGCCGAGATTTGTCGGGGAGCAGATAACATTTCACATAACTGAAACACACAAAAAAAAAAAACAGAGCAAGCTGTTCGTCGTAATTACGCCCTCTTTCCTGACTAAATGCTATTAAAACATATCGGCTCACATTCAATTTCCTGTGACGCTCAGATGATCACCTGTGGGATGCAAGTGTCAAGGCTTCTGTAAACACAGCGACTTCTTATCTGCGCTGATAAAAGATGCTAACATCACTGAGCGCGAGATGTGTGTGTGTGTGTGTGTGTTTAAAAGCCACAAAGCCGTAGTTTGCGAAAAAGCTGCGCATCGAATTACACGCTTCGCCTCTCGGGGCAGGAGGCCCGCTTGCGGTACTTACGGGTGGGACAGCTGCTTGGAGGCGTCGCCGTAGGCCAGCCCGCGGCACTCCTTGATGAAGACGTGGAGGCTCTGGCTGAGTTCCTCGTAGGTCAGAGAGAAGACGAGGTCTCCGCTCACTTCCACGCTGTCAAAGTCTCCCGCTTCGCTGTAAACGCTCATCAGGCTGCCCAGCGTGCTCTGCAGAAACACACACACACACACACACACACACACACCGGAAAACTGAATGCATAGTGAGCAAAGACTCCGGTGCCTGTTTCAAGTTAAAGAAAGCAGAAACAACATGAAAAGGCTTCTGCAGAAAATGAATAACTGCCGTGGGGTTAACAGAAAGGGACTAACAAGTTAGCAAAGATCAGGACGTTTCCGTCAGGCTCTGAACCCAGATTGAGCTTATTAAAGGCATGCTTTCCCCTGGGCCTTTGGTAACTATAGAAACCCTTAGAATGAGCAGAGCATCTATAACCTCAGGATATCCTGAGGTTATAGATGCTCTGCTCAGATTATCTAACATTAGTTCCATTCGGGGGAGACATAATGAGCTGCTCTTCAAAAGAGCGGTGAGAAATGTCAATACTTTACCTTTGAGCTGTGCAGGCTGTAGGAGCTGGAGGCCATTGTCCTTTTATGGAAGGTAACCAGGCGGTCGATATCTTCCTCCTCCTCTCCTCCTTCCTGGGGCAACATAAACATTTAGAAGACACACGGTAGGGTTTTTACCGTCAGAAGTGAGACATGCGGGATTAAAAGAAACAAACAATTCTTCCCAATAGAATCGTAAGACGGTTTAAAAAAGGAGAAAGCTGTTGAGGCTTCGGTGTAATCTCCTGCAATCAGAGGAGGTCCTCCATTTTCCAGAGACATTTCAACAAATAACAGGAAGCCACCCACCACAGGCGAGGCAAAGATAGCGTGCCAACCGCCTCAAAAGGCCAACATTTTACGCAGCCACTGCACACGTTTTTCTTTTAGAAAAGAAGCCCGACTGTCCTGTTGCTACTGGATAACTATGTCTACAAAAGCCTCCTCCTGAAGAACATCACAGCGCTGCGGATGCTGAGAAACGACCTTTTCATGAACATGTATTAGTAGACGGATCGGTTGCTTTTTCCTCTACACTAAAACCCCCTTTAAGTATCGCGTTTGTGAAAAGAGAGATCCTCGAACCTGAACGTCCAGGCCCGGCACCGAGCGGCTCCTGCTGCCCATCGAGGCCTCCGGGCCGTCACGTCCGTCACGCAGGTCCACAGTGGACACGGACTCTGTCACAAAACAGATCGGCGATTAAGCCGCGATACGCACGCCGGGTCTTTCCCCATTTGATTCATCTGGACGAGGAAAAAGCTGAAGCTGCGCCGCGGTGACGTCGGGTGCTGACCGGCGGGCTTCGTGTCTCGCTTGATGCTCTTCTTGAAGAGTCGGTCGACGTCCATCGCCGGGCTCCAGCTGAGCGGTTTTACTTGCGGGGCCTGCGGTGACCAAAAAAAAAAAGAAAAGAAAATGGTTAGATAACAGAAACACAAAGCTGTCACTTGGGGGGGGGTGGGAGGGAGAGACCTACGTCGTTTGCTTCCAAGTCGGCGCTGTAAACACTGACGACGTCTTCGGCGTCTGCGGCGGTCAGACTGGAAACGGTGGACGCCGCCGAGCTGGAAGAAACCATGAACGGGTTTTTCCTCCTGCGTGTTGACACAAATCATTGTTAGGGACACCTACAGCTCGTGTGTGTTCGCATTGGTCTCAGCCCAATTTGGTTTTAGATCCCAGCAAACTGCGTGTGACCGGTTTTCCAATAAAAAGACGAACCGGACGGCACTTCTCTTCCGTTATTTATTTGATTATTCATGCGTGGAGGTTTCGGTTTAACAACCGAGCCCAAAAAAGTGAATAAATAACTTAATTGAAGTAATGTTCTGTTCATGATTTAGGATGAATTGCTTGCTCCTCAGGAGTCCACACCCGTATTCATACAAATAAACTGAGGGTAATCATTTATCATGATTACCCTCAGTTTATTAGAGGAAAACTACATTAACCACAATCTTTTCTCCCCGCGATTGAAAGTGACTTAAGCAATTTGGATGTCTCATGATAACTTCAGGTGAGTTTACCTCTGATGCTCAGGGGTCTGATGGGCAGACTCGGCCTCTGGTTTATTACTACACACGCCGCCGTTTTCTGCAGACTCGGCGTCACTGCGCGTTGACTTTGACCAAACCTCCTCCTTCGATTCGCGCGATTCTCTCGAAGCAATCGATCCCGAATTGTTCCTTGAATGACTGTGAATGTGACACGGAAGGAATGTTGGTGATGTAGTTGTTAAACCGGAGAAACCCCCAAACACTTCTTGATGCTGACGCACTCTTTGTTCACTGTGATCGCATCTCTCTGCCGGACCCGTGGCGCCGGAACCGGAGGATCTTGGTTTACTTCAGTGCTCCTCAACAGTATTTCTCCCGTTGTCTCGCGCTTGTTCCCTGAAAAAAAAACAAAAAAAAAACCACTGTCATGCTACTGCAGCTTTTAAATCATTGCTGTGAACCGGGACCACATTCCTGTGACTGTGGGCGATTTTTTTTTTTTTTTTTTGGCGCCGGCTGAGAGCTGTTTACATTCCCAGCAGAACAGCCGATACCCACTTCCTCTTCCTGCTCTCACCCTGAGGTCTCCTCTTCAGGGAGGCTCTCACGAGGTCGTGGCCGGGCGCCGCGGAGAAACGGTTGACCCTTTGATCGTAGAACCAGTCGCCTGTCCGTTTCTTTAGATCCCTAGAATCCAACGTAAAGTGCGTGTTTGTAAAATGGAAAAATGGTCACGCTGCCAGTGGTTTTCAGTCGCAGGTGCTCTTATGTTAGATTTGTGAGGGATGTTGCCCCTTTTATTAATATAATATCGGAGCTTTAAGATTTGTTGTAAACCCTAAAGACAAACAGATTTTCCTGACACATCTGAGGCAGATAAAAAGAGTGTAAATAAGAATGAAAAGCGATGCCTTACGACTCTTTTGCACACACGGTGCACAGCCAGGATCCTTCGGGGAGGACCGTCCGGCACTTGCTGCACACGTGGTGGTTGCAAATCTTACACTGGCTGGAGGAAGCGGTCAGCCGACTGAGCGGCTGCAGGCATCGGCCACAGCTGCGCTCACTGTACTTCCCGCTGCCGCGCTTGGCCCCTTTCCTCTTCACATCCAGCAACTCGCTCTTCAAACTCCTGAGACACACAACGCAAACATGAAAAGAATGAATCCCGTTGGCTAAATCAACGCAAACTGGGTCGCTATAGTCCGCTACGTGTAGACGCGTAAAAGGGATCGAGTGGCTCCACCAACAACAACAACACAATAGATAATGTAATATATCCGACGCCTACGCAAAGACAGAATACAAATGTACAACATATTAAAAAAGAAAAAGTAAATTCTCACCGCACACGCTGCTCCTCGGCCTGCCGCAGCTCCGCGTCCCGTTGCAGCACGTCCAGGATCAGCTGCCGCTCAGAGTCCGACAGGTAGCCCAGGTTGATCATGTCGGAGGCCTGGAGCATCGTGCCTTTTTTCTGTTTTTACCGTGAACCCCTCAGCGTAGGCGAACCGGCCCGGCTCAGTGGGCATCGACGAGATCGCCTGTGGACGACAAAACAAAATCATGGGGAATGAGACCCTCGCTGTTTGACTACTGGAGAGGATGTTTCAATGGCAAAGATACAGCTTTTGGGATGTAAATTATGAGCAAGTAACATTCATCTCTACCTGTTGGCCTTCACGTGCTTATAAGAAACATTGCCTGGGAGAAACTAGATAACCAGCAAGGCTTTGCAATCAAACCACCGCCCTAGTCCTTCCAAAGACGATAGATGACTCAGAGGAACCAGGATGTTCTTCCCACAGACAGCTCGTGCCTGCCCGGGTCGAAGGGTTGCTTTGAGAGCGACAGGCAAAACAACATGAACTTGGCCACTGTGAAGGGTTCCCACCCTCTAAGGATACAGACATCTAGGGTGGAGTTCAGAAACTTCCACCATATTTGTTTATTCCCAATTTGTCAGCAGTGACCATGTCCCCCTCGGAGACCGAAGTGAAATTGAATTAAATTGTGCCTGTTCACAGCTGCGCTTGAAACCTCTTCCTCATTGTTTGGATCCCTGCAGCCAACGAGCCGGAGCACAAGACGTGCAACGATACCTGCGAGGCGAACCTGTGCAGGTGAAACCCGCTCTCCGAGGAAATGGCGCATGCGTGTGTGCAACAGATGACATTGCGCCACTTTGTGTGTCATCCTTTACGAGCCCCCAAACAGGGGATAACACGGAGAAGTGATTCCTTAACAAGCAAACATTGAAACACGTCATGTAAACCGGAAAATCCACAAATAACGCAAATAATGCGCGTGTTGGGGGCGGGGGGCTTAACAGAAGTGCAATAAAAATCCAGCTGCAAACGCGATTAAAACGTTTACGTCACGGTGCCGAGTGGAAAATTAAACTAACGCAAACGTTGCGCCACCCTCACTCCGCGCTGTTTACACCGAACCATCTCGGCTTGACACGGACTCGGTTATTCTCACGACGCGATCCAAGGGATGTAAAACAAAAAGCACCCACCTGTTAAAAGTCCACTTCCCCCCCTGCGGCTTCACGGCGTGCGTCACTACGGGCCACAGCCGAGATATTCCCGAGAGAAAACACAACAACAACAACAACAAAACGGGTTAAAAGTCTCTCTGCGAGCATTTAATAAAGCGAACACATGTCCGCGTATCCGCCAAACTGCTTTCGCTCCTTTTTTCCTCCTCGGCCGGACTTTCCACACGTCTCCTCCTTCTCTCCCTCTTCTGGACTCCCGTCTCCAAAACGTGTTGACTTTGTGCGCTCCCGCGCGCCGGAAGATAAGGGAAGGTTTTTTTGGCCGAGGAGCGCGCGTTGTTTGCGCATTTTTCCACGACAGGTGCACTTCTGGCTTCAGGCTTCACCGCACGTGGAGACTTTTCCCCACTAAAACGGTCCGTTGATTTGCTCACGTTACCCCCCCTCTCCCCCCCCTCGGACGTGACCGTTAGACGGGCTTTAAATTTATGAAGAAAGAAAAAAAGTGAGTTGAGTGAGAAGTGCAGTAAAGCAACAAACCGTTTATTGCTTCGGTGGAAATAGCGCAGCGCAGGTGTTGTGCACGCGCAAACATTGTGCCATTTATTTGTTGTAGAGGCGCATGCAAAAGTGATGGAGGAGATTGTTAAGAAAATGCTTACCAGGGTTTTTTTTAATATATATATATATATATATATATATATATATATATATATATATATAGTTTAAAAGTCTCACTCACTGGAATGCAAGAGGTCAGTGCGAGATATTCATTCATATGGATTCATATGGTCTCTTTGTTTTTAGTCATGATGTTTATGTCAGAAACACTCCCAGCTAATTAAATGTGCACAACCAGGTGCCTCCGTGCATGTAGAGGCAGAGAATGGACATGGATATTTCTGCTTTGGTTAAGGCAGATCTCAGAAACCCAACTGTGCTGAGAGTAGTTCCTTTGGCAGGTTGTGCAGACACATCTTAACCCCTCACAGCAAATACAGACGTGTGACGAAAGGAAAAGAAAAACAACAACAGCGGCGGTGTTTGTAACATGTTGATCAGCCACAGCGGCTCCGGTGTTTTCTAGTGGAAGGTTTGAACACTAGTCATGCAGAAGAAATATCCCTTATCTGGGCCCAAATGCTCCCATCTCAAATCGGGGGTCCGACCTGCTGACTGCGAAGTGGCCATCACATGATTCACATCCTTTCGCAGCTTAAGAATCCAGTCGCTGACCCCCAGGTATGTGAGCTAAAGGCCGTCCCTCCGCTCACTCGCTCTCTTTTTCCTCCTTAAATCCTTCACGCACAGCTCAGAAGGTGACGGTCACGTAGTACGGGTTCAATTGGCTGCTACTTTCTGCGTTTGCAAAGCAGAGCTATACTGCATGTTTATATACATATATATATATATATATGTATGTATATAATGTGTCCTGCTCACATTTCTCTATCGCAGTTTTGTATATTTCTGGGTGTTGCTGTAATTACCAGCACACTGATGTGGTCGTGTCTCAGCCTGCAGCTTTATCATTCCAGCCGACCGCCAGCGGAGGGCGATTCAGGGAGTTGAGCGCAACGGCCTGATGCCCTTGAGCAAAATCACTTTAACCTGACCTCTGTTATCCAGTGGCCGACAGATAAGGCCGTGGTTGTGGGGCAGCTTTCTGCGGTTTTCAGATAGGATCATTTTTGCTTGGTTCTGAAGCGGGGCGTTTCTTAAAACAACAAAACAGCATTTGTAGAATAAATAAAAGGCTTATGAAGACACGACATTAGTTGATTTCACCGCCTGACGGAATGGAATAACCATAGAACCCGGCTGTTCTTTTGTTTCATTGGAAGCGTCTCCAAAAACAACGTTTTTTCTCTCCAGACAGCGGGACGTTGGATCGGCGTCCCTTTGTGTTCCTCAGCTCAGGAGGGTCTGCACTCCAAGTCCAGCACTACGTGGTGGACACGCGGCGCGTACGACTTCACGCCTTCTACGCGCCGCGCGTTCGTTGTCCAGCGGGCGCCCGTGACCTCCTCTAGCAGGGCGGCGATGCGGCCGGCTGCGTGGTCGGCCCAGGCGCGCCACGCCTCCCTGTCGGCTCTCCTCCCGGAAGTCCCGCGGGCGGCGGCGCCGGCGATCGCGCCCGGCGGCGAGGACGTCACGTTCTGGTGAAGGTGCAGAATGCCCCCCGCTGTTCTGTTCAGCAGGCGACAGGCAACGGGCCAGCCGTCCTCGGAGCTCGGCACGAGGCCCAGGTTCACCCGGTCGGCGATGTCGCACAGCTGGAGCTGGAAGGTGCAAAAAAACGAAAAAGATATTTAATGTTAAATAAATGATCGCTCCCCAAGCTAACTATTATTAATTGTAGTAAATTGAATTTGAAAAAGGGTGAAATGCATGATCCTTTTTACAACTAATAAATAGTTAAAGAAACTAAGCTAATCAATATTCCTTGTTGAATGGTTACAAGTGCGATGTCAAAAATACATGAATGTGTCATAATTTGTTGATGTTTTGACAGAATTGAGTATCCAAATATCACACTATCATTGTATTATAAAGATATTTTTCCACATGAAAAGCTATTTACGACAAGAGCGATAGACACACTGTTATGATGCTGTTTTATTGTAATTATTGTAATACAACTTCATTGATGTCACTAGTATCATTATGAGTGAACCTCTTTTGCGCAGCTGAAGACAACACAGAGACGTGACCCAGTAATATTAAGCTAATTGAACTATAACTCCCATGAGGACTATGGGATGCATATAGAAAGACTTTACTTGTCGGTTGTCTCCCTGGTGAACGGTGCAGCGGTCAGAAACCCCGTTTGCCTCCAGGTTTTTCTGTAAAGCTTGAACAGCGTCGGGGTTCCACTCACAGGCGTGAACGCGACTGGCCCCCGCGTGGACCAGATAGGGGAGGGTGAAGTATCCGATACCTGACACAAGATGCAGCTGTTAATAATTCAAATTATGTTTAATTACCACTGAAGAGCACATGGGCTGCACCCGATTTAAGTAAGATACTGGAGCCGGAACTACTAGAAATAACACATGCATTTTATTATTTCACTTGTGTTGTTATCTCACCTGCATACAGATCCACCACAGTCTCCCCTCTGCAGTCAAATCCAGCCACCCGCAGCTTCTCCGTTATGTTTCCAGCCGAGAACATGCATCGCGTGACATCAAACTCATAACTGAAAAGAAAGGTGAAGAAATTAAACGTTGACACGTCTTTTAGTCATCGTCGCATTTTTCAAGCCCCTGAAATTGATGGTTTTTAGGATGTTGACGTACCTAATCCCGTTGTCCACATGTTTCACCCAGCTGTGTTCTCCTACCAGCATCGTCACCACGGGAGACCTGAACCCGTCTCTGGATATTCGACTCATCTTTGCCAGCCGCTTGGCCCCCAGTCCTCTTGCCACCGCGCTCCATAACTGTTGATCTAAGGGGGAAAAAGCTAAAAGGTCATCAATGAACGTCTTTGTAGACGCGTTGCTGTGTTAAAAAGGTGTGCGAGAGCTTTGCGACCAGCGTCGTACCCATCTTCTTCCACAGCGGCAGGGAGAAGCATCGCTCCCCCAGCAGGAGCAGGTCTCCGTGCCTCTGGAAGCTGCGAGGCAGGTCCCCTCTTAGCTCCTCCGTCCACGTCTCACCGCGGGATTCCAACAACTCCCGCAGGACGTTCTCCAGTTTATTGGCACCGGTCCTCACTTTCTTTGACTGCAGAGGAGACTGTGGTGTAAAACAGGACAGACAACGGGGGGGGGGGGGAGGGAGAGAGATGCATAGACGTCCTTTAAAGCTGCACCAAAGTCCCATCTAAGACTTATTATGTCCCAGTGAGGCTCAGCTAAGTTACCTGACTCCAAACTATTTCAAAAGTACCATCGGAAGCCAGTGATGTTCTGAGAGAGAGCAGATCAAGATGTGGCAGGCAGGAGGGGGAAATGGGCAAGAGGACGGTCTCATCGGAGTCTTTCAGTAAAGACAAACTCAGATCAAGAGCCCCTGTGGACTGTAGACATCTCCTGTAAAATGAAAAGGCTAAACGTCAAATAAGATAACTTAACATCAAATATTATTCAAACTACCGCAGACAGCCACAGAAAGTAGATTGAACTTTTAAATCTCCAACATTTTTTTTAGTCCGTAGGTCTCGGTTCCCATCAGTAGGCTATATCTGGTACCCATGCTAACTGTTAGCTTGCTTATCTTGAGCAGCTAGATGCCCGATTACCTGAGCTGCTGCGCGTGACACTGCGACACGCGAAGGCAAGGCACCCTCTCCATTGTAAAGGCACCAAAACAAATATCAAGTGTTCATGTTTGACGGTTCAAAACTGCCAATTTAGCCTGCAACGTATTAATTACCGAACCCGGAACAGGTGTTATGTCAAAATATGTTCCCTCGTCAAAAAAGTGTTTTCGCTTTGTTAAATGGCAGCGCCCCCTTCGGCCGTTGCGGAAGCACCGATCAGCTGGGGAACAGTATTCTGCGCAACACCTGTTCAATCAACGGGTGTTTCTCGTCGGATTGTTTTGCAGGGCGGACGCTTCAAAATATAAAACTTTATTGAAATCAATGACGGACAATGAAACATATGGGTAGTTCACGTCAGAAAATAAAAAACGCCACGATGTTGAGCCCTCTTTTCCGTCAAATACGATATATTCCTACATAAAACATGAGAGAATATGTTCATTAATATCAAATTTTGTGAGAGAACGACGGGGAGAAAGCAGTAGCGGTTTGGACAGAGTTTCTCCTTGAAGCCAATAGATGGAGACAAACAGCCCAAAACCCCAAACCATAAATGAACCCATCTCACATAGTAGTGAGAAAAGTTATTCTTAGTTAATAAAATGTATGCATTTCATAACAAAATAAAGCAGGTATAACTCAGTACAACGTTAACTTTGTATCGCACCATAATGATAAACTAAAAATCATATTGAATCGTAGTCCACGATTCCCTAATATTATATCAAACGCACTGATTGTAATTTCATGAGATTTCAAGTCATATTTCAAATAGTTTCATACAAATGTCATGATGCATTTTTTGTTTTTGTCAAAGGCGTGGAAAGTTTTCCCTAGAGTAAACCATTTTCCTTTTTGGGCGTTAAAATTATATGCACCTTTATATATATTTTCTATGGTCATTGTTATTTAATATATTTGTTTCCTAATTTGTAACTGCTGCACAACAGTTTCTCCTGGGATGTTTCTTGTTGATGTATCTTATTTCCTTTTATAGTATCTATCTGCTGTAGCAACACAGTAGATCAGTAACGTTACCTTTTAGCTGAATGCTACAAAAGAAAAGACAAACGAAAAGGGACTGTTTAAGAATAGATATCAACAATAAAATACGGATCAATCAATACGGATAACCCACTGTAGGCTTGTCACAGTTACCAATTTTCTTGGACGATGTATCATCAAAGAAATAATTGCACGAAATAATTTTTTTATAAACAATATTATATATTTTAAGACAATTTCAGAATAACATTCCAAGCACACCCTTTAAAGGGCAATGGACCTTTATTTCCAATGAATATTAAGACATTAGAATTAGCATTTGAAGAAACAAATCATTCACATTTTCTCAATAAATTAATTAATAAAACAACACAACCAAAACATAAATAAATGAATAAAAATGAACTGTCCGGCTCTGTAACAATAAGTTCACTGTGTGTATAGTGTTAGGGACACTTCTGCTGTTTATGTTGGCTAAACATGTACGTAAGCATAGCAGGCATTATCAACGTCAGCAATGATGTGACTTCACAGGGTTTGTGAACAAAGTGCAGCTACCGACATCTGTTCAACAAACGAACTAATCATTAACTTATTTCCTTCAAAGAAACACGTCTGATCGGAATGCAACACACAAACAAAAAAACATAAAATCTGTTATTCATCACACTGAAAGTAAAGATATCTTATTTCCCGGGTAGTTTTCTGAAAAAGTAAAAAAAAAAAAAAAAAAAGAATCTCTGCAGCCACGAAGCAACACTTGCAGGATTCATCTGGTGTCCATGAGTGGTGACCTGGATGAATACTCTCCTTCACGCTGATCCGACCCTGGTTTATACCACAGGCGACCTCTCCTGCATGCCAATGTGATCCAAACAGGACCCGCGTCCGTGTGTCCTTTGTCCCCCTCACTTCCACCTGTCCTGTCCCTTTAAGATTAGACATTTAAATCTAGGCGTGTTTCCTGCTGCCATTGAGTTAAAAAAAAGAAAAGCAGAGAAAAGGCGCTGGCATCCTGCAGGGGAGGAAAAGAGCATCAAACGAGCTTCACGCGACAGGCGGTTCTTCTTCTTCCAAATGTGTTTCATTCCTGGAGGACTCGTGCCATGTTTATTGACGCAGACGCGCGGAGGACCTCCAGCAGCGCGAGCCGCAGTCCAACGTGTGAATGATCATTTATGAAATCTTCGAGATGATATGAATGTCACTCGGTCAAGGTCCGCGCTCCCGACGCAGCAGCCGCGGCCGGATTCCGCACGTTCGGCTGGGAAACCGACGACACCGGCGTTCGGGTGAATTAGATTGTGTGTTTTTAAAAAAAACAACTAATACTGTCCGTTGAGAGGAGACTGTCGTGTGTTTTTTGTGTGTTGTTGTTGAGCAGCGTGGGAGCCTCGCGGTGGGAATGACACGCCGCGGGTGAAGACGGGAAACGGGAAAAATAATAATAATGATGGGACAAGAAACCCACGATGTGACTGCGACACTTTGACCCGTGAAGACGGAGCGGGGAGAAAACTACAACAAAGGAAATCTTTTTTTAAATTTTTTTTATACAGGCATCGGCTTGTGCACAAATCTACAACACCGCCGAGCTGAGACGCCTCGTCTCCATAAAACAAACAAAAAAAACAGCTGGCACGCACGCAGGCGCGCGCGCACCATGTCGGCGGTGATGGTCACACGAAAGGTGCGAAAATGGGAGAAGCTCCCGGGGAAGAACACGTTCTGCTGCGACGGCCGGGTGATGATGGCCCGGCAGAAGGGGGTCTTCTACCTGACCCTGTTCCTCATCGTCGGGACCTGCTCGCTCTTCTTCGCCTTCGAGTGAGTTCATTTCCTGTCCCTCCCTCCCTCCCTGCGAGTTGTCTCCAGAAAAGGGGCTCGCGGGTCGCTGTGATTGTCCCGTGTGATGCTGTGTGCTATTTGTGTGGCATATATACTGCTGGTAACCGTGTATCCCCGCTTTTAAAGCTGCTGTAAGCGAAGACAAAGTCAATAAGTGGATTGAGGGAAATCATTTCAAAGCTATTTTGGTCATTAGTTCATTTCAGGTCAGTTTTTTGGGGGAAAGAAGGCAGTTTTTCAAATGTGAATGTTGTATTGTAAACAAAATATGTTGGATTTGTGGAGAAAACGCAACGCAAAGTCTTAAACCTGTTTAGACCAAGCTCTGGTAAATGAATCCTGGTATTTGGGGTACAGGACTATTTACAACGACTATTTTCATTACGGATCGGTCAATTCAAAAGGTAGTCGATTTAAATGAGTCAAAGAACATTTTGAAGCTTCTAAAACGTAATTTAGCGTACTAGGGCACGTTGGATCAGGGTCTTCTCGTGCAGCCCGCCTCACACTAACCTCACTCGCACTCGGCCTTGGTACTCGGAGCGCCGGTTCCACCAGGTGAGCTACCCGAGTGCCCCCTGCCTTCATTTGTAACAAGCTACAACTCTAAAATCTAGTCCCCGACGGAGAAAAGGTTCATGATTGATTTAAAAGCCCCGTAGCCGTTCCTCCGGTTCGTCTCTGTCTCAAACCGGCCGTCTCACAAACCCAGTGGACTCCTCAGCAGTGTGCGATCACCGGGTCCGATGCGGCTCGGGGACAAAGGTCCTGCCGAGGCTTCAGACATTATTTCTAAAGTAAAGAGGGTTTGAATGGCGATCGTAAATACGTGCTGATAACAAATAACAATTTGTTTTCTGTCTTTGTCCCACTGGTTTCCTCATTCTTTGAGTCAGGAACTATGATTTAGCACAAAATCCTGGTCTGTAACACAGTAACCTCTCTGTGACTGTGGGCGTGGACGCATATCGGGCCAAACGGATTCGCAGCATTTTAGGGAAGCGAAGCCGCTTCTTTCTCACGCAGCGGCCGGCCCTTCCCTTCTCTTTGTGCCTTAATGGCCTCTCCAGCTTTCATTTTGAGTCCGGACCGAAAGAGCTGTGGTCGGGCTCTGAGCAGAGAGGGAGAGAGAGGGAGAGAGAGGGAGAGAGAGATGACGATGATGATGATGAACATCCAGAGCCCGGAGGAGGCATTGCGGTGTCTAATGGCTGCAGTGTTGTTAGCATGATATCTTCATATTACAGTTGAGCATCGTTATATCTCATGGGGGGGCTAGATGGTAACGCAGAGATTTTGTCCAGATAACATGGGGGGGGTCATTTTCCAACCCGCCATTACGCAGCATGTTGATACTTATCTGATTCAAAGCCCTGACAGAGTGATTGCCCGCTGCACAAGAGGTTTAATGCATTCACAAACTGCCCCTTTGCAACTATTAGTCAGTTTTTTTCCTGCTATCAATGCTGTATGGTGGAACGTTTACAGCATCAATGCTGTTATCTGCTCATCCGCCTCATCCGGTTCTTTATTTTCTTCTAGTCATGTCAGAAAATATAGTGAAAAATGTGTTGAATGAGATCCATTCAAAACGAAAAGCAGCTTTCTAAGCCCAAAAGAAATTCGGTACAACCTCATACGTGTAAAATAATATTTAAGAAATGATATTTTTCAAATTGTTAAATCGATAAACATGAAATGTGGAACCTTCACGCCCCACTTCCCAAATAAATTTGAATCACTTTTCTGATCCCCTGATTTTCCAGACAGCTCCATCATCTGTTGCTTTGGTTTATGGCTAAAAACCTGCAAACCTAATGACGTCCCACATGCGTCACTCATCTTGCGTTAAGGAGGAGTGATGTTATCAAAATAATAACCAGTCTACGAAAGGACACCATGCAGTGCCCCATAATTGATAAAACAATGCATTTTGTAGAAAGACTTGGCATCAGGACTCGTTCCAAGCATATTATGGGAGAGGGAGGTTCATTCTGGTGCATTTAGTTGCAGTTCATCATTCTTACATCATGTAATGTAGCTTCCTGTCTTCACATGCTGGCTTTAAACAAACGGGGGGGAATAGGGGGGGCAGTGGCCTGGCGGAGGGTTGACTCGAGTCCAACACCGGCTGAGCAAATATCTCCCTTTTATCACCGGCCATCGGCATCTTGTGCACGGAGACCTTTTCTGTGTGCTTTAATTTGCTCTGAATTGCGGAACCGGGCAGTCGAATACACAAATGCAAAGACCCATTAGGAGCAATTAAGCAAATGCTGTTAAGACGTGGGCCCGGCCTGTTGTTCCCTTCACAGGCAGGATACATTTTAATACTGCGTCTTTACCTTGTCGGCTTTCAGCCCATTTAACGTCCCCCGATCGCAATTAAAAATGTAATTTCACAGACCGGTATTTGTTTTTGTCCACGCTGTATAACAAAATATTTCCTCACAGTTTAATGCTTGCTGGTTTGTACGTATTGTACGTGTGAATCTGGTATGTGTGCGTGGATTTTTTATTTTTTTTCATAGCTTGGAGGAAGAAACAAGAAGCTGGAACACGAGGACCTTGTGTCATCTCTGTGTCCGCCCCGGGACGCCGCGCTCCGTGGCCAAAGAAGCGCGTGTGTGCGCGCGTGTGTGTGTGTGTGTGTGTGTGTGTGACGAGAGACGCGGCCTCTCTCTCTCCGCCCGCGTGTTCGTTCTCTTTCTACATCCGTTCATTTACATTGAATGTGAGCTAAAGAGCAGAAGAGCAGCTGCAGTCACACGACATCTGCCCCCCCCCTTTCACCCTCCTCAGCATCCAACCCCACCCGTACTCCCCGTCAGCCAATCGGCAATCGGCCTTACTTAGAGAGCAGTAACATGATTTACGCCCTATTCAGAGGACACGGACCGGGGATCTACAGGCTTTGTTTGCAGGATGAGAAGCAGCTTTTTTGTGGTGGTTTTGTGCACATGCTGTGCAATGAAGGGATACTTCACATGTATCATCACTTTGGTCTTTGTCTATTGCGCTCTCCTAGAGATGGAGGCATCTTTAACCGTGCTGTTAAATCACAAGCATTATGTTTCACGTGGCTAGAATTTGTCTTCATTTTCTCTGAGGGAATATTGTATGATGCAACATCTGTAATCCTGGCTTTAATCCTCCCATCGTCATCCCTCTCGTATGGTGTTTTAGTGTTGCGTAAGAAGGGAGACTGATTCCAACTGGACAATAGATGGAGCTTTAGTGTAGCTTCATTTTATTTTATTTTTTTAAATTATAAGATTTCAAAGAGTTTTAAAGGAGCCATTCCCTTAACGACGGTAAAATGTCAGGAGTGATGACGCGGTGACGTGTTAATCCCGGGTTCAGTGTCTTTCTTGCTGGCATGTTAAAGTGATTTTAATTCGGCGATACGTCCTCTCATCTTTCAGCTTGTGTCACGCTGCGTTGAGAGGAGGAGAAATCCTCAGAATCAAAGTCTGCAGTAGACGCATCCTAACGCCCGACACACACAAACAAACGCACACACACACAGAACTTTTCCTTTCTATGCAGGAACTGCATTAGTGTATCTATCTCAATCTAACACGGTGCGATGGTTCTATATTCATTTTAATTTAATTTTAATTCATGACCAGATCATTACAGGTTTTTTAGCTTTCCGTTATTAAACTGAAATGTATGTTTTCAATATAAATCTGCATCATGGGCTTTAATAACACTTGTGTCCTGGCCCATTAAGTAAATAAAAGGTGTATATAATATTGCACACGGCAAAAACACTTGCAATTTGCATAAGTCTGGTAAATTGGATTCTAAGGAAACACATTTGTGGTTTTTAATCCAGTCCAAAGCATCAAAGCCACCTCTGAAAACATCCTTTTTTATTTCTTTATTATTTCACACCAAGAACCAGCGTTGCATTATTTCGGTTGTAGTTTAGCCTTGATTCTCAGAGGCCTGATAAGCCCTCAGACTCGTTCTGCGTTCCACATCCGATACTATTTTTATCGTATTTGACTTTTTTTTTTTTAACAGAGACACATAGTGTCGAGTTATCTGTATGCGACCGATCGGGACATTCTGCTTTGTCACCACAAAGTACATTGAACTGTCGTCCGTCTCTGCGGCTGCTGGGAGCTGCCAATAAGCTGTCATCAGGATGTCACCTGTTTGCGCTCAATCAGCGGCGCCGTCGATGTGACGTATGTCGCAGAAGCACGCTGGCTTTCGTACTACAAAATGTTACCAAACCCAGTAGGACGTGCTGGTATTTTGTCATGCTGCATTTGGAATTCTTTCTGCATTAAACCTTTTTGTCACGGTAGTTTGGGTGTCATTGAACCCTCTGTGTTCAGACCAAAGACGCCGACTTAGGGAACCACACTTGATGCAATTTAAAAATATTTTTTTCACAGCTCCCCCACCACATAAATGGTTTTAGCATATTTGGGCATATATGGGCCACTTGAGTAACTTTAATTTGTTGCTTTCCACCACGGGATCTGCTTTATTGTAAGCCCAAGCGGCACGCAGGTCCGATTGATCGCCTCGCTGATGAAAACATTCCCCCCCCACATGGACACGGCGCCTGATTGATTAAATCCATTTTTTTTAATTTTTCTGCCTGCCGCCTCTGTGGTGACTGATGAACGACGCCACCGCCGACCTGCTCCTCGGCAGCAGAGGAGGCGGTCACGTCCGGGAAGGACGCCGAGCGCCTAATGGGAAGCCGTGATTGAGTGTTGCCTCCGAACCTGCCGGTCGTCATTACGGGAATTACGCTTCATCGGCAGACTTCCTCTCAGTCTGATTCCTCTGGCCTCGGTCCAGTGGAAACTTCAATTGATTTGATTGCTGCTCCTCGTTTCCATTAATTTGAAAAAAGACACTGCTAGAATTGGTGTGTGTGTGTGTGTGTGTGTGTGTGTGGTCTCATCAGTCCACAGGTATGCTGACGTACCTGGCAGGGTGTACCTAGCTATATTATTGTGTGTGACTAAACAGGTGGACTTTGTTCTATGCCCGACACTTGTTGACTCAGCTACCTTCCTTTCAGACTTTTGTGTGTGTGTGTGTGTGTGTGTGTGTGTGTGTGTGTGTGTGTGTGTGTGTGTGTGTGTGTGTGTGTGTGTGTGTGTGTGTGTGTGTGTGTGTGTGTGTGTGTGTGTGTGTGTGAGAATGACATGTCGCTCAGAGAAGACCATATCACTGAGAATAATGGTGATGATTGTCCAAAATTGTAACGAACTCTGTGAGAGATGGAGGATTTATTTTAAGAAAGATGTCAGATGTGCGCTTGTATTGGCACTGCACTGTATTTCCATTTTTAAATTGAATGGCTACAGGAGAACAAATCCAAACTGAACCAGAAACAATCACACAGTAATAATCACAGAATTATCCAGTATTGGTGCTTTGAAGTAGTTTGGATATTCATACTTATTTGACTGTATCTGCAGTGTTTTAGTGGATATCTGATCCAGATAAATGGCTTCTGTCCAAATGGGATGTTGTGTTCCACGCAGAGGCACCTGGTGCACATTTTGTGTATGTAACTCCATTAAAATAATTTATACTTTACTCCTAAACATTTCTTTATATATTAATATGCTGGTTATTTTCTTTCAAATTGTGAGTAATGAATGAAGACATTTCTGACTTTTTACATCAATTGATTTCTAAATGAAATTCAGACTTATGTTTTGTCAGTCCCCTAATGGATTAATTCAGTGTTCCATCTCTACTTACACACTGCATGAATAATTTACTGAAACAAAGCGACTCGTATGAAAACAAATGTAGTCCAATGAAACAACTGACGCGTCTCTTTTCACCCGTCCACATCTCCAATGAAGCGGAGCGTGTATACGCCATATCTGTCTGTGTGCATGACATGCAGGACAAAGGTAAGTCTCGGACAGCGTGCGGCACGATACCTCGCTACCCTGTGGTGACACATTAGTGTTGCATTTATGAATATATATGATTCCCACCGCTCGGGAGGGCGACGAGGCCGCTCGGTTTAACTATTAATAACTTCCTGCAGGAGCCTTTGCTGCTGCTGCTGCTGCTGCTCTGCGCTGTCGCAGCACTTTGCACTGCAGCTCACATCTGTTATTGCTCCGAGCAGCAGGCCGCCTCAGCGGCGCCCCGCTGGCTCTGATCTCAATGGCCGCGGCAGACGGAGTTATGCTAATGACTCTCCGCTCTTCCTCCAGAAGGTGAAGGGGAAGCGTTGCGTGGTTTTGTTTTATTTGCGGTCATGACTTCTGCACGGGCCATTATGACCTTTTTTATGTTTGAAACACCACTTTGGAGTATGTGCGACGTTGTGTCGCGCCCTCTCGGCGCATCTCTTATATTATTTGATTTGATTATATGATTTGAATGGATCTTTATCTTCTCCCTATCTTGGTTTTCTTACAGGTGTCCCTACCTGGCTGTCCATCTGTCTCCTGCCATCCCATTTTTCGCCGTCCTGCTCTTCCTCTTCGTCATCGCCATGTTGTTGAGGACCAGCTTCAGTGACCCCGGGGTGCTGCCACGGGCCCTCCCGGAGGAGGCCACGTTCATCGAGATGGAAATTGGTGAGTTGGGTCATCGTGCCTCCAACCGCTCCACGTTGGGTCTTCAACACACCCGAGCTGCTGGTTTTGGGCGCACGCCCGCGGCCGCGTTCTGTACGCCTGCCTCGAACCCAAACACCGTTTGAGAGACGAGCCGGTGAACACGGTGGAGCATTTTGCAGCAGTGAGAGATGGTCGAAAAAAAACAGTGAATATTAGACTTAAATTCATCTAATGTGGCTCCGTAACTGCTGTAAACAAGCAACTGTTTGCTGACAACATCATCTAGAAATTACCATTATATCAAACTGAAACGGGAAAAATGTTATGCAATTTTGCATAAAACCCTATTTATTTATTATAAATATACAATAGTTCTGTGGAAATAAAGAATGTTTTTTGGCTCAACAGTCTAATATGATAACACCAATGTGTGTGCTGTTAATAGAAGGAAGGCCCAGTAGCATCCTTATTCCGGCACCTTCAGTAATAATCCTCAGTCGCTGCAGATTGTTGCCAGGTTTGAAGGAGCACGTGCTCTGAAATCTTGTGCGATTGCTTCACAGCTCCTCACCTTGAAGTGGGCATTATGAACAATCGCTCTGATAATGCCACAAGGCACAAAGCTCTTATCTACACCCAGGACAAATGTCCCGTCAGCAACGGGACAAATGACTACTACAGTCTGCGTGCAGTTACATCATCACCGTCCACGTTGTTCTTTTGTATAAAATTACTTCAGAGTTTGGTGGAAGCAGCTCTAGGGAAAGTATTTTGGAGGCATAAATACTTCATTTATGCGTCCAAGCAGACAGACTCAGTCCTGTTGGTTTATTCATCTTTGTTATTCTTTATGATGTTGACGGTTTGGTGAGCTCAGACTCGACCCTAACCCACGCAAATTCATTACAAGGCGCCCCGCTGTCTCATTACACAAAGCAAACTATACGCCAACAAAGCCTTTGCTTGGCGCCGCCTCTCTGCTCCAACCGGCGGTGATGATGTACCGATTTGTAAATCTCCTTTTGGAATGTACGTGTACGTCAATAGAGCTGCAACTCATCATTTTCAATGATGATAAATGTGTTTTCTTTCCTGATTATTGAGTCTTTTAATTGCAAGTTCCCAGAGTACCAGTTGATTTACTTCAAGTTTATGTTGTTGTTGTTTTTTTTTTCGTCAGCTCAACAGCCAACAACCCAAAAATAGTTGATTTAAGGGAGCTGTCAAATGTGGAAATGTGAGCGTAAGTTATTATGCTAAATGTGTGGAAGTGCACCGAATGGCTGTTCTTTGCTTTTGGGAGAAATGCATGACACTCCACAAAACGCGTCTCCCAAAATGGCAAAAGACACGCATCACACGGATGCCACAATGTTGCTATTACCACGTGAAGGATGTATGCTTAAAGCAGCCTCAATTCAGCAGACTCCATCCCACACCCGAGGTCTTGCATGCTCGATGTGTGAGGGAGGCCGTTTGCTGCTGTGGGCGCCGGCGCGCTGACGGATAACAGCCAGGCGAGAGAGCAGGTGTGCTGCCCGGATGCTCGCTCCCTTTTTTTAGCCCGTTAGCCACGATTCCCGAGGGGTGAGGGGGTTGCTGATAGGAGGGAAGGCATCCTCTTGGAATATCTAATGCCCTCGTAGCAGACAGAGCTTCGCTACCCGAGGGAGTGGCATCGCTCCCCGTGAGCGATGACTCATTCGTTTATTCTCGGCCCGTTTACCCTGAAAGCCACTAATCCTACATGCGGCAGATTCATAAGGCCGAGCAGCTTGAGTGCATCTCACAATGGTGATGCCTGTTGATGCATTATGGGTGGTTTTGATTCAAGCTTGTCAGAGTGGTAGTTTTTATTGACTTATTTATGCAGGAGGAGGATGTGCTTTTTTTCACGTAATGAAATTTCCACAAATCGTGCCTTGGCCATGTCAATGTATCTCCAGAAAGGCAAGTGGACTATTAACTACTCCTGCAGCAATTCAGAAAAATCCGAATTGACTAAATTAACTTACTATAATTTAATTTGTTGTGGAAACTAAACCTAAAATATATTTCAGTATTACGACGGTTATCTGAAGCCTAAAAATGTTGTGTTGCGAAGGCATAATAGTAACAGCTCAGCGGCAATTAAACGTAAATCCAGCGTCGTCTATTCTGAACTGAGCCAATGTTGTCGTTCACCAACACCCTCAAGGTTCAGCTGACCAGATTTCTTCTTGATCCTGTCACTGAATCTCTCATTTCTCACCGCCTGTTTTAAGACCTTTACATTCTCCGCTCATAGTGTTCATTATCTGTGATTGACAACGTAGTTTATGGCGCTGTTGATGTATTACGTCGTGATTTGTAACACCTTTTGATAATAATTCGCCGTGTGATCAAGGTTGCCAACAGCTCCTGATGAATGTTTTTTTTTATTTTGTGTGTGTGTGTGTTCCCACAGAGGCTGCTAATGGGAACGTCCCCGCAGGGCAGCGGCCGCCACCTCGAATCCGCAACGTTCAGATTAACAACCAGATCGTCAAACTCAAGTACTGCTACACTTGCAAGATCTTCCGACCACCTCGAGCATCTCACTGCAGCATCTGTGACAACTGCGTCGGTAAGAAAGGTCCTCCGATCTCACCGCGCAGGTTTTAGAAAGTGAGAAACAGTAACAACTGGTTTATTCCAGTTGTTCATAAACAGAAAGGTGGGTAATGATGAAGCAGAAGAACGCTGACGTGATGATTATTAATGAAGCCGCAATCTTATGTACTTCTATATTTATTTAGCTTTTTTTTACATGGAATATGCTTTGAATTTGGAAGTCGGTTTGAACTCTGTGTGTCTGTTGCTGTGTCACATCTCTCAGCCCTGCAGCGTAGCATTGATAAGCCTTCAGATGATTGAGGAATGTGTGTGAAGGGAGCGTCGGCTCATGGGCGATATGAGAGGAGACAGTGGAGGCTCAGTGAGGGAATAAGCGCTCAGTCATTGTGAACACTGGTTCATCTGTGTCCACCTGCTGTAGAAACACACACACACACATAGTCGACGCGTCACAGCTGCCTGCCTCAATCCAGGTTTTTACGACAGTCATATCTTCTCCTCGACATCGTTTATAGCTGCAAAGTCTCTCGCAGGATGTGCCGTAATATGCCGATTTACACATTATCACATGACTGATGTACCATAAAGCCTGTAAGTGTGTGGCACGTATGTAGTATGCAGCACACTGGAGTCAAAATAAAGCAATAACTGCAAGTGGCCACCTGGCACCAGGCAATTTGGTTTCATTATAAAGCAAGTAAAGTGCCTTCAGCTTTAGTGTGAGGATTCTGATGTCAATATTAAGTGAACAGCGTAGAGGATTATGGTCCTGCTGCAGTCTATATGCAATCTAAATACTGGGGAAAGGGGCGATTATATTATGGTTAAAACTACTTGGTCTCAATTTGGATACTAACATAATTGGATATTGGTACATTTTCATGTGGCACACCATGTAGTGTAAGTGGGTGGAGTGTAAATTTAGACTCCTTCAACTGTGTGGAAAAAATTGCAACCAGGCGAAGCATTAGTAAATCTCATTAGTACCGAGATTTGTTTGTGACCAACTTGTTTTTTCACACTTTCACACACTACGACGCTGATGTTCAGCAGGGACGATGTTCACCGTCTTTGAAGTGTAAATTTGCCAAGCGACGCCTTTTGGTTTTCAGTCGTGATGGTGCCCCTAAGTGGAGGGATCACCCAAGTCCTTGGGATTCATCCCCCGAAGACAACAACCGTCTCTACAAAAGGACGGGGAGCGATCTATTTAATTGTTTCTATGTTAGTGGGAATGAAAGTAAAGGACAAAGGCTTCCATCCGTAGATACATGTCGCAAGTGTGGCTTAAAAAAAAACTAAGATGACGCTGTCCAGTCGGCTCTTCTCTGCTTTCCACTTCGACCGTGTATGTAGGAGCTGCTTCACATCATGCATGTTTACTCCATCTGCAGCTGCAGCAGACACACTGCACTCCCTTCCGTCTGTTGACCCTGCCCTCTTTCATCCGGCTCTCTTCCAAATTAAAGAAGGGAAGCGATCATTATATTTAGACCGCGGGTTTTAGAGGCACAAAGCTTTCTTTGAGCATCACACTGGTGTATTTTTAACACTCGTCCGAGTGATTTCGAAGAAACCGTGAGCGGTGCAACAGACGTGTTCCTACCGTGACCGTTTTTTCTCTCCTCCGCAGACCGCTTTGATCACCACTGTCCCTGGGTGGGGAACTGCGTGGGCAAGAGGAACTACCGATACTTCTACATGTTCACCCTGTCGCTCTCCCTGCTCACCATTTACATCTTCACCTTCAACATCGTCCACGTGGTGATGCGTGAGTATCCCGGGCCGTCGCCGTTGCCCATCCTCCAGAGCCGTAGTAGAAGAGCACATGAATGGGTTACGGAATGCGACAGAACCAGAAGGACGAGCCGTGACACGAGCGGGAGCAGCAGCTTCTGGCAGATGCGCAAGTCGTGTGCACATTAGGTGAAACTATGACCTCATTCCGACCGGGCTTTTCCTGTAATGTGACACGACGCGCGACAGCAACCGACAGCCCGACATGATTGCTCTTTAGTCCTCATCTTCCGGCTTCCTGGTTCTAACCAACGCAGGCAGAGAGAAAAGGAAACGGTATCTTTGTAGTCGGGATAATTAGCTCGTGTTATCTTGGTACTCAAGCAATTGTATAAAAATATAGAACAGTTGGATTGTTTGAGTCTTTTCTTTAACTTTTCCTCTGTTTTGCTATGTTCACAGGTTCAGTGGATGGCGGCTTTTTGAACACTTTGAAGGAGACACCTGGAACATATCCTTTTCTCTTTTTTTTTTTTAAAGCTTTTACCCCAGAATACAACAAAACAAACAGCCGCCGCGCTTTTCTAATGTCCCCGAAATAGAAATTTTCAAACGGATTTCAAGTGCCACACCCGACGATGACCGCTCCCTAATCCTTTCCTCCGCACAGTAACGATCAAACAACCCTGTAGCATCTGCCGTCCAGCGCAGCAGGCCCATCGAGCCTGGGTTTCCAGTTACTCACGAGTAATTCATAGTTCATCGCTACACTGGTTTCACTGGAGTGAAGTCCACCCCTTCCTCTGTGTGAAAGCCAGTGCCGAATATTATGAGTTTAAATCGTAGGTCCATTCGTTTCCCCCCAAAAAGCCATTTCTCTCTTACCATCGAAACAGAAAACAACACATTTGCATGCAAAGGTTTTTTAAATCATACTCGCGCAATAATCCTACTAATTGGACAAAGTAGGTCAAAGGAAAACGCTGTTAGGAGGACGGCTTTGGGCCACACCTTAAGTACACATTCACAACCTCCTTTAAAGGATCTTTGTTTTGTACCAAATTAGTCGAATACACTTAAAGACAACAATATTCAGCTTTCTCCGTTTGTCATTTGACATTTCATTTATGTAAATCTCACCTGGTCTGTCTTTTTGACCCCTAAAAAAAACCACCCCCGGGCTGTAATCGCGTTGCATAACTGTTTACTGTTCAGCCGTCCCTTGCTGTGCACCGTTTAATCGGCGACCACGTGTCGGCCAGAAAACATCTGTTGCTGTTTTCTTAACTCCAGCTCACTGTTCTGGAGGTTTTGGTGTGTTTCTTCACCCTGTGGTCAGTAGTGGGACTGACGGGCTTCCACACCTACCTGATCTCTCTCAACCAGACCACCAACGAGGACGTGAGTGCGTCTTAACGGCCTGAATAATGCCGTCGTACCTCCTGTTTATTCCTGGATTTGAATCCTCCCGTGAGGCGGGGGCGGCGCTGCTCTTTGCATGTCGTTTGTTTAGGTATCACGCTGTATGCAAATGAACCGGCTTTTCCAGTCCACAAAGCACGTGAACCAACCACAAAAGACCAAAATAACACGTGCACTAGTTTCACATCAAAACAGTTCTACTTCTGCCGCGTATAGATGACACCTGTGGCTCTAAAAAGACACACATATTTGCACCTTTCCAACATCTGAATAGGTCACTACATGAGATTGGATTTTGATTATTTGAATTGTTGACGCTATGAATAGTCATAGTGAAAATGTCTAAATGCCGCCTAGCTTCACGTGGCTGGAAAGACAAACATACTAGAATTTCCAAGACTACACGGCTGTTTCCACGACAACGGCTCGGCCTCTTTCTGCAGGGAAGGACGCTTGGCTGTTAACACAACAGCCTTGTTTAACAAGCTACAGTTTAACTATAGTTAAGCAAATACAGGAAGAAATGCACGCACACAAGATCTCAACGGAAACCAGAAAGTCTTTTTATAACTGCGTTTATAATACAGGACAGTTACTTTTTTTTATTGTTCTGTTTTTTTAAATTTTGATAACTGCTCTGCAGGAGCCAGAATAGATTACATGAAGGGACTGACCGAGGTGTTTCAAAATGTCCTATTTTTAGAGACCAAACGTTGCCGATACATCAGGAACACTTTAGTTCTGCTCAGAGTCTGAGGCATCAGACGACACGGCTGGTTTTTGCTTGGACTCTTCTCTGCTCAGCCGACATTGTCTCGTGAACTAAAAATATGCATGAAAGGCTGCTATAAAAGCAGAACTCAATAAGAACAAGACAAAACATGACAGAACAGAGCTGAAATGACAACAAAACCAACCCGCTGCTTTCTGACTCTGCTAGCTACATTTAGAAGACGCTTGAGTGCCTAAATGAGGTATTGATTGCTTGATCGCATTACCGTTGAGTCATTGAGTCACCACACACACACACACATTCATACGGAGTTGATGCGGAGTTGAGGCAGAAGATCAGTGAGGTTGATGCAGGTGGAGGAATCCACCGACGGAGTAATCGATGCTGTCTGTGCATGCTAGCGTTAAGAGTGAGTGGACTTCTGCGGGCTTTGTCAGCCTCGATCTGACCAGAAAAGGCAGAAACAGCAGCAGCGGTTGCGGTCGGAGGCTCTCGAAGGCTGAAAGCATGAGAGTGCACTTGTACTTTGTTGCAGTGCATTAATTTATAATTCCCCTTTTTCTTTCCTGGGGGAAAGCTGGCCTCATTTCCGCGATGAAGCTCCGCAATGTTCAGCTACTGTACAGCGTAATGTTCCAGTAGATGAAACAATGGCCCAGCTGCCTCGATATCGGCTTGATTGGCCTAATAATAGATGCATCGATCCCTGCAGGACTGGGCATGCTGCCAGAGATGCTGCTGGGGCAGAGAGAGCGGGGGGGATAAAGAGGAGAAGATAGAAATGGTGGAATAAAGGCGACGAGGAGGAGGCACCTGGACTGTTGTAGCTGCTGCAGGCTCGCCCATAGGGTGCCACATGCTCTGTCAACTGTGTCTCCCGCACACGCACACACACAGAGTTCGTACACGTCGGCATCCAGACTGTTGACCTATATTTACTGCAACAAAAAAGAATAAATGTTAATCAATTGACTTTTTCTGTCCTGCGTGTTTCTTGTGGTCAATCTGCATTTAGGATTTGTGATTTGTTGCTCGTGTGATGAGTGTGATGCACTCCTTTAATTTATTTGCCCAGATTAAAGGATCCTGGTCGGGAAAGAACCGAGTCCAGAACCCGTACAGCCACAAGAACTTCATGAAGAACTGCTGCGAGGTGCTCTGTGGGCCGACCTACCCGAGGTACCTCTGTCAGATCTTTATTTATGAGATTCTCATGCTGTCTAAATTGGGTTTGTGTTTGTCTTGTCTTATTGTTGCCAATAAGGTTTATATCCGTTCCTTTGGATGAATATTTAACTTTTAGATTAGTCCCCCCGTCCTACGCGTTGTCCTGGCAAAATAAAGAGCAGGATGCACTAAGACAGATGGCATTGTCTCACTCCCCAGTGTCCTGGACAGAAGAGGAATGACGCAGGAGGATTTGACCGTTTCTTCTGCGTCTGCTGCGCCCTCATCTTCTAGCAGCAGCAACGCTGCTCCACAAACCACGGTGAGAGGACACACACTCACACAGCGCACACTCGCGTAAACACCGCAGCCTCTCCTAAAAGCACTGAAGTGGATCCAGGCTGCAAAGCACAGGACGGTGAATACAGAGCAGACGAGTCTGAGTCTGAACCAATTACAGAGTGTTGGGGAGACAAAATGACGCTTGAGGACACATCATTTCTTATGGTAGTTGATAATCCATCTTGAGACACATGGATATGGAACCATTTTGTGGCTCCACTTCATAATTGTCATTGGGAACCTAATGGGAAAATATGTTTTGCTAACGGTTCGTTAAAGACATGCGCGTTTGCCGCTGCGTATTCACTCCCGCGTTGCTTTGGCGCTACGCGGCTCACCGGGGGTCTCTCTCCTCCTCCGACGACAGAAAACCACGGCCCCGCTCATCCCCAACGAGCACACGCCCGACGACGCCAGGCCGAGCATCGCCGCTTCAGCAGAGAACAGCGACTCCTCCAAAGAGGGATTCCCTCCTGCTAAGACGGTTCCACCCCTGGCTTCACCCGAGACTGACGCGTCCCTGCCCAAGGACAAGGCCCAGTAGCTGCATGAAGGGGGTGGCTCCTGCCTTAGCCACTACCCCCCCTCCCCCCACACTCCCCCAACCCCCCGGTATCCTGCCCGGTCAGGAACTAAAACATTGCTAATCCGTGTGTGATTACAGCGCAGGTGACTCCTACTTTCAACCAGAGGAGCGAAGCTTCTGCGCTGCGGAGCCTCCGACTCCCTCGTCTCCTCACCAGTAGCCGCAGAGCTGTTTGATGGTTAGTTACTCCTGCAGGAGGAGGAGGAGGGGTGATTAAAGTGGAAAGTCAGCAGCTTCCTTTCTGTCTCCTGAACACTGCATGTAAAAAGACACACGGGGCAAGAAGCTGCCGGACGAACTGAAGAGAAAAGAAGCTCTCCGGCGCGCGTGACATCGCCACGGGTCGCTCTGATAAAATGTATTTAAAATTGCATAATGACATTTATCGTAAGAGGCCAGTTTAAATATATCCCTTGCAAGTGTCTAACAAAGACAATATTACTTCTGGACATGTATAAGACTTCATGCATACAGTTACCTTTCTGTTGTGTGCACATTACATGCCCTATGCAAACCATGAGGAGGCTGGACAAGCGGCTTTTTGATGTGTAGAAAGAAGGAAGGACATCTGTGAGTCTTTGGGGTCACGTCAAGTCCCCCACACAGGGGGAGGACATGCCGATCCTTAGCTGAGATGTCCTAACGGCTCCCTCCAGGCAAGTCAAACTTCCTTGCGATGTGATATTGCTGCATTCAGTACTGTCGTCACTTACGTGCATCTATTTTTTAAAGCGATCCAGACCAACGCCTGTCCTTCCATTTTTTTATATAACAAAGATGTATCGAGATGTCGGTGCTCCAAAACTGAGGGAATCGCTTGACGGGCAGTTGAAGTCTTGTGTGCAGGAGCCGCTCATCAACCAGAGATCCAGTGAGTGAGAGAAAAGGCCTGACGTCTCCTGACAGCAGACACTGGTAGTGACAGTGCCTTATCACAATAGTTGCACCGTCAAATGCAACTCAGGTCGACCGTCAGAGGAAACCCGTGAGATCCGTTATAGACAATAATACAGTGTTAAATGGGAAATGCCTTCGTCTATACACCAATTAGTCCAGTGTTTCCCAACCAGATGGTTGCAAGATAATTCTAAATCATTTTAAGAGGTTGTTGAATATTTTGGGAGGGTTTATTTGTTTTCTTCCAGAGAGTTGGATGAGAAGATTAATACACCTCTCATGTCCGTGTAGTAAATTTGAAGCGACGGCAAGTAGGGGGTTAGCTTAGCTTAGCATGAAGACTGCAAACGGCACCTCCAAAGCCCACTTTTAATACGCTAAATCAAATTCGATCGTCTTACTTTTTTCTTTTTTTTTCTTTTTGTACAGATTTAACCAAAACATTAGTGAGCTTTAGAGGTGCTGGCAGATGTCTTTTAACTTTTAAACAGAACAAGGCTAGTTCCCCTGCTCTCTGCTTTTCAATGCTAAGCTAAGCTAACCAGCTGCTTTCTGAAGCCTCATAATAAGAGAGTCAATCAATCCACTCATCCAAATCCCAACAAGAAGTCCTATAAAACGTGTGTGTTCCTTTCACCAGGAAGAGAATAATACACATTCACGTAGTACAAAAATGTGCTTTTTTTCCTTGTAAAATACTGTGAATGTTTCTCAGTATGCGTGCGAAGTAGCTTAGTTTCAAGGGGCTCAGAGGTCTGAAGGGTTGGGAACCACTGAATTAAACCGTGTGAAACAACAAAACAACCCTAAGCAAAGCCATTGTTGAACTGTACAGAGTTTTAGAACGTGAAGATACGCTGTGTTGCAGTGGGGCCGGTGTTAACTATGCTGCCTGTGAGCTTGAGCACTCAATCCTGCAAATCACACCAGAGCCGATCTTCCCCGGAGTTCTCCCTCTTCCTGCTTTCTTTTTGCCTCTTACCTCGATACGAACACATTTGACTCCTCTCCTCTTCCCGGCAACTCTGTAGTTTTTGGCAGGCTCGTTATCTGCAGGAATAAGGCCAGAGATCCCTTTCACTCATCCGTGTTTTTCAGCGTTTAACGTGGCCGCAGACTTTTTGTTTTTGTTTTGGAGCCGCCGCAGAAATGACAGAGGGAAAGGGAAGTATTTAAATGATGTTAGCTGATAGTGAGGGTTTGTAATTGTGATTGTGTTGTATGCAAGACAGAGTTGGTGTTTGTGAAATATACTTGTGTAGAAGTTCTAGCGTGTCAACAGCTTCAGAGTCTGAAATCAATTTGTGTGGTCCCATCATAATGGGGCAATTAAAGCTCAAGAGACTCCCCACTTTTGAAAGTTGAATCTAGGCCAGTTTTATTAATTATTAGTTCACATGGGGATGGTTTTCTCGATTGTTTGGTCTATGAAATATTAAACATTCAACATACTGAAATTGATGTTAGAATTTTTAAGTCATTAAAAAGTCATTATCAGAAGGTATTTTTATTCAAGAACCTGGAACCAGCTCAATTTAGTCATTTTTGGTTTAAATAAAAGCAGTCGATACTTTTTATTGTCGGTCGACCAGCTGATTAATTGACCAATAGTTTCGACTGAAGATGTATCTCCACAATCAGGGGAGGTAGCTGACACATCTCTGCTGGGAGAAGCTTTTAAGTCTGGATCGTTTCTGTGAAGTATAAAAAAACTGCTGAACAATAAGAAGTAAAACTGAGTGTGTGAACTTCCTTTGTAGAAAGTATTTGAAGACCGCGTGTTTGATAGCTGTCACCGAGAAGCAAGAATGTATGAATGATATTTAATAAAAGAAGGGGCGGGGGGTTTTAAAAGGGACGTTATAGGTTTTAAAGGTTTTGCAGACTTAAGATCTGAGCTGATCCGTCGTACTTCTGATTCCTGTGTTGAAATGCCATTCATTACGTGGTCAGATCTGAATGCTCTGATCAATCTACTACATTGCATTATGTAAACAGATACAGTACTATAACATTGATGGAACTCTTTAATTTATGATCACATTGTTAAGTATCAGCACTGTGATTATCTGTATGTCATTCAATTTACTTCACTTCTTTTTACATGATCAATGTCTGGTAAATAAACAATATTGTCTTATTATTTTAAGTCTTAAGTTTTATTTTTATATTTTGAATACATTTCTTTAGAAAAAGCCTTTCCAAATGTATCAACAAATAGGGAAAACATAAAATAGAACCGTGCTAAAAGTAAAACACAAATGGGACGTTACAATTTGATACATACAGTGTTAATGCCATGAAATGTCACAAAAAATAACACAAAAGGTCATAGTAGCGCTAAATTTTGTCATAAAAAAGTGACTTATTATACTATTACCTTTTATGAATTACGTTACAATGACTTTATTTTATCTTTATCTTTTCAGAATTATTCATACATAATACGTTTTGAATATTTAGGACATTTTTAAGATGTATTAAAAAAAGTTGAACTGCATAATTAATTGAATTGTATTTTTAAGGTTTAAGTATAGGATGTTGTAGAAAGCTATAAAACCAAAAGATATTTCAGTATCTCTAAAAAGTAAACTAGTTTTAAAAGTCCTAAAAATTCATAATATAGTGTGAGAAAAGTAATTAATGAGCCTACCAATTGATGCTAAATACACAATGTATGGTACAATATGTACATGAATACAATTAGATACGTTTCGAAAAATGATTAAAAGTAAAATAAAAATCCTAGTATATTTTAAAAAGATGCGAAGAAGCCATCTTAGAAAAAAAGTCATGAAAAGTAAAAGAAAATGCAGCATGTTGAAATAACAAGTTAGATCATTATTTTGAGTCACAGTATAACGTGTCAAAAACATTCTTAAAATGACATTTCAAAATTCAATTTATAAACTTTATAGTATGTTGGAAGAAGTCTGGTAATGTACAAAAAGTCTCAGCATCTCAGGGGATTTTTGTTTAATTTCAACTCTATTTACATCAATATTTCCTCACAATGTGAGGAAATCAGTGAAGAGCAAACTACTTCAAGTTACAATCCAAGTTACTCCAAGTGACATGAAACATATTTTACATTCACAATTGCGTGTAAGAGCAAACAACATGAAAACCTTTACGACCGGTTCATAAAGAACGAAACGCTTTCAAGCGCTTTTCTGGTGTCATCATCATCATCACAACATGAAATCCTCAGGAGGAGACAACTGCATCTGCTGCTCGCTCAGCAGCACAAACCATCATCTGCATACAGTATTAGAACATTACTTTGTGCTCCAATAACCAGTCCAATCCTTTTACAATGAAGAGGCATTTTAATGGAGTCCCTGAGAACCAAGAATTTAAGAAAGAAAAGTGTTTTTCCATCACTTCTCAAGATCCTTCGTCCACCTCCAGCTCCTGCAGCTGTTCCTGCAGAGCGTCCAGCTGCTCAGTTTGCGTCTCTCCACGTTTCTCCGCCTCCTCCCGGTTTGCCTGCTCCTCTGACGCTTCTCCGCGTCGGCCCTCCAGGCACTCGGAGCTCTCGAAGCAGCCCGAGTCCCTCGGCTCCTTGTCGTCCCCCCCGGACGTGTCCTCGTCATCTGGCTCCGACTCGTCTTCAGCTGCACGGGAAAGAGCAACGGCTTTTAAACACTGAAACCCGACCCATGCAGAGCTTGTGTTCATCTTCGGAGTATCTTATACTAGTAGTATAATATACTAGTGTTTTTCATGATTTAAGTGTTAGAACTGTACTCTTTTAGTTCTGTCTAAAACCAGCAAAACAGGTTGAATTGATCGAGCTGTTTTTTGACATTTAAAATCTTTCATTGTAAAGTACGTCTATTCTTAAATATTTCAAAATAAATTATCAATCTTCACGTCCAACTTTGAAAATAATGAGCAATAGGGCCACTACTTCATCTAAACAACCATTATAGTTGAGTTAGGAATGATTGGATGGCAAACAACAGAACAACATATTACAGATAATACACTCCTAAAAGTGAAGGTTTTTTGGATGCAGGTGTCATTGGGCAGGACAAACTGTGAGTGTATTGCTGTGATCAGATGCATCCAATGGTGCACCTGAGTACAGATGGAAGCCTGCAGTATTGCCCAAAGACATTTGCAGCTTTAACGCAGGTGCACCTACAGTCTCTCAGCAGTTCACAGGCACTCAGGATCTTGGCGCGCTTGTCCGGGTCTGTGATGTTCAGCTCGTTGAGGTGAGACTCCTGCAGTCCCGCAAAGTCCTCCAGTGTCTGGAAACCGTGCATGGACAGCAGAGAACTCAACTCCTGAAGCAGAAGACCACAAACGCAAACATTTAGATCGATATCCGCCAGTCATGATGACGCGCAGACGTCCTGCTGCAGCGTGACAAGTGCTGTGGGTCTTACAGTGAGGCCCATGCCGTCCAGGACCTCCTCCAGGGTTTTGGGTTTGCAATTGGATCGGCGGTTCTTGCTGTCGCAGCGCCTCCTCCTGGACGGCGGGCTTTCGTCGGGCAGCAGGTTGACGTAGATGAACTTAAAGGAGCCCATTTTGTTGTTGAGCTTCCCCGTCCAGGTCCCGACGGGAGGCTTCTCGATGATGTGGATGATGTCTCCTTTCTGTGAGGCAAAGTGAACGGCGGGGCGCGGTGATGATGAGGGTTTGACTCTTCACGCTCACAGAATCGCTAACTGAAATGATGTGCTTTAAGCCGCCGGGCCTCTCGGGCCCGCTACTCACATTGAGTTTGAGTGACTCCACGTCGTACGGGCTGGGAGTGAAGTCGGTGTGGACCAGTGCGCGGCCGCAGAAAGGTCCGTTGTAAGAGACGCCGTTCTCCTCCAGCCTCATGCTGTCCCTCTGGCAGTATCCGCTGTCCAGGCTCTGTCTGTCGCCGCCTGGGGGTCAACACACACAAGGAGCACGCTCAGATTGCTCCTTCAAATGCTCGTGTTTGTGTTTTCTAACGCCTTTAGCCGCCACATACATTCCAAATATCTGCATGTGGATGAATGGAGGGGTGCGATATAAATGTTGTCTATCCGCGAAGAGACAAGGATTTCCTCTTGATGTGTTAGTAACACTACAAATAAAATATAACACATGCAAATAGGCGTGTATGTATGTAAATATATATTAAATATGTATACTTACTGCCTGAGAGCTGGCGGGTGATGAGGCTGGGCGGTGTGTCCTCTGACCCTGAGGAGCACACAGACGTCCTCTGTCCTGCACTCAGATCTGGAAGCCAGTCAGAAGAGACCGGAGACAGCTCCTCCCCGCTCTCAGCCTGGAGACATCGCAGGACAACAACAGGTCAAACGTCTATTCACATTAGTTCTACTCACAAGTGCCCAAGGGTATCTAACGTACCTAATCAAAAAATATATATGTTATTGCTGATGCTTGAATGAATGCAAGATGTTACTGTTACAAATTGTCATGATGAAGCCATTTTTAACTTATTTTTTAAATATTCATGTACATATATATCTATAGAATAGAATAGAATAAAGACATCAAACACCCCCCCCAAAATTGAAGTTGAGTAGAAGTGTAAATATTAATTTACTTAAGTACTGTACAGAAGAAAATTACTTCCTGCTTTGGTTTAGATAACCACAGTTCACACATGTGTCCACTAGATGGCGGCAACTCAATTCTTTATACAACAACAACAAACAACAACAGCTCCATGAAGACATGTCAAGGTTTGTTTTCTTGCATAAGAAATCCTAAACGGTTCATTACTACTGCTAAAAACACATTTTGTTATGGTTTTAGAATATACTGAAACAGTATAGAAGTGTAAAGTGGATCTTACCCCCTCTTCAGCCAGAGCCTTTTGCACCATCTTGGATGTTTTTCGGGTCATGGTGCGTGAGATGACGTTGCGCCATTTTTTCCCAAGTTTGATGCCACTTTTTACGGAGTCCTCTGCCGCTAAACCCTGCGTCAACTGAGATGTGAGTAAAAATAAAATATCTTTATTTATCGGACATCTCTCTATGCGATATGAGAAGATGTTCAAATGTTCAAATTAAGTGATTTAGAAATATGCCAAAACAATGAGTTTGACATGGATTGAGTACCACAGTGGTTCACAGTAGAATTACTGTAGGAACTATTTACTTGACTAGAAAAAATACAGATGTTGCGGTCGTGGGGTTTTGCATACAGGCTGATACCCACACACACACACACACACACACACACACACACACACACACACACACACACACACACACACACATCTTGTGGGAAGGTGCCAACCCAACGATGGTTTGGGTGTTTTCATGGAGGCATTTATAGGAAATGTCCCGTGCAACTCTTGGACAGAAAAAGTCAAGTCCCCTGTAATTTGGGGAAACAGAGCGGCAGCACGACTGGATTTAGAGGAATCTAACTAACTGACTAACTAACTGACTGACTAACTGCTAACTGAGCATTAACTCGGAGGGATTGTTTGGGAAGTAGTAGACCTCTAAAATATTAAACATCATTCTCTTGCTTCCAAAATGTGACAGGTAGGGATTTAGTTTATGATAATTAATAAACTGCAAACAGAGTGTTTTATGGCTGCTTCTTGTGAGAATCTGACACAGGACTCAGCGCTCAAATTCTCAAGTCAAACTTCTCCTTCTTGATTCAGCAACTTCAGAGAGTTAACTGTTAAATCAAAGACAAACGCGCGGGTTGTAACGATCATACACGTTAACGCAAATTTTTTAGCATTGTGTAAGAAGCCTGGATCCTCGGGGGAGAACCACCGGGCGGGACGCTCGAGCGCGTCTGACATGGCGGCTCTCTGCTTGAGAGGCCAGCGGACATCCTGTCTGCAGGCTGTTGTCATCGGCAGCTCCGAGCAGTGCTTCTGCTTCTGACTTCCTCTCCTCTTTCAGGCTCATCTGTCCGCCAACTTCTACTCGGGGGTTCGCGGAACGCTACAGGGAAGTTATTTGAGTTCTGTTTTATGTTTTTATGTTTTTAAAATGGTGCATGCACAGGCGGTGCGGTGAATCAGGAAGCACAAACCGCACACTTCTGTAACAGCTGCTGCTGATAACCATTTCTGTTGGATGCAGTATCATTTACATTGTGTGCAGCAAATGAGGAAGAACGCAATCAAATACCTTCAGTTTAGGAACCGGAAAAAGAAAAGACTTGTGATGTGTCTGCTTCTTCTCAAAAACAGATGTGCATTGCGTGTCTGATAATGTGTTTGTTGGTTTTTCTGAATAAAATGTTTCAGCGGAGTCCAACTTACATTCTCCTCCACGTTATACTCCTTCTCGGACACCACGGGAGAAGTAGGTTTGTGCTTCATGAAATCTTTGAAGCTGCTCGATCTCTGCAGAGTGAGCTGGAAACACAAATAATTGGGTTCGGTAAGGTGAGGTAAGATTAGGGTTAATAATTGCATTCATGTCAAAATCACCATGAGAAAAGACGGCAAAGGGACAGTAAAAAAAACTCACAAAGGAGACGGCGTCAAAATCATTACCAGAAAAACACATCAGTCCTTTGCTTTGTTTTGTTTTTTACTGTAATGCAACACTGATAGAATATGTTCTTATCTTGTAAAAAGAATGTATCTGCAGAGCGAGTTCTCAGAAAACAAACTGCCCACGTCTCATGGATCTGCGTCATGCTGGATGGACTCAAATGTAGTCAAGCAATTCAGCAGACAAGCAAGAAAATGATGTCTGGCGATAACTTCCAAATGATCGAACAGTCTTCTTTGTGAACTGAATTGAATTGAATTTGAATTTATTTTTTCGAAGATGTATAAAAGGAAAAAAAAAGTTACTATTTGTACACACAAAGAAAAAAGAGCTAAGACACAACAAAAAGGTAAGAAGCATGACACTTATTTGATGTCCCACCCCTTTTTAACTGCTCTTGAGCCTGTAACCACACAGAATACTACATAATACACCTACATACCACGGATACACTTCACAAATATCCAGTCACAAAAACAAACATACACCACATACATATCCCTGCAAGCATACATATAACATGTATATATACATATATATATATATATACATATATATATATATATATATGTGATGGGTAGAGCTCTCCCCTCCCCCCCCTGCCTGTTTGGCCACACCACCTTAATTGGTGATGCCTAACAGGTGTGACCAGGTGCTCTTTAAATGGGAGCTTTTGCCCCACTAGAGCTAGAGGGGGGCTTGCTGTAGGTCTCCCACGGCATAGGCACAGCACTCGCCACGTGCGGATGGGTTTGAGCGGAATCTAGAGGTATGTCAGGGGTTTTCTGTTTCATGTTTTAATATGCTTTTTAGCAGTGAAATGTTTATTGGCGTTATTTACCTTTTCTTTCTTTTATACAGGAAATGATCAGGTGGTGCAACGCTGAGCCTGGTCACTGCTGTTTTTGCCTTTGATTTAAAATAGATTATGGTTACCCGGTTTATATAGTATCTTTGATTATGAATTGCTAATTTGTTTTCTTTCTGGGTTAGTGTCTTTGTTTTGTCCTACATAAACAACCATTACTGCGCCCTATACTGGGGGTCCCTTTAATGCCAGTGCAGGTGGGCATATAGTAGGCCTACGGGGGGTGGCTCACGAGGTGGAAGGCCCTTTCAGTTTATTTTGTTTGTTTGCTGTGTTTTAATTCTTTTTGATTTGCTGTGTTTTCTTTCCTTTGACCTGGTGGTGGCCCCCTTGTCCCCTTTCACTCCCCCGCCCCGGTGGGCCTCAAGTAGTCACCTTGTACTGGTAGGGTACCCCAGTATAGTAATCTTTTTTTAAAGCATAGATTATATCTTGCCATAAAACCGACCAATGTTTCTGGATTGATTATTCCTTTTCTTTTAAATATTAAACCTACTTGTAAATAAAAAAAACATTGTTACAAAACTGGAACTTCACCTCTCTGCTCCCCTTTCTTTTTCATTACAACTGATATACTTTGGGTGAGAGTCCCAAAGTGACGTTGTCACCCTTGTGACCAGGCGAACGGCCGCCCCGGTTACATATATATATATATATATGTTTGTATATATGTTTGTGTTTATACATACACTAATAATAATAATATTTATTTATTTAATAATAATGATATACCATATACACCATATATACTAAATACAATATAACATATATATAGTGCTGAGTTGTTATACTATTCACCTCCCCTCTTCATCACAGTACCTGTTGAGGAACTGAATTCATCGTTGATCTAAATGTCGATAGAAAAAAAGACTACAGTAAAATCTTTTATTCTGAATTCAAAATCTGAACACAATTATTTTCCAACATCAATTTATCTGTTAATTCTTTTCTAGATGATTGAAGATGCCCTTTCATCCCCAGCCTGCATGTCCCCTGCAGACATCTTTTGAGAGCATTTTGCATAATATTCACGCCTCAGAGTTTCCGCTGGTGGAAACTTTTTTTATCTACTTCGCCTGACAACCGCACGCCGCCGTGTGTGCGTAGCACATCGTTCTCGAACCTTTTTGTCAAGACCAAAGCAACGAGCGACTGCTGGCAGCCATAAAAAGCCACAAACGCTTTAAGGCAAATCAATATTCCAATTACATTACATCTGATTCGTGGTGTTCTGTGTCCTTAGCACCGGTGACACTTGTCGCTTTAGGAGACGATTGGCGGACGGAAGGTAATTGAACTGCAGAAGGGAGGAGATGGTTGCGGTAAAATAAGGGCACTGGCGTTGAGGGTAGGCGGCTCGCTTTCACGTTGCCTGCAACCACAAGGAGCCACGGTGCTTTTTATCACTCGAGCTACATCTGCGGCCATGATTCACCCGAACAGAATACAGGAACTTTGCTTCTGTGGAAGAATATGTTGAGGCCGTAGAATATTCAAAAATTGGAGGATAAAGATTGTTTTCAGCTTTTAGTTATGTGTGTGTGTGTGTGTGTGTGTGTGTGTGTGTGTGTGTATTTTGCAGGGTTCGTTCAGCTTCACCACACAAATTGCACTAACCGGAGCAGACATCCTGTTTTGAAACACAAGGACAGCTGCACGAGATGTTGAAACACAAACACGATGCGATTAAAGACCTCTTCACAATTCACTGTCCGTGACATTTACATTCTGGGAGGCGCAATTCCGGCATGTCCACTTCAAACTTTCCAAAACAAACAGGTCTCTTGTCAAAAGCTCACCTTCTTCTTCTGCCCCTGCTCCTTCTCCGAGGCATTGGAGGGCCTTCGCCTCAACATCTTCTTCCTCAGCGGCCCTTCAGGAGTCTCTTTGGGTAAAAAGCTGTGCGAGCGACACGCCGGCCTTAAATCAGTGAGGGTTTTCTGTCACTGCGCCGTCGCTGCCAAAAGTCGTCTGATGAGAAAAGAAAAAAAATGGTTGCGCAGAAGCTGAGAGGAAGTTGCGTGGCCACAGAGAAACCGGAGAGGCAGACCCTGTTTTTGGTTCCTCTGGTGTTCACACAGGCCGGTGGCTTTGTTGCATGTGTCGCCCGGTCCTGCGTGTCACAAACCCTTTGTGGCAAACAGAACTGACACTCGAAACAGTTCATGGAAATGTCATCACGGCCATTTGACCGTCACTACAGCTGATGCAATGTGGTTTTCTGTTTAATACAGGTAATATTTTAGGTTTTGCTCAATCGGCCTCTGGTTGCTCATGTAGTATATTATAAAGTATAAATATAATATTTAGCTCAGGATTATCAATAAGGGGCAGATGGTTTGGAAACATTAAGTCATCACTTGGTTTTAGAACATTTCTACACTGATTACCTTTCAAATTCAGCAAAATGTTGAAGTAAAAGTTCAGTGAGGAAAGATCTGCATCATGCAACACGGCAGATCATGAGTAGCTAAGCGGCTCTGTGTTGGATTATGTTTTCGGATTTTACAGCTCGCTGTCCAGCCATCCCTGTGAAATAGCACATATTTGTCATGACATCACAATTGGAGACTCGGCAGCGGCTTTGAAGCGGCGGCAGAGGAGTCAGGGGTCATAACAAAGCTGGTGATCAGACGGTCCGGACTGACCATCGCAGGCTGTTTCATACCAAATGTGGGGGACAAATGAGTTGTGAAAGGCCCGAAAAATGCTGACAAAAGATAAAATTTCCCAAACAGATAATTAGGATAAAAAGAGCGTGAGTGAGTCACAGAGCGGTGCGTGCGTTTGGATGTACACTCAGGACAAGGCAAACATTAGTAGTACAAGCAGAGGGGGAAGTAAAATGTAAGTCAAGTTTAGCTTGTTATTTTGGTTGGGTAGCAGACCACATGATGAGAGTGTGCCCTATTTAAGCTTCCTGTCACCCGTCGGAAGGTTGACAACAAAACTGGTGTGTCGGCAGCTCTTAAAGGGACAAAAACAACACGTTGTACCTGATTGACGTGAAACCTCAGTTAAAGGTGGAATAGCAGGAATACCACACAGAAATATTCCATACAAGCAAATGACATCAGTTTAAGAAAGATGTATTCAGTGTAAAATTACTCTTAAAAATACATTTAAACGCTTCATTATATTATGACGAGTGTTGCATTAATGTATAAGCAGCAGTCTGGTGTTGTAGTTTGTTAACGTGGATCCTTCCATTTTATAAGTAAATAATTGTATATTTTACATCACACACTGTCAGCTTTAGTCAACAGATACTTTGAAGATCAATATTCTATAATTAAAACATATGTTGTAAGCTGTGATGCGTTGTTGATTGAGTTGTTGAGTGTTTGATGGAGCAATGTTTGGACCACAGATGTAAAAACCATAGAATGTCAAAGACTTAAAATTTAAAAAACATCACAAAAACACAGCAAGAGAGACTTTGAGAACAATGATCTCATTCTTGTTCCTCTTTCTCTGGGCCTCCGTACCACACACGCAGAACGGATGTGGATGAATATGCTTTTTATGAAACCTTGTTTGACTTTCTGTATCAGATCTTTTTTTCATGCGCTTTTGCCGTTTGTTTGACGAGGGAATGCAAACACGGGTGCGATGTGAAGGCAGCACCTTCAGACCTTGGAGTCACTCTGACCTGATTGCCAGATAGCGGCCCATCTGCCAGCGCTCGACATGTGGAAAAAGCTGAGAGTTAAAAGTTAAATCTGCTCGGATAGCTGTTAAAGCGGCGAGTTTCAATATGATTCGATGTTTAATGTCGTCTTTGCAGATCCACGATCCATGAAAAGACGCACGTGGCCGTTAACGTTAGCCTTTGATGTCATAGCGGATTTAGCTTAGCACAAAGGCTTGACACATGTTCCGCTGCATTTTGCCACCAAATGCTGAGTAGTTTTCCTTCCTCAGTTCATGTAAATCATCTTCCTGCCAAATGTTGAAATAACACAAGATTCAAACTGTTTTTGTGTGATTTTTTCCGGAGACCTTCAGTTGTAATGTTTACTGACTAATATAACTTGCATCGAACATTGTTGAGAACATTCTTAGATGGCACTACGACCGCAGCAGCGTCTCAATGTTCATACAGCAGGAGAAAGGGGAACTGACTTCTGCTTCACAACAACAACAACAACAACAACAGACCATGTCTGGAGTTTGTGGGCGTGCACGTTGTTGTTGCTGACCTCTGCTGATCGTGCAACTGCATCTCCCTGACCATTGCGGACGCGTTGGGAGGTTATTGAGTCTCTGTTTGGGATCTTATAGCCACACGTTTTGTTGTCCATATCTTACAAACCACAGCGTCTTTAAAGTAGAGCCATTGGCGATCATGCAGGTAATTATTGTCCATCTATATATACATTTATCTCCTGCCCAGTACCATCGAGAAATTGATCAACTGCACAATTTCTACAAATTTTCAAAGCTAATTTAGTCCTGCAGTTTTTCAAAAGAGAGATGATTTAAATACTTTCAGGACAAAGTGTATCGCAAAACATATCTTTCTATCCACAGGAAGTCCGAGCGAAACCTCAATCAGTTGTTGGAGTCGGTCAAAGTGGAGTTTTGCTGATTTTGTCAATTCAAGAAGTAATCGTTTTAAAGACTTTTACTTTAATAAAATAAAAAATTATATCAGCTGGTTACACAAATGTCACACAAAGATTCAATTAATACGATATGAATACCATTGTTTCATCCATTTACCCACCCAATTAAATGATCAAACAAATATACCCTTTAATGCAGAGCGTCTCTCGCTCTGTATCGTGTAGCCGCTCAATCCACAGCGCACAGGAGTGAGATTAGTGCGTAATTCTGCGTTGAATGTGCAGGAGAGTAGAAGATCAGCTCAGATGATGTTGCGGAGGAGAGTAACAGCCAGAGCGATGAGGGTCAGCGAGGAGGACCAGACGGATGCAGAAGATGCCGCCTCCACAAAGGGCTCTGTGTGTTTGAGCATCCAGTCCTTCTCCTCTTTTAGTCCCTGCGAGTCCAGTTCAGGAGCCACCAGCCGCCGTATTGTCTCATAGTATTTATTAAGCCACCGGAGCTGGAGTGAGAAAAGAGCACGGAAGCAAAGGAAGCAGGTGTCAAGTAAAGAAGTAATCAGTTACTAAGAATAAGTTACACTGTAACATTCTGGTAAAGAAATGGTGTTTTCCGCAGGGAAGTTCTGTCACTTACATCAGTGAAAACATAAAATAAAACTATAAAACTTGTTGCTATGTCAACAGTCCAAGAGATGTGCTCACATTGCTGTCGATGTTTGTGGGCAAAAGTACTAGCATTAAAATAAATGCGTAGTCTTACGATGAAATACAAGCGAACACAGCAGTTGACTTCACACGTGGTTTTGTTTTCATAAAGAATGTTTGCGAAGGTGTTTTTAGAGGAAACCGTCACTCGCAAAGCAAGAAAACGAAAGCCCGGGTCGATGTAACATTTTCTACGGGAATGTGATCACATCTTAGTTTTAAAGCTTGTTACAGGGAATTTAACAAATTAGTTGAATGGGTTGTGTGTGATATTCCAGTAAAATCGCCAATTGTTCACTTTGCAGTCGCATATGATAACGTACCTGCTCTGAGCTGAGGAGAGTGGTGTCAATCAGCTTTCTGTCATACGGGACCAGCGACACAGTGTCAAAGGTCACATAGTTATGTCCATACTGAGGGGAAGAAAATACCATTCATGAGGAAGTTATACTGAAATGACATCATTCGCTATAAGCAGGAGATTCCAGAAGCGACGCTCTGTTTTGTAGCTACCTTTGTATTTACAGGCACGATCACGGCAACATCTTCGATCCGGATCCCAAAGTCATTCTCCTTATAGTATCCGGGTTCTTACGTACAGAAAATCCTTATCCGTTATTCTGGGTTTGAATGTTTGTGTGTGTTGGAAGTAGATTTATTTTGACAAAGAGTGAAATCTCACCAATAGACGTGAACATGCCGGATCTGAAGGGAATGTTATTGCTCTGAAATCCAACCGGCCCTGGAAAGATGTACAACAAAATACAGATTACACCACAGGAGACTAAGTTAAAACTAATCTTCAATCATTCTTCCTTTCGCCTTATTTTCTATTTCCTTTTGAAGAGAAAAGTCTCTAGTTTTATTTTGACATTCAAGTTTGTCACTTTGATGGACATTTTTCACTATTTTCTGACATTTGATGCATTATGATAACCATGATTCTTTTACACATTTTCCATTTTAACTCTTTAGTAGGATGGATTTATCCGTTTAATTGATTTTTATCTATTGATGATGTCACCACATTGAACATGTTTATCATTATCCTTTTTTCACACTGGAACTTTGACAACGTGTGGAAATAATAAGAGAACATACACTCATGAACTCCAAAGTAGTTTCCAACGCCGTGCCCTGTGCCGTGGCCGTAGTTCAGGCCCACCTCCCACAATGCCCGGCGGCCCAGCATCTCCATGTTTACGCCTGTTGTTAAACACACGGAGGGCTCAGATCAAACGTCCTGCTGCAGGTGTATTTCTGCAGCTGGTCCACTCAAAATGCGATGAAAAGTGAAGAAACAGGGCTCCCTTGTGGTGAAACTCATTTCAAACACGTATGAATGTCTTTCGTTCCCACCTCGTGTCCCTGAGGGAAAGACGGTTCGAGATATCTCAATGTTCCCCATGAGGACTCGGGTGAAGGCCTCCTGTGAAGCCAGACGGTGGGTTAATGACAGGGAAAAGAACACTACAGTAAAGATGTTTAAAGATAAAATGTCTGATAAAACCACAAGGAGCTTTGCCTTTTGCATGGCTGTGGGGGCCCCCCAGTGAACGGTCCGAGTGATGTCAGTGGTCCCGTCTCTGGTGGTATTGAGAGACACGATGACTCATTTCAGATGCGAGTGATGTGAAACTAGAGAGTCTGCCAGCAGAGTACGTTTTTTTGTTTTGTTTTTACTTACAGATACTGGCCCCCGGAGTCAACCAGGTACATCTCATCAACTGTCAACCTCCGTATGGTTTCTTCTGTAGGGCTGAAACCCCCCCACACAGAAAAACGTCGTTTTACATAAGGGACAGAGACCGTATGCCAAAGGTTTTGGGTTAGGGTTAGTTGCTTTATTGCTCAAGGACTTTAGACCTAAAGCTGACGAAAGGCTGACAGCCATCACTACTTGTTAATGGTTGTTATTTTATGTTCTGTTCATAATTAGTGGAAGCAGCACCATAATGAAACCGTAATGCTACAGAATCCAACCAGCAGGCTAAAAGCAGAATAACTCACTTACTAGTTACACTTTTGATGCTTTAAGTATCATTTGCTAATATTACTTTCACTTAAGTAACATTTCAAATTCAGGACTTTAATGGAGTATTTTTGGTAAACGGTACTCTACTTTCCCTTAAAAAAGGATCTTTTTACTCCATCCAAGGCCACACTAATGCCCCTCTCAATACGTTTGGGCTTCTTTTAAGCAGTTCATGGCTTATTGTACACTTTAAAAAAAGTTTCATCAACGCCAGAACGAAGCCTGTTCCAAAACCACTTGTTTGACAACAATAAGAAAATGTACCTGTAATGTGCGAGTGCGGCATTTGGTCCACTTGCAGAGATGGTCTCAAAGCTCGGGCCTCTGCTGTCCTTCTGTTTGCTGTGATGAGGTTTGTATTAACCATGAAGTGGGATCATTTGGAACCATTTTGATGATAAAATATGTCTGACTGAGTTTAGCATGCGCGTCCAAGCCTCAGCTCTCCTCCGTCCCGTGCGCACGGACTCACCCGCGACACTTGTCGACGTATTGTGCAGCAGTCAGCTCCGTCTCTTTCCCCTCCGGCACGGCCTTCTCCAACCACATCAGCAGTTGGATGACCGCCACTGCGTCCCTCACCTGCACAGAAACCCAGCGGCACAATGACCGGGAGAGCTTTGGCTCTCCGGGTGTCTCTGGACAGGATGAGTGCAATGAATGCATCGGGGAGTGTGTGTCACTCAAGCGATCCGCGAAAATGAGACATAATTGTCCCACCGGTCGGTCGTGTGTAACCAGAGTGTGTCTCTGTGCAGAGGACATACATGAGCATCCCTCAGGATCCGCTGCTCAGTCTCATCTTTCACTGCTTTCGTGGTCAACACAGGCGAGTAGGAGCTGGTCATTAGTTTCTCCTGAACGATGCAAAAAAAAATAATCGTAATGAGTACATGTTTATTCTTTGATATTATTTAATTTAGCTTGGAGAGGTCTTATCCTGTCAGGAGGGTGGGCGTTAACTATTTCTTTCTTTGCTTTACTTTCAAACATTACACGGATTGATGCTGTTATGAGGAAATACGAAGTTATTACAAAAGTATCAGCATCAATCACAAAATGTATTTAGTTGTTACAACATAACTATAGATGAAACATCTTCGTTGCGATCGAAAGGGACGGAAACCATTTAAATTCAGAGCTGGACTCTTAAGCAGAAGATTATCTTATTATTATAAGATAATTTCACTTTAAAGATGTCGAGTGTGTGTTTAAAATATTCATTAGTGCAGCTTTAAAAGCCTCAGAAACATCCCGCCAGTGACTCGCTAAAGATGCAACAGTATCAACATAAACACCAAAAAGAAGTAAGCATGATGAAATAGAGTATCTGATTACCTCTGGTGTGATGATCTCATAAAGCGCGTAGTTGGTGTACTCTGTGCCGATCCACACTTTCACCCCCGGCTCGGCCACGTAGGCCTTCAGGTCGTCCCGGACAGCGTCGTAGCTCCTCAGCTGCACGCAGAGTGACCCCACGCAGGAGGCGTTCAGGTAAACCCTCAATTCCTCCGTCACTCTGTCCGTGTGAAGAAAGAGCCTGTGGCCGTGTGGATGTGCATTAGAAGGTTCATGAAAGAACATTTTGCAATGTCCTCAGGTACCCCAGCATTATGTAATGACACAGAACATGAGACATCTGACATGCATCTCAAAAGGAATCCCACGTGTTCCCACGTGTGGTCCCCGCGGAGACGGACTCACCAGATCGCATCCTTTGTGAGCAGCGTGTAGGAGTAGAAGAAGGGATTATACGGGATGTCGTTGCCGCGGAGATTGAACAGCCCTGCAGATAAAAAGACAGTCAGCAGCGGCTCAGTCCACCCCGATTGGAGACATGCTGTTAAAAACCCAATGATTGTGTCCAATGGATGTGACCGTGCCGGCGTTCCTTTCATTGAAAACAGAGCTGCCAATCCTGAAATCGGAAAGTCAGGAAGGTCGGAAAGCCGGCAGTGGTTTTGTGTGGGTTGTAAGAAAGGTGCTTCTGGTGCTCACTGTTCTTTTGCAAAGTGTTGAAGTGGTCATGATCCACAATGCAAAATGTAAATCTAATCTTTAATAATAGGATTACTGACAATAGTAAAGGATTATAAATCAAGAAAGTAATGTTTATTTCTGACCTCCTACCTCGAGGACAAGGGAATAGCTAATTAAAAAAGTTTGTGTTGAAGTTACATTTCTTGCCAGTCTGATTTTTTTTATTCTAATCCCTTAACTCCTCAGGCTACAGTTCAATCCTTCAAGTTGTTTTAATGCTTCAAATAGATGCTTTTATGAACTGCAATACGTTCACATTTTTCTTTCAGTGACTTCAGCTGTGGTTCTCTGAACATGTTTCTTAAACAGCAACATGATTCCCAGTGCGCTGCGTGGACACAGTTACTTACAGGCTGTTTCATCCAGAGCCGACAGCAGAAGAGCTGTCGGCTCGTATGGATTGTCTCTCATCTGATTCCTTACGTGCTCCACTTTCATCTGCCAGGGCCGTTCTGCAAACACATACACAGTTTGCTTTAAATGCATTTACTTGATAATCTATATTTGATGCTCCTACGTGTTCGACATTGAGTTACATTATGCATGTCCGACATTATTCTCATCAAACGTGTGCTAAAGGTTTCTTTGACCAATAGTGGATATTGCAACAAGCGCAGGGCATAACAATGACATTTCATCCGCTCTAAATTCAAAACGATGAGCTTAAATATGCCCACTTATCCTTAGAGGGTAACTTCAGAGAGCCATATACATTTATTATACAATATCTGAAACATTGTTCTGATAAAAAAGGTATTGCCTTCTAATGTGTTGTTTCCTCCGATGTGCAGACACATGTCCTTCATGCTCCAGTAACTTTTCTTTGACATGTGTGTCATGCTCTTAGCAACTCCATGGCCAAATATAAGGCCAAGATTTCATAACCATGAGAAAGCATTTATAAAAGACATAAACACACACAGAGAACATGATGTTTACGATGCTCTCCATTTGTTCCACTTGATCGATTCTTCTACGCCATAAAGACTAAAAGGCCAATTAGCGTCCACACAATTTCCTTTTCCAGATCATTTTCCGTTCTCTTAAAGTTGGCGTTCGATCTTTCAGCCAGCCATAAAAACATGAACTGGCTGTTGATAGGTGTGTTTGTGGAGCCGCTTATTGCTTTCTGTCCAGTTTACAGGTATTTATCAGCACGGAGATAAAAGGCAGACGGGCAGACTGCCCGTGTGTGCACAGAGCAGAACCCACGTATGACTCTGTCGGGCAGGCGGGTGAGGTTGTAAAGAAGGACGGGCGGTCTTTGCTTCCACACTTGGTCGACCAGGTTAACGGGGACGGACTTGAGGGTACGATTGCTGGAGTCCAGATTGAGCCTGTAGTCCTCCTGCGTTTCTAGTGGAGGAAATTGCAGCTGATTACACACAATGAGCCCAATCAATCGCAGGTAAACAGCCTCTGCGGCGTCTGCTGGGTCCATTATTGCCGCTCCATTCACTCGGGGCGAGCACTTTATTTGGCGATGACCTGGACTGACAGGAGGGATGGAGAGTGGAGGACTTACTGAGGGAGAAGAGGAAGGGATCAAAGCCGACCTCGCCGCCGGGCGGGACCTCAGAGATCAGCCACTGTGCTACGCTGCTGATGGACACTGGGCGACATCACACGGGACAGAATCAACTTATCATCCTGTCCATTTCATTATGTGTCAGATAGCGTAAATGATATACTAATACAAAAACATTCAAACTAATCTGACTAAACTCAGTTTAAAGTTTAAAGGTGCAATAAGAACCTTGTTTTTCTGTCTGTTTAAAGGGCAGAAATTATGTAATTTACATGCATTTAAAGGCCACTGTCTGGTCCATATTCTGAAAGAGTGTTTCAAGATTTAAATTGAAATTCAAACTTATATTGTTCCATCATGGATTTAAGTCTTAGCAAAATATTATCACTTCTCAATTTCTTCTCCCGGATATTTGTGTGAAATAAGTACCATGTGCATTCTTAAATTATGGCTAAAAACAACACATAACCGTTTTACCGTGGAAAACCTACAAAAACAACTGTTTGTCCACAGCGTGGTGACGCTGTCAAATCACCATCATACATCAGTGTTAAAAGTATTTTTGCAAGAGAAATCTCACGCTGACTTTGTGTTTGTTGGTGAGCTATTGCATGTAAATCCTGTTGTAAACATTCTTCTTGGTATTTTTATTCTGATGCTTTTAGTATCCATGTGTCCTGCGTTGTCACAACAAGTTAATCACAATACGACCATCCCTCTCCGCCCACCATCTTTTTCCAGCTCCCAGTGGCAATCCATCTGCCTCTCTGCTTGAACCCAGTAGCGGCTGTCCGTCCACAGAGCGGCCTTGGTCTGAGTAACTACGGCGGTGCCTGGGGAGAGACGGGACAGCAGCTGCGTTACGCGGAGGGCAGCATTAAAAGTAGATTAGCCACGACTGTAAATGTCAGAGTTGACTTGGAACGACGCGTGATCGGCCAGCCAATCCAGGAACATGTCAGCGTGTGGTTGGAGGGAAACAGGAAGGTTAAGAAGAAGGACTGAGGGGACGGTAGCCTGGTAATGAGTGATGGATATATATTTATATATAAGACTGCATTAGCATTCCGCTGTTGTATTTTCACATGGGATTGAAAAACACTCGGGTAACAACGGCTGAATCTACATTTTGCCCGGCCTGGCATAAAGGTTCGGCCTGGTGAAAACAGCAAACGGTCGTCCATCTCATGATCTAAAAGTTAATCTCCAAAGGTGAACGACACGACGTAACAAGTGAGTGAGAAAAAACGCTGAAACTAAATGAACGTTGCGTTGGCTGCAGTGTGAGGATGTGGGATGGAAGTAAATGAGCTGCGTGGCCGCGGCATTCAGACGCGGGAAGTTGAGTCATGAGAGGCAGGGAAGAGGAGGAGGGGGAGGAGGGGGAGGACGACAAGGACGACGAAGACGAAGATGAAGAGGAGGAGACAACCACAGAGGCAGAAAGGGATTATACCTGCAGAGCCTGTGAAACCGGTCATGAAGGCCATCCTGGCATCACGTGGAGCAATATACTCACTCTGAAGGAGAAACAGAGGTGAGCGTCTCTCTCACACACATTCAAACCCATATAAAATCATTGCGATGCGCAGCAGACGTACCAGGTGAGCGTCAGTGGCCGGGATAATGTAGGCAGCGACATTCCGGAGAAGCATTTCCTTCCGTAAGTCCTGCAGCCGGAGGGTGGTATTCAATGCTGTGCTGGGCAGGTACTGCGACACACACACACACACACGCACACACACACACACACACACACACACACACACACACACACACACACACACACACACACACATAAAAAAAGGTAGAGAAAGACAAAGAATGTAAAAAATATTTAATTTCAATTTAAACGTGTAGAACTGCTGATTCCTCTCTTGTTATATTTCTCATAATCATTAACTGTAGTGCATGTGCAGTAATCATTAACTGTAACTGCATAAAACCCAACAACATGTTTCACAATCGGAAAATGCTGAGGGAAGCTTTAAGGTCAATTTTATGGCATTTTTGATGTAATTTTTCATTTTAATCACAGTGCTTCCAGTTACTCACGGGGGGTGACAGGGAGCAGTTCCTCTCAGATTGCTTATATGCAACGGCACCAGTGGAATTTGCTGAAATTAAAGGTGCACAGTGAAAAAAGACGTTGGAAAGTGACACAAAGTGGCGGCTGAGCACTTTTTCAGATAACGCTGATAGCGCTGCTCTTTTATTTCGATTTTCATTTCTGTGATTTATCGTGTCGAACACAGCAATAGTCAGACTGGCATCAACACAACTCAGGATTTATAGGAAAACACAAAAGCCTTTTCAGTCAATGTAAAGGGAAGTTGATAAGCCCAAATAAGAAAATAGTGATATCAATTACAATAATCACAATCAAAATGTCGTCTCTTAATTCAAATCGGACTTAATGAAATGTATCAAGACTGCATTTCATTTATGTCCATGCTAAAGATAGTTGGTCTAATTACAAAAAAAGGAAGAGTATAAGACTGAGCAGACATTTTATTTGAATCCAGATGACAGGCACAAAAAGAGATGACAAATTCATCTGCCTTTTTTGCGAGCTATTTTTAATACATGCAACCAATTCTGAATGCTTAAAGATCCGTTTTTACAACTCGCCTCACACTCACCGCGTCCGACAAAATAGAAACAGCTGCAGAGGCTTCGCACAGAGATCAGAGACTTGACACTGAGGACAAACAGTAACTTTCTTACCTGTTAGTGCGGCCAGAGACAGAGCCACCAACAACCAGGCCCAGGAAGGCATCTCGGCACCGCGGGTCGGTCACCAGAGTGGCTACAAAGCAGGTGCTCCGATGTGTGTGTTAGAAAGTGTGTGTGCGGATGTCTGGTGAGGAATTGTGTGTGGGTGCACGACTGTCCTCTCTCTCTCTCTCTCTCCCTTTCTTCCTATCTCTCCTCCTCCTCTGCCACTATCTCCTCTCCCTGCGGCCCACTGATAAGAATCATGTGCAGTGGCTTCGGGGGGGGGGGGGGGGGGTGTTTGGTGCTCTGAAACATTTCAACCACTTGCTTTTTGTTCCCCCTGCATCTCGATATGTTGCTCAATGTTGACTGAGCA